CTCTCTCTTCTTCTTCTTACTATATATTCTACTTCTTCTACTCTCTCTCTCTCTCTCTCTCTCTCTCTCTCTCTCTCTCTCTCTCTCTCTCTTTCCTCTGGCTCTCGTCATTATTGCACTCCCCTATTGCACCATGGAATTTCACCGTACCTGTCCTACCACGGACAATGTTTCAGTCCTCCCTCCACATAAGCTTCCTGATCCTCATTTCCGAGTGGAGTGTTGGCCAAGATCACGGAGCCCCAGACAGACGCCCTCCCATCTGCATCTTCTGCAGTAGCGATTTGCTTGGTGTGTTGCTTATTCCCGCTTCTGTTTGCTGGCCACGGCGAAAGTCAGGTCCGGGATCAATCCTGACCCCCAATTGCTCTACAGCTCTGGCAACATCTCATTTCGTGCTTGCGAGATCCAGGCGGAGGCATGCTGACCAGAGCAACACGACCCATCGGCCACTTGGATGATATACAGATATACATTCTATATCTACATCTAGAGTCTCAGTATATCTGTCGCATGCGGCTACATTACCACGAGCGAGCATGCAGATGGCTACACGCTACACAGGCGGATCACCGCATCTTCTTAAGATTCTTCCGATGCGCATTCATTTACACCACTTGCTCTCTTGGTCTTCTGAGTGGCCCAAGTGCTCCTCTCGGCTGCGATGAGATGAACATAGTACCACTCTATCTCGTACCTGGTGGCTGCGACCACCCGATGTAAGCAGGATACGACCGCCAAAACGAAAATACGGAGTGCTCCTACCGAGCCTGAAGGGTTTTGGTTTAAAAGACGCCCCAAATCTTCAACAGTCAAGCTCGGCGGCTACCGGCAGGACAAGCCGTCACTGGTGCATGGTTGCTTATTTGGATATCTCCACACCAAACGGGTAATTTCCCTTGTCACTTTGGTCCCTCAATCCCAACTTCTGACCCCGGCCAAGTTCCGTCCCCACACTATTTCCTCGATATCTTTGGGTGCATGGTTGCTTGCATTCGTTTGAAATTTCTCCGGTGAGAAGCCAATGATGTCGAATTCTTGTATAGGTTGCATTCTGGCCCAGCTGCCCCTTGGTAGACTGAAGTAGGATCTTATAAAGGGAAGAGGTCCCATCTCCGTGTCAATCTATCCTGTCATCCAGGCCTCCCTTCTGTATCCTAGATTTCTGTTCTTGTTTCCATATATCGTTGTAGATCACTTCTCAAATGAAGACTTCAAGCTTTCTCGGCAGTGTCTTGGCTGCGGCCTCATATGGCGAGTTTATCCTTTCAGTCTCAAGCCTTCACAACGAATCTGACCTCTATAGTCTTTACTTCCGTGCTGGCCCAGGACCTAACGACTCACGGCACTTACACCGAGCCTAATACTGGTTTTATATTTTACACCAGTGTTCAGACTAATGGCAAGATTGGAAGCGGCGACGGATGGGGATCACTGATTTCCGATGGAGGCTTTACCTTCGGCATGGCACTTCCTGCAGATGCTGCCACGGTTGATGCCAGCGAATACATCGGTCTTATCGTGAGTCCCAACTAGATACCCAAGAAACAAATATTGATCATCCAGATTGGCTCCACGCCGAATGGCCCGGTATCAGGATGGTCTTCTGTTCTTCACGGTAGCACTGGTGCAGGAGGTGGATCTATGCCCAACCATCTTATGGTCGTAGCCTGGCCTACAGGCAACGGCAACCAGATCGCCACGTCTTTCCGATACTCACCGTAAGTAATACTCAACTAGACGGCTGATCTATCTAACTTCTTTCATAGCTCGTACCTATTGCCTGTAGCCTATAAAGGATCTGCCAAACTAACCCAGATCTTTTCATCTGTCAATGCCACCAACTGGACGCTGGTCTACCGCTGCCAAAATTGCTTCTATTACGATGACCCGACTCAAACACCATCTAATACATCAACAAGCAAAGGCGCTTTCTCGCAAGGGTGGGCTCAGGGCCTGACGGCGCCTGTCGACCCCATCAACCCATCCTCCGACTTCTCGCAACACGACAATGGAATGGGAATGTACATAATCGATCCTAAACTTGCAGTTCAAGCGTCGTATTCGAAGTGGGCTACACAGACGCCTACAGGAACAGTCTCCACCGCGACAGCCACCGCTACAGCTACTACAACAAGCTTCGCATCAATCCCCGTACCTACGGGCGTCACTTATGATTATGTTGTGGTTGGCGGTGGTGCAGCTGGTATCCCAATGGCTGACAAGCTTTCCGCTGCCGGAAAGTCAGTACTTCTCATTGAAAAGGGAGTTGCGTCATCTGGGCGATGGGGTGGAAGTAAGTATATACTTCAATTTTTGACATTGCTAAAATTTTATCAGCATACCGTCCTGAAGGACCAACTAAAAATGGCGGCTGGCTTGACGGCACAAACCTGACTTGGTTCGATGTCCCGGGACAGTGCAACAGGATCTGGAACGGTGGATCTCCTGGTGTGGCATGCACAGATACGGACCAAATGGCAGGATGTATTTTAGGCGGTGGTACAGCAGTCAACGCCGGTCTCTGGTGGAAGCCTCACCCGCAGGATTGGGACGTCAATTTCCCAGCAGGCTGGAAATCAGCAGACATAGCAGCAGCAACGCAGCGGGTCTTCTCTCGTCTCCCTGGTACCGATCTTCCCAGTATGGACGGTAAGCGGTACATTCAATCTGGCTTTGACGTTCTCCGAAGCGGTCTCGCCGCAGCGGGCTGGGGATCCGTCATCGCCAACGACGTCCCAGGGCAAAAGAATAGAACTTACGCCCATACACCGTATATGTTTGCCAATGGCGAGCGCAATGGACCCATGGGAACCTACCTCGTCAGCGCCGTCACACGCTCCAATTTCAAGATGTGGCTGAATACTAGCGTCGAGCGTATCACCCGTGATGGCGGCCATGCCACATCTCTCAATGTGTTAGCCACCAATAATGGCGGGCACGTCGGTACCGTCAACCTCACCCCCGTAACTGGTCGAGTCATCTTAGCGGCTGGTACATTCGGGACTTCCAAACTGCTATTCCGCAGTGGTATTGGTCCCACAGACCAGCTGCAAGTCGTGGCAAGCAGTATTGATGGCCCGACGATGATCAACTCGACCTCATGGCTCAACTTGCCTGTTGGCTACAACCTTGATGATCATTTCAACACGGATACGGTCATCTCGCATCCAAATGTGAGTTATTATGATTGGCCTGCTTCGTGGAATACACCTCTCGAAGCCGACAAAGTCTCCTACCTCACTAAGCGCTCTGGGCCCCTCGCGCAATCAGCACCTAACATCGGACCTGTGATGTGGGAAGAAATTGTCGGTCCGGATGGCGTCAACCGCCAATTTCAATGGACATCACGTGTGGAAGGGTCCAACGGTGTTCCAAACGGAAATTCCATGACACTTTCTCTATACCTTGGAAGAGGAAAAATCGCTCGGGGCCGAACGACAATTGGAAAGAATCTAAACATGGTGGTCTCAGGGATTCCATATGATAACGCCAACGATATAGCAACTGTAGCTAAGGCGATCGATAACATGGTCAAGAACTTAAGTACGGTCAAGGGTTTGACGTGGATCTACCCACCAGCCAGCCAGTCCGGAGCAGAATACCTCAAAACCGTATGTCCCCTACCCAACCCCCCCCTCCCCTACTCCCTCTTATCTACTTCTCCAGCTCACAGCCCCCCAAGATCCCCCTCACACTGGGCAACATCGGCGCCCGCCGCGCCAACCACTGGATGGGTACAGCAAAACTTGGCCTCGACTCGGGCCTCCTGGGAGGCACCTCCGTCGTCGACACCAACACCAAAATCTACGGCACGGACAATATCTTCGTCGTTGACGCCTCCATATTCCCCGGCATGGTGACCACCAACCCTTCTGCTCTCATCGTGACAGCAGCCGAGCACGCGAGCGAGAAGATCCTCGCGCTGGCGCCGCCGTCTGTGCAAGCGAAGTATGCCCAGTGCGGGGGCGCGAACTGGACGGGTAGTAGTACGTGTGCCACGGGTTCGAAGTGTACGTGGGCGAACGCATTTTATTCGCAGGTACGTCCCCTCTTCCGATTTTCTCCCTTTGTTTTGAGAATATGAGAAGCTGACTTTGCATAGTGTCAATGAACGTAAAGTGGTTCTTATTCTCGAGAATCACCGGGCCGTTCTCTGGATATGCGATTTGGACTTATTTTTTGGACATACATTGTGGAGGGGAAGAGCTCCGCCATATACCTGACTGTAAATCAAGAGATATATATATAGTCATAATAGAGTCATAAGTGAAAAGGTATAAGAGAAGAAGTCTATCCTCATGGTATTGTATTGTAGATGTGTAATGATGATGATGGTTCAGGGAGGAACCAACTACTCGTCTATATAGGCATGTGCACGTGACCTAGCTACGTGCCTAGTGGAGCAGAGGCACGTGATAATGGGGCCTGATACAAGGCTTGATACAAGGGCAAAAGTAGACCAGGAACGCCAGCTCCACCACATACGTCCCCCCTTCGAATCAGCTCGCCCTCGAGCTAAAACAATCAAAAGTGGTAGAGCAAACAGCTCTTCAACTAGGTACACAATCCAAGCAGAGCAAATACCAAACAATACGAATACGCTACGGCGCCAGCAAAGTACCAAATACGTAGTAGTAAATTGGTATTGGTTATCAAGTGACCTTGCTTGCCGCCAGCGCCGTCCCCTTGATTCTTACTCCTCAACTAGCCTCCTCCAGCTTGATCAGCACCAAAGCGTTTACAATTGCACTTTCGCAATTGCAAAAACCATCGAATACGCTTTCTTCCTTTTGCAACTCCGATGCGTTAATCCGATCCGAAAGAGTTTCGGTGATTTGCAAGAGGTATTCGAGGGAATTGAAAGATGTTCCAGCTATAGAATTGGCAGTAGCATTGATGATAGCTTCAAAGGTGTATCGAATGCTTTTCGAGGGTCCAAAGGTCGTAAGGTCCAATTCGAAGTGGCGTTGCATTAATAGTAGCGTAATACTAAAGGCGATAAAAGAGTGAAGTGTGAAGTCCGAAGTAGCGAAAATAGCGTATTCCAATGGATAAACGAATACAAATACAACGTCTTTAAAGAGCGTTGCAGCGTAGCAAAAATCAAGGAAAAATCAAAGAAAAAATCAAAGAATTCGTCCCCTTTTTCAAAATTCCTAAGCCATGCCCTCATGGTCTATTCCTCGTACACTCCTTTGCTTCATCGGAAAAAAAAATCTCCTTCAAACAAACAAAAATAGCCGAAAAGAAAACCCGAAAAAATCAAATCAAAGGAGTGCAATTAAGCCTAGGGCTCGAATTGCCGAAATATCGTGGTATCGGATGATCCGGGGCACTCAGCAGCGAAAAGGTCGTATCCGGGGCATTTATTTGGCTAAAAATTAGCTGCAAAAGGTAATTCGAAGTCGAAAAGAATAATGAATCGAAGCATAGGAATTTCCGGGTCTCGGTCGGGAGGAATAGGCGGGCCCAAGGCTCCGAATTAGCTGAGGATTGGCGGTAAGATTGACTGAAGAAGTGGCCCAAGGCTCGGAATACAATAAGCAAGGATCCAGGCTTCCTAATTGATTAACGTAGCAAAACAGGCCGAAACTATGAACTGACTAGCGTAGCGGTGGTCGAGATATCGTTGCGAGTTGTAGCCGAAAGAAGGAAGCAATTGGCGAAAGGGGTGGAATGAAGCCGAAATTAAAAGGCAATCTTCTCGTATTGCAAACTCCGCTTAAACAGAGTATAACCGAATGCAATTCGAGACCTGAAATAAACCATTGCAAAATAGGCGAACCTGTTTCTCAGGCTTAGCGAAGTGATTCCGATACCTAGCTTTCGCCCACTTCTATGTAGAAATGGAAGCAATAGCTAGCATCGGCGGTGGTAGCTCGTAGAGCTCGTAGAGTGGGCCAAACGAATGGTACTCTAATAGTATCGCCGTGCAAAGTGGTCTAAGTGAATAGTACTCTGTGGATACCAAATTGAGCTCTAGCCAGCTCGATCCCTGACTAGAGTAACGACTTTTCTGAGTGGTTTCCATCGAGTATACTAAGTACACCTTATGAATAAAAATCGAAGAAAGGTCGCCTCGAAGCAATAGCTTCGAAATGCATATGCAAAAGCACATGACTTTTCGGCCCAGCGTGTGTCGAATACACTATTATAAGAGTAAGAGCGTATCGCAAAAGCACATGACCATCAGCTCAGAGTGTGACGTGTATTTCGAATATAAAGCTTCTCGCAAAGGAAGCAAACTGAGGGCGTATGGAGACAACCCTCGATTCGATTCCCTGAGTAGGTCACCAAATATATGTGGCGTCCTCTTTTCCCCTTCCTTTTCACTTACGATTCTATTATGATTATATCTATATATATCTCCTGATTCGACGTCTGGTACCGGTATGTCGGAGTTCTTCCCCTCCACATATATTTGGTGACCTTAGGCTGGCCGTAAGTGGACTGGGTTTTACCCTTCGCCGAATTGGTGGATATGGGGCAACGCGTGGAGGTGCGGAGCGAGCTCGGGTCTCCACCGGAGCCACATCGGCCTTAGTATTGAATACGTGAGCATGTGAATCTGTCGAAGTACCGGTAATGCAACGCTGTCGAATCATATCAGAGGTGTTATAGTCGTCCATAAGGAAAGCCTCAGCGCTGCCTCCGTTAGCGGCTCGCATTGGGGCCTTAGCACGCTCGCGGGCCGCTTCCTCAATGGATTCCCATTGCGCTTCGAGAGCTTTCTGGCGACATAATTTTTTCGCCCACTTTAGGGAAGGGCCCCAAAAGTGGCGACGTCAAGTCCCACTATTAGGTACATACATGGACAAAACAAATACAGACCCCCAAGCTCCACCACAACATACATTCAGTCATTCGTTTTCAATGCCTACTTTTATTTACATACATATATACTTATATTTATGAAATAGCTTTCCGTCACTATTTAGTGCATACTTCATTCCGGGCTTGCTTTCCCACGTTTTCTTTCGGTTTTGAGCTATCTTTTTCGGCATCTATCTATCAGGCATCTATACACGCTCTCTTTCTGCCGAATCTACCCATACCCATACCCATATTTGTATTTATACCATATCCATTATCACCTGTTGAAATCCCCTCCACGCCCATCGCCCCTAATCAGATACCCCTGATTTGATTTTATTGCCTCCTCTAGTGACTTCGCTGATTTCGCTGATTGATCCATCCATTGTATGCATATATTTTTGGTGTGTATACATGGCTGCTGCTTTTCTTTAGTTCGGCTAAAACCAAGCCCAGCCAAGCCCAAGGCGGCCCCTTCTTTGAACCGCACCCCATCCACCCAATTGTCCGTCCCGATTACCCGTTACCCGTCCTCCCCGTATACAATTCCCCGAGCCGAGTATCCTAGTCCACGCTCACCTGTCCCTCTGCCGTCAAGCCGCTCTACTCAGCAAGCACCATTCTCAGCATACTCAGAAAGCTCTCCCTCAGCCTCCCCACCTCCACCACATCAGGCTTGACCGGCTCCCCCGCACTCCTCCTCAGGTGATCCTGCTTGCGCGCCCTTCGCTTACGCTCTGCCGCGATAGGATCAAGTTCATCATCTTCCTCGCCCTCGTCGCTGCTCCCCGCCTCGTCGCTCTCATACTGCATATCTTGCAGGTCCATCTGGTCGAGCCCAAAGTCTGCGCTGCTGAACGCCGCGCCCGGTAGCATCTCTTGGCCCCCTTGCGCACCGCCGCCTTCCGCCGCCATCTTCTGGCGGGTCTTATCACTGTGCCACTTCTTGCGTGCTTCTTGCCAGGCGATCAGGGAGTTGATTTCAGTAATCGCTTTGTCTTTGTCAAGCTGATTAACCGAGACAGCGCCTGCAAACAAGGCGTTGATGTCGAGTTTACCCGCTTTGGGACCGTGGCGGAGAAACTCGAGAATGCCTTCTATCCAGCCCATGAGCTGGGTGAAGAGGCCGTTGTCATGCGTATGTACTTCGTGCACGAACTTGTAGAAGTTGTGCTCGTGACGCTGGCAAAGGTCGATGAACGCTTGCACTGTTTGATTGGGATCGGCTGACACGTCTTGTTCGCGGCACTTTTCGACAACCTGCGCGCTCATTAGCTGAGAATTTCCATAGAAAGGCATGGACAAGGGAGGCCTACAGTTATCATATCATCAATGAACACCGCGAAGTCCGTAACGCTGTTGTACACATTCGCACTCTTATAAACTCTCACTAGTGGCTCGTAGAAAATTGTGAACAGATCCCTCAATAGCTGTAGCGTGACCGGCTCCTCAATCATACTCAGCATCATGGCCTTGTCGCGCTGTCTTGTATACAGCTTCAGCAGTTGCTTCATGGACGAGAATAGCTGCGCGCCTTGCTTCATCTCCTCGTCTACGTTCTCGACCGCGCTATTCCAGGCGACGTATGCGTTAAAGACTCTGCTGATTTGCTTGGAGTTGAGAGGCGGCTGGATTTCTTCTGAACGCAAGATGGCGACGATGAGGTCGACGGTGTCGGTTACGGACTCGTGTCTGATGGTGTTCTTGATGTCTTCTGGTGCATCGGAGAATTGCTTCAACTTTCTACAGAGAACCGGATCATCAATCTTTGCGACGAGGGAGTCGATAGACTTTTGAAAGCCCTTGATACCATCGTGTAAAGTGAAAGCAAAAATTCGTTGCATCAGCGATCTCGCGCCGAATGGCTGAGCCAGGAAGATATCCAGGACGCTGGACATGACAGTCATGGGATTAGCGATCCGGATCGCATTCTTGATCATCGAGTACGGAATCATGGAATGTATCTTTTTCATCTGGGCGAACAGTTCTGGCGAGTTATCTTCAGCAAGGAACAGGTGGTAGATAGTAGCCGCGACTTCGATGCGCAGCCATTCGGCGAATTTCTGGTATTGGATACTCAGGTCTTGGATGGTAGACTTCTCTTTGATCTCCTTAAAGAGCTTCGTAAGACCATTGCTCTCGACGATATCTCGTCGGAATCTAGATCATCAGGCAAAATCACCCAATCAGAAGGAAAAAAACTTACTGCTCCATGTAAACATCCAACTCCGCAGCTCTCTTCCGCGCAATCTCATAAAACTTTTTCTGCTCTTCGACTCTCTTCTCATCCATCGCCTTTCGTCGCCTGATATCCTCGATGTCAGCATCCGTAGGCGTCATCGGCTCCAGAGTTAAAAAATCCTGGATAGATCTCGTATTCGCAATTTGCGGGTTTGCGAGCAGCGTGCGAAGGAAAGCACGGAGTGAGATGCGTTGGTTCTCGCGCCATAAGACTACAGACTGTGGGCAGGTCAGTTTCTTGAGTTTGCCTTTGGATGAAGATGTGGATTTAAATCTTAATAGATGGCTGCGTACATCGTCTTGTGCGGGGCTCAATGGTCTCCCAGTGTCAGTCGATGCACGCGGAGAGCTGCGACCGAATGAGCCGAAGGAGGCTGATGAGGCGCTGAGGTGTTTGTCTAGGATATTAGCTTATTCCTCTAGCTTCTGATATTGAAGTACCTTTAACTGAGAGAGTATTCATAGACGACGCAGCCTGAGAAGCCGCCCCCGTAGTCGAGACAGAAGATATCGAAGACGCATCGTCGTCGCCTCCTCTCCCTGTGATACCATTTAGGATGTTCGAAGCGGTAGAACTCTGCTTGTTCTTTCTCGGCAATGGTGGCAGAATCTTGCCTGGCAACTCGGTTCGTAAATTCTTGTGCAAGCGGCTGAAGTCCCCATAGCGTCTCCCGACAAAAAATTCCAGCTCATTCTTTCTCTTGACCCTCAGAATGAATTCCTGCATTTCAGTCAGCACCCCAGGCTCGCGTAACTTTTAGCTTACACATACAGCATGTTTGTGATGCCGCACATTCCTCTTAACACTCTTTGTGCGTACACCAGAAACATTCACATCCCACCCATTCGTGAAATGTCCCTCGGGCAAGGTATTCATAACTCCGTGATCGATGGCCCCTGCATCCACAACCTCCAGCTCGGAGAAACGGATCCGCTCTTCGTAGCCTGAAGCTGTGGGGATACCGGATACCATCATCAGCTCGACTAGTTTCTGGCATTTGATAGACAGCTTTCTGCGCTTCGTCTCCTCTAATCTGTCTTCAGAAGATGAAATATGTTTATTGGCGAAAGATTGCAAGAACTTTTGGTGATGATTAGCCCTCCTCGCCTTTGAGCCAACATCTACAATTTCTCCTAATCTCGGTTCGCGCCTCTCCTATACTGTTCCAGGATCCCCGAATATAAGCCAGAAGCGTAAAAGAGAAACTCACCACCTGCAGCTTATCCTGCCAGAATTCCTTCTCCCGTGCCTTATCCAAGAACGGGAACTCGCGCACATGATGCACGAAGATGTACCTTAAGATCGGCAGCTCGCTGTCCAGCGGGCTGACCTCACCAAAATCGGACTTGAAGGGGGCGCCGAATCGTTGCAGGGCGGTAGGAGAGTTGAGCTCCGTAATCTCGTAGGTAACCTGCTGGGAAAGGAGTTCGCGCTTGAGGTCTGTATTTGTTTTGTCAGCCGGTATCTCAGGAAAGATGGAGAGGAAAAAGACAGAGTTTCTTTCGAAGGCTGGCTAGAGAATAGTCTTTAGTTTAGAGAGAGGCATACAGTGTTCTTGCTTCCCGGTCAGAGCCTGCCCATGCGTCGACTCCTCCCTTGAGACCTGCGGCGGAGGCGCAAGTTCCCCATTTGTACTCTGTGCTCCTACTTCCACACCTCCTGCATTTATACCTGCATCTTCCTGTACCCCCGTCCTTGCGCTTTGGTCCTGCCGTTGTGATCTCGTCGCCGAGGGGTCCATCGATGCGAGCTATCTTATACAAAAGCCCGGAAGAGATAGGGCAGACCGATAGCTATCAAGGGTGGGTTATCAGGAAGTTGAAGCTGGAGAGCAGCCTGAGCAAGTAGGTAGGTAGGTAGCTTGCAGTCCAGTCCCCTCCTCTTCCTTGACTTCTGTCTTTTGCTTGGAGGACTGCGTGCGCGTGAGTTACTAAAACATCGCAACCGGATGGAGGAGGGGTTAAAAGCTTACTTATTTTTGACTTTCTTCACTTACTCACTTTGCCTTTTCCTCTCCTTCAGGACCGACACGCCTCTTGAGACTAGGAATTTCAATTCGTGATCCGAGAATTAAAGAGAGAGAGGCTGAAATGAGAAAACAGGTCGAGGCAATCCTTCAATCACTCGGTAGATGAATGTTGGATGTTGGGGAGAGAGAGAGAGAGAGAGAGAGTAGGGCGTAGACGGCGAAGGGCAATGATTGTTGACAGGGTGCACGCTTGTCTGGTGGGCTTGGCTCGATGACGACTACCCTCCGCAGGCACAGGGCGCAGTGCTGAAGGTGAAGACGGACATGAATAGAAACACAACCGGGCGATCGACTTTCTGAGAAATACGGAGCAGCAGCTGAGGTTAATCACTTACTTCTACTACTTACTCACTGGTATCTATCTACGTGCTCCTAGCAGAAAATAAGTATATCTGGGCTGCGATAGGTCGTCTAAGGGTATCATATGTCAACACGCCAGCTGAGCATGTCTTAATCAGTGCGAAGGTTGCAACCACCAGCTCGACTGATGCTCAAGATTCTTGGTCATCCGTCCCGGCCAGACGTCCAGGCGGCAAACTGGCTTCCCAACCAGCTTTTACCTATTGCTATCTATCTATCCCACTACCAGTCGGCGCCCAGCTGACTACTGAAGCCGCGTGCCGGCGCCACTTCTCCAAACGTTCCTATAGCTCCGCTGTGAGGCATTCAGCGCGATGCTTGCATATCGAATCACTATAGCTTCGAATCCTCATCCGGGCCCTGTCCCCTTTAGATGCTCTTCCGAGTCTCCTTGAGCTCCTGCTGTCCGGATGCTTTCATCCCCAGGGTGCCCTCACAGCTCATCGAAAACCTTCAATCTCGGATCTTCCTTCTCCTGCTCCTGCTCCTCGCCCCCATGTCCCCCAGCCCCAAGCTTCTTCAGAACATCCCTCTTCAACTTCCAACTCTCATTCCTCAACGCTTCATAGCGCGGCGCCTTCCCCAGAAACCCAGTCGCATTCAGCGCAGCCATAGCATTTCCTCCCTGCGCCTGCGTCTGAATCCTAGTAGGCGTAAATTGGAACCCCATGACTACCGCCGCAATAACCACCATCACGCTTCCTACCATCCACAGCAAGCGCAGCCTCTTCCTCGTTTTCTCCTGCCACTTCTTCTCCGCTAATTCCCAGCCCTCTACTCTTTCCCTCACGCCTTCGACCCTTTCGGCCAAAGCTCCTATCTTCTTCCGTCCCTTCTCAACGCGGGCCTTTAAGCTAGCGATGCGAGCTTCTTGATCTTGAAGGTTGTTGAAGCCGTCCAGTTGGCCTGTGGCATCGTCGATGAGTTCGGAAGCGTCAGCCTGGAACTCCTCCGTCAGGCCGCGGGTCAGGGAGGCGAGTTCGCGAAGTGAGGTGATGGTCGAGTTGAGGGTGGAGAGTTTCTCGAGGACGGAGTAGTAAGTGTTGTCCAGCCTGCTCGTCGTATTGTTCGAGAGGGTGTTGAGGCCATTGAGGGAGTTGCGTAATTCTCTGTTGTTCAGGCCATTAGCGTGACACTCTTCTGTAGAGTCAAGTCAGGAAGGGCAGACGTACACAGCTCTCAAGACGCCCATCCGCCTCTCATCGCCCACCGCGCCCTCCTTGACCATCTTCTCCCTCTCCCGTTCCCTCTCCCGTTCCATCCCTAATCGTTCCCCTCTTGCATACCCATCCCGCAACCCTCTCTCCCATCCACCGCCATCCCCGTCAAATACACTCCCCGGTCGACTCGCACTCCGGCTCTCACTTGGCGTATGGCCTTCACTCCTACTGGCGCCCTGCCCTTGCCCTTGCCCCTGACCATCTCCCCTCCCAGTTCCGCCCTCTCCTCTCCCCTCCTTCCCATCTCTCTCCCTTTCCTTATTCCTGTGGTGTATATGCGGGTGATGGCGGTGTTTATGGTGGTGTCCCGTAACCTCCGTTATCGATCGTGCGGCTAAATTCTTTGACCGTGTGGGCGATGAGGGAACACCAGACCCTTTGGAGGATTCGGAGACGGGGACGTTGGTTGAGGTGCTGGACATTTTGGTGGATGATTTGGCGGCAAGGCTGAGACTTGAGGAATGGAGATTCCGTAGGAGGTGGAGGTGGCTAGTGTGGCTGAGACTGTGACTAGGATGTGAAACAACAAGGTTATAACTTACCTACCTACCTAGGTAGTGACTGTATAATCCGTATGCGAAAACGCTTGCGTTTACGGAGGAGAGGAGAGGAGAGGCTGCAGTGTGAATGTTGATTTTAGAATCTTGAAACCTGGACGATTAGAGGAGAGCACGGCCTTTGTTTCTTCCTCTCTGTTCGAATGGCTAGTCTTGCCTCCCAATACCCACCAAATTGAAAGACCCAAGTCTTGTACCAGTGCACTCTCTTTCCTCTATCGCATAGATCCGTCCTTCCTTTGAATTGAGATGAAAACAAGTGATGGTCATCTCAAAAGCGACAGCGTAGAACAACTGACCATCTGCCGCAATGTAAAGCCTCTTAGCGACCAGTGAACTCCTGACGCCCAAGCCTTTTCCTGCCTATCAAACGCCGGATACCATGCAATATCCACCATTTCATGTCTTTATGACCACTCATGACTTCAACATCTTATTCCGCTTCTCCTTGCGCTTCAACCGCTCGACCCGCTTGCGATGCATCGTCTCGGCCATCTTCTCAAACCTCTCCCGCTCCTCCTTCTTTGCGCGCTTGTCCTTGAGATTCTGGATCTTGTCCTGTAGCAGAATCAGCATCCATGCATGCTATCTTGCAAAGCTTCGAAAAATCTGCAAGCAGCAAAGACAAGAAGAAAGGGAAAGAGAAACGCACCTTGCGTGCAGCCTCCTTCTCATCCTTCATCTCTTTCTCCTTGGCCTTCACAGCAGCCATAGCGACGCGCTCAGCCTGCCTCTTCTCATATGTGCCGTTGCCAGCTTTCGGCCGGAACGCGGTCTTGGGCTCATGCCACTGCTTGCCTGGTCACGTTTAGATTGAGAATGTTTCTGGAAGTCCCTCCATCGTAGCATAGGCTTCTCAGCGTACCATTCTTGCGCATTCCCTGTGGTTGCGCAAAGACATCTGTGGGAGCGGTGATTGGAGTTGCAGTATCGGCAGACATGATTAGTATGTATTTGGTGATTAGTGTTTGGTGTTTGGTATTTGTTGTGTGTGTAGTATGCAGACCCGGAATTTCGAATTCTCAGGTGATATTGAGGAATAGACTTTTTCCCTTATCAGATCGCAGCCCTGTATAAGGTTGGTTGATCCTCCATCTGATAAGCAATACCTATCTAAGCGTATCCGTATAGTCTGGCAAACTTCTGCCCCTTGACCTCGACCTCGACCTCGGTCTCCCACCTCCCACTCCCGGGCCGTGGGCTCCACATTTGCACTTCTGTTTTGTTTCCCGCTATGAGTGAATATTTCTTCTTGTTTTCTTCCTTTCTTTCTCGTCCTTGAGCTGCAAAAACTTGCCTCTGTGACTGTGGCGGTGACCCCTCTCTCCCCCTCTCCCTTTCCAAAAGCGAAATTCGAAATCCAAATCCCTCGTCGACCAGCATCAAGTCGAGTCCAATCGAGCCCAGTCGACAAATATCAAATACTAGCTGTTGACCGCTGCCAGTGCGACGACCGATCCTGGATGCCGCATATCTGTTTCCTCGATAGCTTTATCCAACCCACACCGCGAACACTTGGCTCTCCATATGAAATGATGGCATAGTGCAAGCAAGAAGAGCGCCTTCTTGCTATCTTCTGCTCCCGCATCATCCAAAAATTCCTCTGAGTTTCGCTACAAGCAGACAATCCACAAACATACCCGTGTAACCTTACTCGAGTCGAGTCCGCAAAATCGGACTTGCTATTTGGACCTGCCAACGCTCCGACGACTTGGAGCTGATCCGTCGAACCTACGGGGGAAGTGAATAGTAATACAACTTGCTGAGCGTGTTGATTATCTGGCCTCGAGGAAAGAGTTACCTCTCCGTTGATCCTCCTACCGATCACAGTCGCTCCACAGTATAAAGGGAACATCGGACACACAATGGCAGCCACAGACACACCAGAGTTCTCCACCTCTGAGGCCCCTCCAACTTTCAAGAACGAGAACAAAGGACGAGAAGCGCTCATAGATGCTGTGGAGGACAACGTATTTGGCTCCATTGCCGGTGTGGCAGGCAAATACATCGAATAGAGCTGATTATGGATGGATGCTATAAGAGCAGCGCAATTGGCATCATTTGCACCAATGATTATGCATTCAGGAGCGCCGATTGGGAATTTTGTATAAGCCAGGACCGGAAGGAACGAAAGACATGTCCGCCTACAATCCCAACCCGACCACCTTCCTCTGCGCTACACCGGTCCCCTCGACTGTTTCCGCCAATCGCTTAGCCACGAAGGTGTCATAGGCCTCTACCGAGGCATATCTACTCCTCTTGTTGGTGCCGCCCTTGAAACATCATCCCTCTTTTTCTGAAAGCGCGTAGCCCGTGAATCATTCTTTGCAGCCGGTCTGTACCAGCGCGAGAAACCCCTTCCCCTGTCAGCCCTATGGCTGACCGGAGCCATCTCGGGCGCTTTCACATCCCTGGTCCTCACACCTGTCGAGCTCGTAAAATGCAAGATCCAGGTACCGGCTGGCGCAAATCCTACACGCTCCCCAACCCCGTTGACAGTCATAAAAGAAGTATGGCGGCACCAAGGCCTAAAAGGATTCTGGAATGGTCAGCTGGGAACCCTGATCAGAGAAACGGGCGGCTGCGCAGCATGGTTCGGCAGCAAAGAGACTGTGACTCTCATGTTCCGCCACTCGAACTCCAAATCCACCCCCTCACCCCCGTCGTCTAAGAAACAAAGCCTCAAAACCCAAACTTTACCCACAACTCCCGAGCTTGGTTTCGCCCCACTCCCGCTCTGGCAACAAGCTCTCGCCGGCGCCTCGGCAGGCATGTCCTACAACTTTCTTTTCTTCCCCGCCGACACGATCAAATCGCGGATGCAAACTGTGTCCCTAAGCAGCAAAGTTCCACAAGTGAAGTTTTGGGACGAAGGGATGGCAATTTGGAGACAATATGGGATGAAGGGCTTATATCGCGAGTGCGGGATGACGGTTGCGAGAAGCGCGCCCAGTAGCGCGTTTATTTTCATCATTTTCGATGCGTAGAAGGGGTGGTTTCATCGATCATGAGAGGAACTGACCACGACGCCTGCTTATAGTCAGTGGCTGAACAACCCACGCAGGAATGAAAATACTTCTTCCAGGCGAGGTTGGCTGCTCGGATTGTGAGTTGCGTCTTTGCTTTTATTTCTGCATGGGTCATTATGCATACTATAGACGATTCTGGCGTGCAATTGGTTGGCGTTATTAGAGGATCACTGGATTTGGCAGTCATGATTTTGAATTTACTTTTAATATTTCGCTTGGCTCTGAGTTTGGCTTTGAATTTTATCCTGCGTGATGTAAATAGCTAGCATTTCAGCGGACTACCTATTACTTTTGGTTTTTCAGAAAGGGAGGTGATCCAAATAGCGCGTATGAATACCCATTTACGCAATATATATAGTATAAGCAATATAGCAGATGCTTAATAGTGTAGCGCGAGAGACAAATTATATATAAACTCTTTCTCACAGAGCATTTTTTCTTTCCTTTGACTTTTCTTTCTAATCGTCGGCTACAATTGCGACTCAAGAGTCTGTAAACCGGATCAGCGTAAAAGATGAACGTGTGCGGACTTGTCTTTATATTTAAAAAACAAAGCGGCTCGTAATGAGATAGATCGCAACCAGATTCGATACAGATATCGACGAGTATAATCATACGATAGGCGAGCCTTGGCGTGACCACTCAATTAGGTAGGTAGGTATATTCAAGTAGGTGGTAATAGTACTTTAGCTATCCTCTAGTCAGCACTAAATACCGATGCGTCAATAACGTGTTTCTGTTTCGAGCTTTTGGTGCGGTTCTTGATCTGGCTTGGAAGGATTGTTTTTGTGCGTGACTCAGCGGATCCTACGATATCAGACTTGAAGGTGTTTGAAAGCTTGAAGGAAAGACAAGAGTAAGCACCACTGAATGCCGTTGTGGTTATTGATGAAAAGCGCCGGAGTTGTAGGGCGTATAAGTAGGAGAAGATGCTATTTTTAGAGGTGTTTGCTATAAGAGAAGTGCGATACTGGTTTAAGTTGGTATGATAGATGTGTTGCGGGTCGTTCACATGCCAGCTGGCGAGCGACCAGGCAGAGAAGAGGAGATTGAGATTATCAAAGAAAAATATTGGAAGATGTGATGCGAAAGACGGGCTTCTGGGCTACCAGTCTTGCCCAGGCCAAATACATATATATATATAAATATATATCAGCCAGCGGCACTTATGCCCCTTCCTTGTTGCTTAGCAATATCTACCTAACTATTTGAATATCAGGAATATACAACACAAAGAGAAGCAAAAGTTGAATGCGTGTTCCCGATAACGAATGAAGTATAGTTTTGGGCTGCTCTGCATTGCACTGCTCTGCTTTACTCAGAGACTGTATATAGCTGCGACATTTACACATGTAATACATTATATATTACAATTATGATACTTTGAATCGGCTTCCCTCTACATTTCAGTCTACAGATAACAGTGATAATAGTAGTAGTAGTAGTAGTATTAGTAGTAATTTTCCGCATCCGGGCAGTAGGTATTGAATTTTTCCGGAGCGGAATTCCCCGGTGCAAATAGATACGTACGTACTTCGATATTCCTTTATGTAATGCAAGTATGGTGCATGTGGTAAGCAAGTAGGTAGCGTCCTTTTTTAGGGGGGAAACTTTGAGCTTGGAACTAGCGGCAAGTGACGTGAGAGAGTAAGGCTTAGTTAGTACTTTGCCTCTGCGCACAAGACAACGCACAAATGACTTGAGATCTAGGACGACGAATACGGGCGACTGATTGTACCTTCCGAACTGATTTGGAGATCCTGCTACTTGGCTTCTTGTTCACAGGTGACGCCTATATATCTCCTCGTAGGTCGGGCTGATTCCCATGGTATTGGTGCCGCGTACGTAAAGTGAGTGTTCATGTGGTCTTTGCCCTACCGCTTATTCGCTATTCCCTTTCTGAATGGATGGCTAACTTAGGACGGAATATCTGAATAAGCGGCTGCTCTGGTCCAGAATCAACGCGTCTATAATGGAGTTGACGGTGGAGTTGGGAGCCTGACCTATGAGGGGATAGAGGAAAGATAGATATAAAATACGAAATCCCTAGTTTTGTGCTCATATGTTCTGGCGTGTAAGTCGACCTAGATATTTGGGACTATCTGGCATTTTTCGTAAGTAGGTACCTTAAGGGCAAGAGGGGGGGGTTCAATTCAACGGGCCCTTTGACGCAATTTTTCCAACAAGACGGTTGATCAGACGGTTTAGAGTCAGCGCTAGCCAGACCTGATTCAAGAATAGTCTATCAGATAAAACCGACCGTCCTTGACTATTCTACTGAAACGTCGACTTTGTCATTCGAAGCCAGCTCGTGAATGCATGCAGCTATAGATCGTATGATTTTTGAAAATCGATTTCAATACGGCTCAAGATCTCGCTTATTGAGAGAGCTCTACTTAGCGCAAGTATGTAGGTACCTACATTCGCGAAAACCATACATTAGCTTCATCACTTAATCACCGAACTATTGTCGATACTTTTAGGCATAGATAGTATAGCAATTAGCTCGAGGAAGAAAAACAATTCATGTTAGACCCCACTGGCGTGCCACCATTCGTATGTTAAAAGCCTCATCCCCCCCCTCCTCTGTGCTTAATTCCCTCCTCAGAATTTATCACCATCACTCTCGACTCGAGCAACTTTCATTCTTGGATTTTTTTCAACATCTGTATTGATTTCCATCTTCATCTTCTCTTATCGTCAATTAGGACAAAACCCATCTCTCAAGATGAAGCTCTTCACCTCAACACTTGCCTTATTTGGCCTCGCGATGACGGCAGCTCAGCCTGTTGTCGATAACATCTTGGTTGAGGCCAGACACGCTCCAATCGGTAAGTCTCTGCTCCAGAAGTGAAGAATCTGAAAAACAAGAAGAAAATGGAGGGAAATAACCCACCTTACCCCATCCTCTTGTAGACCCAGTTACCCAGCAAGCCAGCCAGCCAGCTAACATACACCTCTCCCTTCCACAAGGCCAATTCATCAGTCACTGCTCCGTGCCCGGCACCGTCGCCCTAACCTTCGACGACGGCCCTTCAATTCATACCCCCGGCCTTATACAAATGCTCTCCAAGCGCGGCGTAGTCGCGACCTTCTTCGTGAACGGGTACACGGCTGCCTGGACGCCTGATTGGCACGCTATCGTGCGGCGCGCGTACAACGATGGCCACCAGATCGCTTCGCATACCTTCTCGCACAGGGACCTATCGACGCTGTCCTGGGCCGACATGGAGTGGGAGATGCTCGAGAACGAGCGTCAGATTGCCGCCGCTGTCGGCGTCATACCCACCTACATGCGCCCACCATACCTGAACTGTAACGATGCCTGCTTGACCCTCATGCGGAATTTGGGATACAGCGTTATCAGCACGGATCTAGACAGCAAGGACTACGAGAACCAAAGGAATATCTGGAACTCGGCGGGTCTGTTTGACGGCGATTTGAACTATGGCGGCAATTTGGCCCTGGCGCATGATATCTATGGACAGACAGTGCAAGTGCTAACACCGCACATGCTGGATATAGTATTAAGGCGCGGGTTGAAGCCGGTTACTGTAGCACAGGTATGTATTTAGACTTATGCACTCGCTTATCTTCCGATCCCGTGTTTGTTCATTTTCCTTTGGGGATCATTGCTGACGGCCTGGAAAGTGTCTTGGAGACTATAAAGATTGGTACCGCAGTCCTCGCTAAGCAGATCCATTGAGCTGTGTAACAAACAAACCAACAAAGCATATGTACGTAGCTAGCAGCTTAGAAGCTGAAATCGGAAATATACCTGGCTGTGGCCCAACCCACTCCAATTGTAATCAATCGCTTGATCAGACGAATGGTGCGCTCTATAAGTGCATAGCTCTAGCAATACCAAAGAAAAAAAGAAGAAAAAAAGAAACCCCCCTCCCTTTATAAAAATAAGTCGTGTTTCCCTGTCTTTCCCGCAAGGTGTATTCGACTCGGTCCAGCAACAGGGGCTCGTAGTGTTTATCTCGCGTCACGTAGAGTAGTACCAACTACCTAGAGTGGTAAGCTGGTGCTGTTCTCCCTCGCTGGTTCAATTCGCAAGATGGAGTAATGAAATACTGTGCTGCGGATGATATCTTCAGAACACCGATGTCGCTTGAATTTTCCTGGGTTGCTGCTAGCTTGCCCTGATGCGTCCAGAGCGATGAGTTATAGAGCGCGACGACAAAGAAAACCATGCAAAACACGTGACACGCAAATAGAAAGAAAATTCAAACAGATAATCAGAAATTCGGATGTCCGCACCCACACCGGTAGAGGCCAAAAAGGTCGGTTCTGAACACAGACCGTTCCAGTTTGATATGCAAAATATCCTTTTCAAATTAGTTTCCAACCGGCTCAGGCTGACTCATAGCGGAGCCTAGTATTCCTCCTCGCCCATATCTCCATCAACCCCATCCGCAGCAACCTCCTCATAGTCCTTCTCCAGGGCCGCCAGATCCTCCCTCGCCTCGCTGAACTCGCCCTCTTCCATACCCTCCCCAACGTACCAATGAACAAAGGCGCGCTTGCTATACATAAGATCGAACTTGTGGTCCAGCCTGCTCCACGCCTCCGCGATGGCCGTCGTGTTACTCAGCATGGAGACGGAGCGGTCTACGGAGGCCAGGGCGCCGTCGTTGGGCGAGGACGAAGGCACCGAGACGGGCTTCTGGTAATTGATGCCGATCTTGAAGCCGGTGGGACACCACTCGACCAGGTTGAAGGACTGCTTAGCTTTGAGGGAAGCGATGGCGGCGTTACAGTCGCGGGGTACCACGTCGCCCCTGTAGAGGAGGGCCACCGCCATGTACTTACCGTTGCGCGGGTCGCAGACTACCATCTGGTTGTTGGGCTCGAAACATCTGCGAGGGTGGTCAACTACCATCCAGATTCTTCGCTTAGGGGGAGTAGCGAATGGGAAAGAAGCTGAATTGAAGTACGCACTGCAGAGTCAGCTCGTGCGTCTTGAAAGCCTCGTGGCTACTCCTCTGTGCCGATATCACCGGCGCATAACTAATCAGCGGGTAGTGGATTCTTGGGTACGGCACGAGGTTCGTCTGGAACTCGTTCAAATCGACGTTCAGCGCACCGTCGAATCTAAGCGAGCTCGTGATTGAGCTCACGACTTGCGCGATCAATCGATTGAGATGCTCGAAAGAAGGACGGGCGACTTCAAGATTACGGCGGCAGATATCATAGACAGCTTCGTTGTCAACGAGGAAGGTGCAGTCGGAGTTCTCAATGGTAGAATGAGTGCTGAGGACTGCGTTGTAGGGCTCTACGACAGCGGTGGAGACCCGGGGGGCGGGATAGACGGCGAATTCAAGTTTGCACTTTTTAGAGTAGTCTGCTGAGAGGCGCTCGAGGAGAAGAGAGCCGAATCCAGATCCGGTTCCACCGCCGAAGGAGTGGAAGATTAGAAAGCCTTGGAGGGAGGAACAGCTGTCCTGGGTTCGGTTAGCGAGTGTTTGAACAAAGCCAAGCCATGGGTTCCCAAGCTCAAATATCGGGCAGAGTAACTTTTCCTCTCTCAGTTCCGTTCCCAACAGCAAGACCTACCAAAACCCTCCGGATCTTATCCAAAGTCCCCTCTAGCAACTCCTTTCCAATGGTATAATGGCCTCTCGCATAGTTGTTCGCCGCGTCCTCCTTCCCAGAAATGAGCAGCTCCGGGTGGAAAAGCTGTCTATAGTCGCCCGTCCGGATCTCATCGATGGGGCTTGGGTCCAAGTCGACGAAGATGGAGCGGGGGACATACTTGCCGTTCCCTGTCTCCGTAAAGACCGTGTCCAGCTCGCCGGAGTCGTGGAGGGCTTTGGCGGCCGGGTCGGGACGGCCATCTTTCCCGAGACCGTGCTCGAGGAGGTAGCTGGAAGGTGCTGTTAGTGAGATGTTGTGAGATGTTGTGAGAGGATATTTGTGATATGCGGAGAAGGGGGGAGGGGGGGGTACAGTTCCCAGGCACTATTCCCGAGTTGCGTTCCTGCCTGGCCAATGTGCAGATGCACAATCTAGGAATGAATCAGTTATCATGTTTCTCTATCGTTTGATCCATACACTTTTTCATATTCATATTCATCCCGCCGTCGGACGTGGTACAGCTCCCACTGCACTGCTGTCGTTCTCCCACCGCCCTTTCACGGAGTGCGCCTCCGTCCCACCCACTTCCCTCCATGGCAAAGGAAAGAACGGGAAGTAAACACACATACCTCGCCTCTGGTCATGTTTGCGGCAATTGGAGGTTTTCGTTTGCTATCAAATTGTATGTATATCTGGCCTTCACGCAAAGGAGTGGCAGACGAGGGTGAATAATCAGGATAGATAGGTAGAGTTGTCGATGTATGTGGGTTTGGGTTTGGATTTGGTTTGAGATTGAGAATCCGAATGGGGGGTCTGATAGCGGGGGGAGGCTGTTAATGTTAGCCCCCACATGGATAGGGCCCTGACCAATGGGAGGAGGGAGGAGAAGGCGGTGTGGCGGTGTGGCGATGCTTTGCATAAGTGCCCCTGAGGGGAGCTTGGCGATTAATCGAAGTTGATATGATCACGTGTACTGCCTCTTGTTGCTACTTCGTACAAGCTCGTTGCAGCGATGAAGGATTGCGAGATCAAGGAACAGAATCAGAGTTCAAACATGGATATCTGAATTGCTCCCGAGGCACGGAGGGAAAGCATCTACTCAGAAGGCTGAAAATGCCACTCGGCCAAACGATCTGAGGAAACAAATCCAGTCAGTCCTCTGGACTTGCAAATGAGCTCTGAAGAGTGTTTGATAGGAAATCAAGTCTTGGCAACGAAATCGATTGGGATTAGAATAAATAACATGACGAAAGACCAAAGAAAATACGGGCCAGCCCAAACCCGCATCGACCAGCAGTAAGGTATCACTCAATCTCCCCCACCAAACGCCATTCCATCGTACAAGCTTCCATAGTAAAAATCATCGCCTAGGGCTCTTTGCTCTCGTCAACGAACTTAGTGTCCTTTCCCTCAGGGGTAATTGGGACCTCCTTATCCGCCAAGTTCCAGTCGTTCAAGTATCCAACACCAGCAGAAAGGTAGGTAGCGAATCCCAACCATCCCAGGTATGGAGCCAGAGCCCAGCCAGCGACTGGGTCAACCTGCCCCCAAATGTATGCAAGGTAGCTGACCGTTCCGGTAAGAGCGACAATATCGACAGTAGCCTCGACTGGGCGCTTGAGCCAGAAGAAGAGAGGTGTCCAGATGAGGTTGAGGCCGAGTTGGATTGTGTAGAGGGTGGCGCCTTGTTTGGTGAGGAGATGCTTTTCAGCGGATGCGAAAGTCGACATGCCGGTGCTATAGGCGCGGTAGGCAGAAAAGCCCATTAGGCCGTAAAGGACGGCTGGTAGGATATCAATCAGTATGGTAACTCAGTTGAGGAAGGTTCATGCGTCCAAAATAAACATACTCCATGCTGGGCCAAAGACGTATGGGGGAGGGCGGTAAGGTGGCTGCTTAAGAGCCATGTACGTCTTTTGGGACTTCTTTGCTAGACATATGTTAGTCCAAGCTCGCAGATTGTTGTTATGTTTGGAGACATACGGCTCACGGAGTAGCCAACAGCTGTGCCCAGAGCGATTGGGAACAAGATGGATGCTGCCGGGTTGGCAAACAAGGCTGCTGGCAGCGTGATGCTGGGAATGAAGGTGGTCATGGTCGCGATCCGATGCTGTAGAGGGATGGATTGATTGTTAATGGGAGGATGTATGTGTTCAAGATGAGGTTGAGGCGAGTTAGAGAGAGAGCGAATGAACAATAGTAGAAGAAGAGAAGAGCGGAAGAGAAGAGAAAGCTGTGGCATGCGGTTGTTTTAAGCATCGACTTGTTGGTATGGGGTGGTATGGGGTGTTGAGTTGGCTGAGCTTCCCCTCTCTCTCATGACGTCGGAATGCATTGTCCAGGGTCTACGGATAGAAAGGGCAGGCGAGGCGTAAGTTAAAGTAGCTGGAGAGTTTACTTACTACTTATGAATTGACGTAGCCCCTGCGATTGTCGTGCAATTGAAGATATTCCCTGAAGATAATAGCCGATAAAGTCGCAGTCGGATATGTATAAGCTCAACCGGCATCTCTAAGTAATAGTGGGCCTTGACGTCGCAACTTTTGGGGCCCTTCCCTAAAGTGGGCGAAAAAATTATGTCCCGCGAAAAAATTATGTCCCGCTTCAACGCCAAAAATCGCGAGGAACGTAGACACTTCAACAACACTTCAACACAACATTTTCTATCAAACATTGACCTACGTACCCAAATAAAAATAAGCAAAAAACGCGCGCGCGCTCTTGCACTTCCTGATCCTAATTCTGAATACCAGAAGCTTTTAAAAGCTTCTCAACATGAGCGAATACAGCTAGCATTCGAATGGCTCCTCGAAAACCCTTCCGAAACACCTCTTACTGCGAGTCGCATTCATATGATAGAGAAGCCTGATACTTTAAAGCGAAGATGGAATAGGTATCAAGCTAAACAAGCTCGATTGAAAGAGGGGAAAGCGCTACAAGTAAAGAGGCTTATAGTTCTATCAGCAGCACAGCACAAAGCTGTTTTGATCTACGCCGCAGATCAAGCAACTAAAGGAGGGAAAGGAGCTATTAAGCGTATGCTTTATCGATGCATTTGCTACCTTAAAATACAAGAAAATAAGCTAGAACCTTCTTAGCGTTGGTTTCAATCTTGGTTGAGAAATACAGCAGAACTCTATGTTATACGGACCAAACCAATCGCATCTCATCGCGTCGATATGCATACCGAGAAATCTCTCTCCAACTGGTTCCATACCGAGCTTGTTCTTGCTATCTAGTTCTGCGGAATTAGGCTTAAAGATAGGCATAGAATCGCAAATATAGATGAGAAAGGCGCGCGGATTTGTATGCCGGCCGGAGAAGAAGTTATCGTACTTATCGGAATCAAAGAGATGTATATAGGAATCTATGAAAATCGACTATCCGTAACTGTGATCGAAGCTATTCTTGCCGATAGAAAAGCTATTCTTCTAATAATTATTATGCCCGGAAAGCAAATTATAGCGTTTTGGTTTTCCGAAAAGATGACTGGACATGAAGTTATTATTGTTTCCGAATCCGGTTATACGAACGATAGGATTACTATAGAGTAGCTTAAGCACTTTATTAAGCATACCGATCAAGGACCCGATAAACCGTAGATGATATTATTACTTGATGGTCAGCTTTGCTACGAAGCTTTAAATTTCATTCTATTAGCTAAACAAAATCGTATATAGCTTATCAAATTCCTTTCTTATCAAACTCATCTTTTACAACCTCTCGATGTCGGCTGCTTTCGCACTTGGAAACATAATCAACAATGTGCTATCATGGATGCTATTCGAGGCTTCGAAGCTGAATATACTATTTCATCGTTTATGCGAGACCTTTCTTAAATTCGCGAGCAAACTTTTACAACTCGGAATATCAAACACGCTTTTCGAGATGCAAGAATGTGGCCGATCAGCTTTTCTTAAATTCAACGCAAATTGAAAGAGTATAGTAAAAAGAGTAAGAAAGAGGCGGGATTGCATATACTCGAGTACGGAGAAACGTTTGATCTTGAAGAAGATGAATATTCTTTTTCAATCGATAAGCAATTTAACGAATTACCTCTTCTTGCGCTACCTCGACCTCTTTAATCTTTTCAAGATTGCGTAAAGCAACTCGACGATCTGAACGATAAGATCAGAATAGCTCTTTCTTCTCTTAGCCGCTAACGCTTCGATATCGCGAAACAAGGTACCGAGACTTAGTTGTTACGAAGAAGCCTTGATCAAGCAGAACTCGATAAAAATCAAAAGCTTCAGCGCGATACACATCGGAAAAAGCTGATTGGAAGGTCGAGTTTGCAAACGAGAGGGAATATACTAGCTTTTAAAGCACTCGAAAAAGTCAAGGCTATAAAGATAAAAAAGCAAGAAGCTAGTCTTAAGATAGCGAACGCTAAACTCAAGTCAGCAACGATTAAAATTCGAAACGATCGTTATAATCAAAGAGTTCTTGATCGGAAAGCCGAAAAAGAGCGAAAGAAATGGTTGAACGAAGCGTATAAGCAACAAGGTCGAGGGATTCTTATACACATTCCACCCGAACGAGAAGTCCTTATTCGAGACCGCGAAAAGCAACCTATAGCAGAAGAACTAGAAGCTGATAATATTGATTTGATTTCTTTTCGAGACGCAGTTGCAAACGAAGAAGCTGCGTTAAAAGAAGTTCAAGAAAAAGATCTTGCTACATTCGCGGACCTTTCGTATTCAATCGATCCTCAAATCCTTACAAAGGAAAAACGCTTTCGAATCAGACAAAACCCATTATCTTGCATTCAAATTAGCGATGACGACGAAGATAAAAGATTAAATACCTTACCTTCGTCTCCTTTAGCAAAAATGATGCTTACTAGGTGGGAAGAGCCTGAAAAAGAGCTTGAAGAGAAAGAAGATTCGATATCGATTCGATCTGTAGCATCTCTTAATTCAATTCAAGGGACACGCGGTGAAATAATTTTTTCGTAGCTTAATTAAGAATGAATAATATTATTAAATATATATATATATATATTATTGCAACGTTGTGAGCAATGTTATGAGCAATATAAGTGTCTACGTTCCCCGCGATTTTTAGCGTTGAAGCGGGACATAATTTTTTCGCGGGACATAATTTTTTCGCCCACTTTAGGGAAGGGCCCCAAAAGTTGCGACGTCAAGGCCCACTATTAGTAGATCAGCTGGGCTGTTGATGCTGTTGATGTCTCGCTTGGTTCTTTGAGAACGCTAATCCTATCTTAGCAGTATCATGCCCCGCTATCGCTATCTCTGCCAATTTGCCCAATCAAGAGCAGCCGAGCTAGCTTACTCTGGCGCTCGCTTTGGCCCTCCCGACTCCCGAGCTCCCTTCACTTCACTCCGTACACCCCCCCTCCACCCACCTTCCTCTTCTCGGACAAGCTTCCCAGCCGCCCGAGCTCGACCCGGTTTCAGTCCTCGACCCGGATCCCGACAACATTGACCTTCTCTTCCTCTCATCGCATCTCCAAGCCAAAGTCCAAGTCCAACTCCAACTCCAAGTCCATCAATACCAACTCAACCTTGGACGCGGATAACCCTTCTGCCTCTCCTTTGTGAGAGCGTGCCCATCCTCCTCCTCATTCTTTATCCTCAATCCATTGTGTTCGTCTATCCCTCTCTACCTCTTCTACATACAATAATACTCTGCCCTTCTGCACATCCTCCTCGTACCTGTCAGCCAGCACTGCACTGCCCGTCATATTTATCCCATCAAACTCAATCCTCTTCTCCCTCTTCAAGATCAGCTCGTTTCGATCAGACAGTGTCGTCGTCTCCGCCATTCATAGGCGCTCGAATCCCTTCTTTCTACTTCATTCTCCACACTGTCCTCGTCTATTCTATCTATTCTATACTACTCAGAACCTCGCGCGCCCCCACCCCAAACATAACTCACAACCTTTTTTTTTTGGAACACTCGTCTGACAGCAATCATGGCATCAAACAGCAGCATCGTTGTCCTACCCTTCTTCCGTCAAGCACCAGGTGTTACTTGACAATCAACAAACCCGCCGTCTCTACGCGCCGTCTAAAAGAAACCCGACTGTCCTACCTACGAGCTGGCACTCTTTCGAGCCTCGATATCGACCTATCGATAAGATGGATGCATATCAGGGATACAGGGAACCTCTCTCGGCACGCTCCCCGACAGATCGCACAGCCTGGGGCCGCGATGATAATTACAGAACGAATGACCGAGCAGAAAATGTTCGCCCGGACCGTAGTGATACTTTCTACCGTGGCAGATCTCCTGGTACGTTAATTCAAGAGATATTTGTAACTCTATCATAATAAGGCAGCTTTTCCTCGTTGCATGCAACTGCAATCCTGAGAGCGGCACCATACATGGCATATCAACACACTTGCTTTTAGACAGAACTTTTTATCCGTTAGGAGGTGATTATACTTACATTCTATTTCCAGGTGTTGATCGCAGCCGCCGACCTCGCGAACGATCTCGCTCACCAGCAGCCATTGATCGTTACGAGCCCTCAAGCCGCGGTCGGGATGACTACGGTAGACGAGACCGTGATCGTGAGAATCGCCGTGTCTCACCAGCTCCGATTAACATCGATCGATATGTCCCTAGTCAAGAGTCTGTTCCCCCACCCATTACTGTCAACCCTCTAGCCGACCCCGCTACCCTACAGTTTCAGGTTGGGTTTTCCTACTTTGGGGAGTGGTGGCGTACAAATGAGAAGATCAAGGAGGAGAAGGAGCGAGCCAGAACCGGCAAGCGAGGGGAACCACTGCGCGCGCGCGATAATCAAGATGACCGCGAGAAGGAGAAGGCGAAGATCCAGGTTGCGTACGATGCATATAAAGAAGATCTCCAGGCTAGGATGGCCAAGCAATTTGTTGCAGATCACAAAGCCGAGCAGTGGTTCCAGGAGAGGTACTACCCAGAGATGAAAGATGCGCTTAGGTTGCAACTCAACGAATTTCGACGTGGTAACTACAGCCTATGGGAGCAAGATCTTGATTCGGGTACTTTTGACGAGTATTCTCTGGAGGGTATCCCCAAGAGCGAAAGCAATGGTGCTGGAGGAGTGGTGGAGAAGGAAGAGGGGGAAACTTCGGCAGCTAACGAGGTTCTTGGTGTCGGAGACCTCGTCCCATCTCGAGGAAGCGACATCAGAGACGAGAATGCTTTCCAACCAACACTCCTCATCAAGACAATAGCCCCAAATGTCAGCCGTCAAAATTTGGAAGCTTTCTGCAAGGAACACTTGGGCGAGGACGAAGGTGGATTCAAGTGGTTGAGCTTGAGCGATCCCAATCCAAGCAAGCGTTACCATCGCATCGGCTGGGTTATGTTGCACCCTGCCCCTGAAACCGCTCCGATTCTCGACCGACCCGATCCAAAAGATGAGGACGAAGAAGGAGGTATCAAGCCTCCTGTCGTGACCCAATCGACTGCCGAAAAGGCTCTTGAGGCGATTAATAGCAAGACTGTAAAGGATGAGGTTCGAGGTGACTTTACTTGCCATGTTGGTGTCCATGCCCCGCCTATCATGCCACGCAAGAAGGCCTTGTGGGACTTATTTTCTGCCCCTGAACGCATCGAGAAGGATCTTGAGCTCGCTCAGCGACTGGTTCAGAAGTACGAGGAAGATTTTGGCTCTGATTTCAATGCAGTATTGAAGATTGAAGAGCGCGTGGAGGACCTGAAAAATCAAGGACGCCTCCAGCCAGCCATAACTGCTTCAACGACCAAGAAGACCAAGAAGCCCCGGGCTCTTGATCTTGATGAGGCCATGGATGAGGGCGAGGAGTTTGAGGATGGCGAAGAAGAAGATGAAGAGGAGGGCGCTCTCGATGACGAAGTTGATGATGAGGATCTTCTTATCAAGAAGAAGCAGCTCGATCTGATGGTAGAGTATCTTCGCCGAGTCTTCAACTTCTGTTTCTTCTGCGTTTTCGAGAGCGACTCGATTCACGAGCTCACTCGCAAATGCCCCGGTGGCCATCTTCGCAGGCCTCGCAACACCCTCAGTACTGCAGGTAAAGCTGCTGCGAGAGCTAGTGCACTCGGCGAGCCATTCCAATTTAAGAAACGCGGTAGTGATATGCCTGATGATTTGCAAACGCCTACTTCTCCCAATAATGAAGATCGCAAGTTCTCCCGGGGAAATGTTGCTTCCAAAGCGGAACAACAACTTCAACGTGCCTTTAACTGGGTCAAGACTTACGAGGAGAAGCTTATGCAGATCCTTGAGCCTGAGGCTATTGACGTCAGAAAGTTGGGTGGCAGGCCTACAGACGAGGCCGTGAAAGACGAGCTGGTAAAATATGTGAAGCAGGAGGATGAACACAAGTTTAGATGTCGCGTTCCGGAATGCACCAAATTATTCAAGGAGAAGCACTTTTGGGAGAAGCATGTTGAGAAACGTCACCCAGAGTGGCTCGAGGGCTTGCGAAAGGACGTAGGTTATTCCTACTCAGACGTTTTGGCTCCGCTAATGGATCCATAGTTTGACCTAGTCAACACCTACGTTTCTGATCCAGCTCATATAGCCCCTTCACGTTCCGACGCTAACAGCAATGGCCATTTTCCCATCTCCAATGGTCACATGCCAGCCGGTACCCCTCGAGGGTTCAACCTCTCAAATTACGGACAGATTGGTATGCCACCAATGCAAGGTTTTGGCCAATCCGGCTTCCCAGCTTTCTTCCCCGGCAACATACCAGCTGGAAACTGGAACACTGGAGGTGATGGCCGTGGCGGTGGACCCATTAGACGCGGCGCCAGACAGTACCAACCCAGCGCTCGCCCAGGACCATACGACCGCCGTCCAACTCAACAACGGTTTGGCGAGAATGTTGGCAGACTAAGCCCACCTCCTGGTGTCCGTCGCAGTGGCATGCCTGGCGGCGGCAGATGGGGCGATGGCGCTGCTGGTGGTGCAGGCGGTGCTGTCGGGCCGAGGGAAGCTGTGCAGGGCCGAAGCCTGAAGTCTTATGAGGATCTCGACGCTGTCGCCGGTGGTGCGGGTGGGGAGTTGAACTACTAAGCTTACTGGATGGGACCGGCTTGTGATGATGCGGGATGTATGCGGATAGGCGAAAGATGAGAAGTGCTTTCAAAAGTTGTGGGAGGCGTTGGGGCATGGAATTCAATTTTGCTATTTTACTGGCTACTTCCTTTGCTCTTTATGTACCATAGCGCAGTCAAAACTGAAGATGAACCTGGATCCTTCTCTGCCATTAGCTATCAAATGAAATTGGGTGATGGCTCTTTAAAAAAAAAAAAGATTCTGCCAAAATGACTTGAACTTGGGTCGGGCACGATGCTTGTATAGTTCCATTGGCTGAAGTTTGAAGAATGGGACTAGATCTTACTCAATTATCAAGTTCGTTTGCTCTTACCTCAATACCTTCCCTTCCATCATTCGAAATGCTCACCAGCTGCGTAGGTACTTACAGTGCTCTAATCGAAAAAATCAACCAGTTATCCCACCTAAGCTCCTCCTAGCTTTGAACGGGCTGTCGTGAATCGCAAGATAGGATCGTTCGTGGCACTGCACCCTTTCTCTCTCTCTTCCGTTCCATGGGCTCCTCTCTGCTTCTCTGCTTCTCTGCTTGCCGGAGATTCTTTAATTTGGGGACAGCTGCAAAAGAAGACAGATACGGACCTTGATTTTAAATATAGATGGCTATTGGCCTCTGACGGCTCTGAATACCATCCTGGGATCGAGGGCTCATCATAGCCAGCCGGAGAAGACGAGGGCTCATATCTTCCCGTCCGGGTCTGCTCGCACGCAGTCCTTTCTAGATCGGTTCATTCTCCTACTCGACCTTGGAAAGAATCGGGGGATGAAAGGCTAGGGGGAGAAGCGAGGAGGAGGAAGAAATGGGACCTCTGCGTCGAAGGAAGGCGCTACGCGGGCATCGAGTTGGTTTTGGAGGCAGCGGTCTCACTTGGAAAAACATGGCACGTTTATTTGAATCCGCTGAGTTCTTGGTCATGGTGACTAGGAGGTAGGTGGTCTTTGAGCCTGAATTGCAGCAGATAAAAAATCCAATTCGAGTTTCCGATCTCTTGATGACTACCGTGAACTAGATGCAACTGAGCCAGTCAATCATGATTTCTTTTCCTTTTGTACTCCGGTTTCCTTTCGCACGTGTCCGGATGTGTTGTTGTTGTTGTTGTTATTGTTGTTGTTGTTGTTGTTGTTGTTGTTGTTGTTGTTGTTGTTGTTGTATTTATTAACGTCGGGCGGGTGGCAGGCTTTGCTTGCCGCCCTGGGACCTCCCGTGAGGTACGGCGACGTGCTAAGTAGAGGAATTATATACTAAGTATCATTTAATCGAGAGTAAAAACCACGTTGAAGAATAGCTCTCTTTTAAATAGCCTCGGGTCTTTGATCCCGCGGTATCGCAAACTCTTTGTAAGCCTTTCAAAGCATTTCAAGTTGGTGCAGCGCAGCTGCTATCGACTATGCCTTTGTTTTATAAGTAATATAGATCGCAGAAAACATAAATCTTATATCGAAGGAAAACCTGAAAAGCAAGTTATAGCCGAAGTAACGTATACCGATATCGATATGATGTCGAGATAATTCGAGGCCGAACCGAGTTTCATCGTCGGTTACCTTAAATTTAATTCGAGAGAATTGTCCGACGTGCCGCAGCCAGGTCGGGAAATTTTACAAATTAAATTCAAGGTTACCGACGATTAGTCAAGTTGCCTTTTCCGAAGGCCCAATATCGTAAATTGTCCTAAACCTCTTCCCACTTCTTTCAACCCGTTCATCTACTATCGCAAATCTTCTTGCTCTTTTCAATCGGTATACCCGTCAAGTATAGATCGTAGTCGGCGTGGTGGTCGAGGTAAGAGGAGGCTCGTTCGGAATCGCTGGTAAGGGAAAATCTCTTCGAAATAGCTACCTTGATTCAATTTCGGCTCTCCAGTCTCTCTCTGCCGCAGGAAAGAGAGCTGAAGGTTCGTAGGGGGTACCTCGTACAGCTAAAGAATCGTAGCCCCTCGTCTCCGAATGAGGCAGGAGCCAATGGGCTACTACTTCTCCAACAGCATTAGACTCTCGAGATGTAGCTATGAGAAGTGCAATATCCAAACTTTATTTCAAGATTAACTGTTGGTTATCATTTAAAACGCGATCGACACGCTGAATGGAAGCGTCAGACCCGAGTATCGCGAGCCGAAACCCGAACTATTCGGACTAGGCCATTTGACGCCTGAGCCTGGTCCAGCAGCAGCGGTATATTTTGCCAAAGCAGGGGCATTCATGTACCTTTTATTCTCTTGAAACCCATTAACGGAAAGCTCAAATGCTAACTAAAGAGGACTCTCGATTGGCTGCAACTTCTGCCATATATTGCAAGTCCCCCTCTGCTTTCGCCGCTCACTCATATCGGGAAAGTAAACAAAGCAAAACAAAACAACAAACACGTCTGAGAATCCCTCTTCATTCCGTTCTCTCTCGTTTTATGGCCACAAATGTATTTTCTGTAGCTGATATCCTATACCCCCATACCAGAATTCAAGGTTAAGATATCAGCAAATAGAGCCTGACGCGCTAGTCTCCACTAGCGACTTTCCACGAGGAAGAACATGGCTTTTTGTTGCACGTCGCAACGGAGCGGAAGACATCTCTCTACCCACAAGGTTGACAGGGCCTTACCGTAGCTTTGACAACAGGGCTTCCCTTGCGCAGCAGAGCAGTGTTTTGTGGACACCGAATAGTCACCGGGATCTACGGTACGATGAACTTGTGGTAGGGAGAATAGAGTTATACTACTGAAACACTGCTATTCGGTTGCAGGTCTGCTTTTGCACAACAGCACTTGAGTCCTAAATTTAGTAATAGGAGACTTTTCCCCGCTTCGTCTCGCCTTTTGCTCAGATCAGACAGATCGATGTGATCTCATAGCCATCTTTTCGGTGCGCTATGAATGAAGCAGGAGATATCTTCAACATCAAGTCATCTAGATGTACGTTTCGCTTACCTTCATCGACATGATTCCTATCCATGGATTGCTGCTACAAGCCACGCTCGAAAGTAAACAATGCAATTTCAATTCTCGAGCAAGTTCCTTTACTACTACCCCCCAGGCGCAATAATTACCGCCCGAGGCTTAGGAAACCAGGGTGTTTAAAGTGGAGTTTTAAGCTTTTGAGTCACCCCAGGCAGTAATTACTAGGGCTGTACTGTGGTACTACAGTACGTACTACGTCGCAGGCGTAAGTATTACCCCTCGAGGGTAGGGAAAACAGGGGGTTCCAAGTGGAAACTAAACTTTTAAGGCACCCTCGAGGGATAATACTTAGGCCTGTACCGTGGTATATCCTATCGACAGCATGCACACGCTCAACGTTTGCGGTTTTGCATATCCGCGGCCAACTGCATTCTGATATTCGAAGAAGAGTACCTATGAGATATTTCATTTGAAAGTAGGATGCTCCGCAATTGACCAGCGAAGAAACTGGGGCATTTCTGAAACCCGGATCGGATGCAGCGTCGTGGTGGTTGGCCTTACGTAGACGGAGGACGGAGACCTAGGGTAAGTAATGTCCGCGATCAAATTGCGTCTCGAGCCTATCTGTCAAAACTTTGATGGAAGTTCTTCTGGCAAGCCGATCAGCATTGGTCAACACGTCAAGTGGTTTGATCTACTACTATCTGCATTCAAGAAAAGCCAAATCGCTTTCCGGAAGGCGCGGACAAACTCTCGGGATTGGCTCAGTCGATCTGATCTAATATTGTAGTAGTAGTAGTAGTAGTAGTAGTAGTAGTAGTAGTCCATCTGCGATGGGCGAGCCTTTCCCCTACACGGAAAGTCTTTCAATGCGTATTCATTTCACGCGAGAAAAAAAACATTGTAGATGAGATGGGATGCTGGGTTGTGGACTTGACTCCTTTGTACTACAGCATGCTAGTCACCAGAGCTCCACAATCCAGAACATACTTTTACTGGGGGTGGGTCCATGCTGTTTTTATAAGCTTTTATTGTCAGCTAGTAAGTACTATTAATATACTACCCTTCCGCCTCGATTACGACTAAACAACCCTATTTCATCGTTTCAGTGAAAGCAACAACTCTATCCTTCCGAATCGAATCCCACGCTTCTTGAACAACTGCTCTCAGCCGAAAGTGGCTCAGAAAAGCGTTTGGATGATAACTACAAACGAAACTTTTTCTCCAGTTCTTATTCCAAATCGTCTTGATCCTTCGAAGATTTGGAGCTTTGAAGCGACTCTGTTATTGTTGTTGTATTTATTAACGTTGGGCGGGTCTCCAAAACGCAATGCTTGGACACGAGGACCCCCTATAGGGTACGGCGACGTACTAAGTAAGGAATTATATACACCTTATAAACCCTTTCAAAGCATATCATAGTAATGGCGCCGAATTTTCTCTCGTCAATTGTCAAACACGTGTGGCTTTACGATCGGCCTCGATCCGTATAAGTATAAATATCGTTTTCTCTTGTCGTAGAGCTGAAAAGGCTCGCGTTCGTAGCCCTTGTATAAAGCCAGTGTTTGCAAAATGCTCTTTCGAAAGCGCAATACCGTGTTTTCGATTAGTCGATTTAAGCCCTTCTTATCTTATCTTTTGTACTCGTCATTTTTCTATAGAAATCCTTTTAGTCTTTTCAATCGGTATGCCCGTTAAGTATAGATCGTAATCGGCGTAGTGGTCGAGGAAAAAGAGGAAGGAGGTTCGGAACCGCTAGTAAAGGAAGATCTTTTCAAAGAGACGTCGCATATCAATGATTCAATTTCGGCTCTCTAGACTTTTTGCCGCAAGAGAGAGCTGAAGATTCGTAAGAAGCATCTCGTACGGGTAAAGAATCGTAGCCTTCCAGAAGCGACTCTGTTTGGGTGCCGAAACGTTGATCGAATCATGATTGATAGAAAAGTTATAGAAGGGTAGCGATAAATTCCTTGATACAACTACGTAAGTGGAGTTTCGAGTAGTTTCTATTAATGAATATGAGCTTTGGTTGTTGTACTCCGTCTATCGTAGTACAATTGAGCGTGTTTCCGATTCTTGAAAGGTCACTCGTAAACCTTATTTTATTATAAAAACCTTTGTTACTTTAAATTTTCAATAATAAGGCCTATAAGATAGTATACGCTTTGGTTTTGCTCCAATCCTTTTCGAATCCTGCTTATCCGGTTCGTTCTATTCATTGCTGAAATGAACCCCCTTTCTAGAATTCGGACTTCTAGAAAAACTGAGTACCGTAAAGTAAAACTATTTTCAACTCTTCATTACCTTTACTTGAAGAAATATCTGGATATGTACGGAGTAAATACAAGAACTGCGAAATAGCTAGATGAGCTTTTAATATACGTAATACGGAAGTGTTCTATTTCGCTTAATAGAATTCAGACAGCTGCTGCCAAAATTGTGTATATATGCTCATACCTCTACACCTTTTCCGTCCTACATACCTTCATCGATCACATCTCAAAACAATTCAGGAAATGTATATGTATATATCTATTCCACTAGCAATCCAATACAAGCAAAGCGAAAACGCAATTCTCCATTACTTCTCTTGTCATCACTCTGGCTTTTACCTCTTCGGTATTCGCCGCCCCCAAGCCTCAAGATAAGCCAACACCCGGCAAGTTGCGATTACCGCCCAAGTGATAAAGATAAAACCCTCCTCTGCTTCGTCGGTGGCATCGTACATGACTACCTATATTTTCTGCAAATGGTCTTCAAAATTGTACGTGGCTACACATCGGAGACGCTACATCGGAAAATACGGGGCTACATGCACCGAGAAATTCGGCTACTAAGCATGCCCGCAGTGATTACTCCGTAAGAGAGGGCCGGTAAGCGTCGATGAGACATGCAGAGATAGATGGGTAGTCGCCAATCGGTTGTAGCAAGTGACTTTGAACTATGGAAAGGGCGATATTTCTAGAGCTACTGGGAGCAAATTTAAAAGTGAAAAGACTTGCTTGCTCGAAGAAGCTGACGCTACTTCCGAAAACATCTCAACTGCTCCAATGTGTGCTGAGACGCTGCTATCACTCCAACTCGACACATTGAAATATCCGTACAAAGACCTCGCATTACTTCAACAGGGCTTCAGAGCCGAAACCTCCAGGAAGAATACACCCGAAATCGCCAGTCAAGATGACTGACTGCTACTTCGTGAAATCATTTTGCTTCAAGCCATCTTAGCGTTCGATGCCTTCTCCTCATCCGCCTCCTTCAGTGCCATCTCAATCGAAGTCCATTCCAGCTCAGGATATCGCTCGTTGTCCAACGGATCCAGCTTTCCCCTTCCCGAAACCATATTCTCCAAATACTGCATCCCCTGCCATGCTGGCATTAGCTTATCCTCCTCCCCTCCAATAAAGAACTTCAAGATCGCACTCAATATTTGCAGGACGCCAACACTTCCCGTCCACATCGGTGTGTACGTCTCTCCTCGCAATTTAGACACCGTCTCAGCCAAACTCTTCGCGCTGAAAGAGTCACCCGCGATACGCAAAAACTTTGGCGTCGGGTTCGGATCCGCAGCCACAGCGGCGGTGTACGCAGCAGTGTCCGGTACAGTCGTGACATCAAGAAGCTGATCCGCGCTACCAAAATACAAAACCCTATGCCATCCCTCATGAATGAGCGGGATCTGTCCGCTAGCAACTAAGTCCATAAAGGCTCCGTTCAACACGCTAGTCCATTGAATGCCCGACGCATCAAGCTTCTCGTGGAACTCGCGTCTCAGATCTAGATTCCGGTTGGACCCAGGCGCGCATTTCGTGAAGTCCAACGAGAAGTCGGAGGGGATGAAGCGAGAAACTTTTGCGGCGACGGCGGCGTCAAGGAGAGTGCCTTGCGCGCCGAGCATGACATCTCGGAGACCTTGTAGTGCCGAGACAACGGTAGTGCAGCCTTGGAGAGCCTCTGTCAGGGCTGGCACATCAGTCATATTAACTTCTGCAATGATGACGCCGGCGTCGCGGAGACTTTGGGTGCGAGATTGTGATGTGCCGGGACGGACGAGAGCTTTGACTGTGATGTTCCTTTTGCGCAGGTTGATGGCTATCAGGGAACCTAAGTTTCCTGTAGCACCTGCAACTGCAACGAAGCTGTTGGTAGTAGAAGTTGACATATTGAAGAGCTGTACGGTATGACGTGGTTGACTGATTGTTGTTGATGTTCGGATATGAGGAAGAGGAATGGATCTGCTTTATGGAAGAAAATGACAAACTAATGGTCCGGACTGTATTTTTAAAGGACCGAGATGGGTTGTCAACAAATGAATAATCGATTACGGAGTACCGCCTTCCAGCATTTTAGAAGAACCAACATTTTGAGGTAAGACAGAACGGACCCGATTGGTCTATGAGCGAATTGTCGCTCAACGAATCTTGCTTCCGATAACAAATTTCAGCCATGAAGCTGTTCGTGGTCTAGCGTTAGGGCTGGTGATTCCTAGCCATATTGACAGACTAATGACCATGACAAGCGAAAAGAAAAGCGAAGAATGGAAGAGCTAAGAGTGCTAGATTCGAGGGTTGCTTAGTACCACAATTCCTATGCCCGCTCCAAGTCTCCTGGGTTGTAGGCTCTCCTTGGATTAGCATAATATCAACCTGCCAGCTGCAAATGTAGCAAATGCAATCGAAAGTGGGAACCAAGCCAAAGGTCAAACGAGGATCAGCTGCCTCGGATCCATTATGCAGCCCAAACACCTACGCCGCTAGTATAATACACCTATGCTATGCTGCTCCAACCCTTTAGTTGTATTGCATGTAAGTAGCGGTGGAGCTAAACTTCATGTTCCCCTTGATGACCTTCTCCACTGCACTCAAGAAATCCTTCTCAGTCGCGACCTTCCTTCTGGCACGGATGGCATACATGCCAGCCTCTGTACAAACACTCCTAAGCTCAGCACCAGTTGAGTTGGGGCAGAGACGAGATATTAGTTCCCATCTAATGTCACGCTCCACGGACATGCTCTTGGCGTGAATTCGCAGGATATTGGCACGCCCCTCGAGATCTGGAAGAGAGAACTCGATTTTTCGGTCGATACGTCCGGGCCTCATGAGAGCAGGGTCCAAGGTCGCGGGTCTGTTGGTAGCAAACATGACCTTGATATTTCCTCGCGCATCGAAACCATCCAGCTGTGTAATCAACTCCAGCATGGTTCTCTGGACCTCGTTATCTCCACCAGCTCCATCATCGAAACGGGCACCTCCAATGGCATCAATTTCGTCGAAGAAGATGATGCAAGCCTTCTTGGTCCGGGCCATCTCGAAAAGCTCTCTGACCATTCTTGCTCCCTCTCCAACGTACTTTTGAACTAGCTCACTTCCAATAACCCGGATAAAGGTAGCATCGGTTCTGTTGGCAACGGCTCTGGCGCAAAGTGTCTTTCCGGTTCCTGGAGGCCCGTAGAGAAGCGCACCCTTCGGGGGATCGATACCTAGGTTGACGAATCGCTCTGGCGACAGAAGCGGCATCTCTACGACTTCGCGGAGCTTCTCGACCTGTTCCTTGCATCCTCCCACGTCTCCATATGTAACATCCGGCTTATCCTCAACAGTCATCATCGTAACACTGGCATCGATCTTCGGTGGAAGGGGTAGTAGAATCTGGTACTTGTTTCGATCGACACTGTGATGCATAAGCCCTGTTCCTCTTCCAGGTTCCAGAACTGCTTACCCAACTCTCATTCCCTCTTCAATATCCGTCGGACTGACTCGGTCCCCGAGATTGACCACGAACTTGGCTATTTGCTTGACGTTGATAACATATTTGCTCTTCTCGGCTTCCTTGTCATCCTGGATTATCTTCGTACATCTCGCAACTTGTAGAGGCTGCTCCTCGGACATTCGTTGTCTGTCTGCGGCAACGTCCCAAAGATGGGGCGGGGCCAATCCAGTATCTGATTCCTTCACTCCAATCTTCTCGTTCACGCTTGCTTGCCTCTCTTTGATCTGCTGTTCAAGCTTCTTCAGCGCTGCTCCGTATGGTGCCGCACCGTACGTCTTCAGAACTTGGATATCCCTAACCAAGTAAGCAGATATTTAGTTTAGAGCTCTGGGCCTAGATACTCATCGGTGAGAGGTACGATCTTCTTCTCCTCGACCTCGTCATCTGCGAACTGTCCACGAGTCAATGATCTATTTCTGCGGTCACTAGGCATGTGGAGATACATACCTCTTTGGTGTGCTTCTCCCAGTTTGCACCCGTAGCTCTACAGTAAAATAGCCGTCAGTGTGTGCGTACTCAGGAAGCGCACGACGTAAGTCGCATGTTCTAGGAGCTCAGGCCTGGGGCAACGCGCAATCGTGTTTGAAGGCAGTCCAGAACCCCGGGGGAGAATGGCCAAAGAATGCAACCAGGAGTACTTACGAAGGCATCTTGAGAGGTTTGATATGAGGATTCAATACGTCGTCGAAGTCGTAGTTATCGAAGAGTTGAGGTTGATGTGATGCGACTTGTTGACGTTCCTGAGGTAGACAGACACAAGGCGGAAGCTCTTACGCAGCGGACCTAGCTAAATGTCTCCACTTAAAGAGCGTGAATCGGCTTAGCGCCATATCAAAAAGTTGCCCTGCAATTGATTTGCAGAACACGCGTTGAAGCGCGACGACCAGCTCAACTCCACACACCCAACGCAAAAATTCGCCTTTTATTTTCCCTGATACGCTGAATCAACATCAAGATGGCGCTCTCACAATCTGCGGGAAATTCTACCAATGCGTCCTTCAAGGTACGTTCTTTTGGAGATATAAAGCACTTTGGGCATAGCTAATAGCAACATAGGACAAGGAGAAGCCAATGGCTGTGCGGGCTGCAAATATTATGGCTGCGAGAGGTTTGATACACTTGCCTAGAGCTTCGAACAATAAATTGCTGACTTTGGATCAGCTTTGGCCGATGCAGTACGGACATCCCTCGGTCCTAGAGGAAGTGAGTTGAGATCCTTGGATTTGAAGTTGGAAACCATATATTGATTTGCTTCGAGTGGACAAGATGATCCAGTCAGGGCGTGGGGAGACAATAATTACAAACGACGGTAGCACGATGTTGAAGAGCATGGCAGTTATGCACCCTTCGGCGAAGATGTTGGTCGACCTTTCAGCAGCGCAGGATGTCGAGGCAGGAGATGGAACGACTTCGGTTGTAGTAATTTGTGGAAGTCTACTCGGGGCTGCGGATAGGTTACTCGGAAAGGGCATACATCCATCAGTCATCGCAGAGGCTTTCCAAAGAGCAGCAGCAGCAGCAGTACAGGTCCTCCATGATATGTCACATCCAGTCTCTCTAAACGATACGACCGCCCTCCTCCAAGCAGCTACCACCTCTCTTTCCTCCAAAATCGTCTCGCAACATTCGAACATCTTGGCTCCTATGGCTGTGAATGCAGTTACAAAGACCATCGATATCAAGACTGCGGATAACGTCGACTTGAAGAACATTCGCATATTGAAAAAGGTTGGAGGAACGATCGAGGACACTGAGATGGTAGAAGGTTTAGTGTTGGAGCAGCCAGTTCTCAAGAGCGGTGGTGGCCCAGTCAGAATGGAGAAGGCCAAAATTGGTCTTATCCAGTTCCAACTTTCTCCTCCCAAGCCAGACGTAAGCTTACGAAACCTCTGTCTCGTGCTCTGTACTGACCGAACCAGATGGAAAATCAAATCGTTGTCAACGACTATCGCCAAATGGACAAGATCCTGAAGGAAGAGCGCACCTACCTCCTCAACATGGTCAAGAAGATCAAGAAGGCAAAGTGCAATGTTCTCTTCATTCAAAAGTCCATCCTCCGTGACGCCGTCAATGACCTCTCCCTCCACTTCCTCGCCAAACTCAACATTCTCTGCATTAAAGATATTGAGCGTGACGAGGTCGAATTTATATGCAAATCCACCGGCTGCAAGCCCATTGCCGACATCGACTCTTTCACCGAAGACAAGCTGGGAAGCGCTGATCTTATTGAGGAAGTCCAAAGCAGCGGATCCAGAATCGTCAAGGTCACGGGAACCAAGAGTGCAGGCAAGACCGTCAGCATTGTATGCAGAGGTGCCAATTCTCTTATCCTGGACGAGGCCGAGCGCAGTTTGCACGATGCCCTTTGCGTCATCCGATGCTTGGTCAAGAAGAAAGCGTTAATTGCTGGTGGTGGAGCTGCCGAGATTGAGATTGCTTCGCAATTGGCGAGACAATCACGGGCTTTGAAGGGTACCGAGGCGATTTGCTGGAAGGCATTTGCTGATGCCATGGAAGTCATCCCCACGACCCTTGCCGAGAACGCTGGATTGAACAGTATTAAGGTTGTCACGGAGCTGAGATACAAGCACGAGAACGGCGAGAAGAATGCTGGTGTTAGCATCAAGACTGGTGGCGTGAAGATTGACATTGCCGATGAGAACGTATTGCAGCCTCTGTTGGTCAGCACGAGTGCGGTGGAGTTAGCGGCCGAGACGGTGAAGATGATTCTAAGGTTCGTTTTATCCTGCAGACTTTGTATGGCTTTCACTGACAGTAATCACAGAATTGATGATATTGCCTTGTCGAGGTAGATTGAAATGGAATGGCTCATAATGATCGTAAAAAACTTGATGTAGCAATACCAATGGCCATAATCCGTGCAACCCTCTTTGCTTGTGGGTGATTGTTTGTTTTGGTCCTGGTTCTGCCGCTCTATAGCATGTGTGGAAGGAGGACTGTACTACTCACAAAGCCTCTCTACGTTGCCGAATATGCCGAATTGTAGCTTGAGCGGCCTTAATAGTCGTATCCAGAGAAACTGGAACCCCCACTGGCAACCTTGCATTTGCCGGCTTGAATACACTATGATTGTACCTGCAAAGCTTACCGCTTTTGCACTACTCATGCGTCCATGATCCAAGGACTGTTGAGGCCAGAAGATCCCGGATATGATTCCGCATTCTCCAATGGATCACGGTGCCCGTGGTCGAAGCAGGCTGACAACCTATCAACCGTCTTCTACACAATCACGGCTAAAACCTGTACAAGCGGCTTCGTAATCCACCGCCAATTGGGGGCAAGTTTCAAGTAGGCGTACGAAGAAGATTGTGTCCTAGTGACGGTCCTGTTCAAAGTAAACAAAATACCGACAGGTCTGACAGCAATAGTTCCAACGACGTGGCGTTGTCCCTCTCTCGTCTATTCTACTTTGTCCGCAAAAATCTGTATTACTGCTAGAATCCAAGGTATTGTATCACGCGCTTTGTAACCAGCTTCTCAACATCACCAAAAATCAACATCCAAGCCAAGACAAGACCAGCCCATCTATCTCTCTCTTCCTCTCATATTGAACGACAGAGAGCCCATGCAGCAAAGCTGACCTCTCCAATGCCCTATCCTCAGCCGAACTATCTCCATTCTCGTTGGAGGGTACTTACTGTCTGATATCTCGATTGATCATGCCATATATCCCCTTTTACATTTCTCGCTCTTCACGCCCTGTTCCCGAGTTCGATGTGCAAGCACCGTAGCATGGTGCAATGAATGGCATGGAAATAGACACCTATGCCTCTCGCACAGATAAAAAGATCTTGACACGGGCGGCCTCCCAACTGCGCGTTGCACCTAGCGCAAGGCATTAGATCAGAGAAATTGACGTCGGAATCCATCAGGAACTCGGACGATTGGAGATTTTCCGGCCTTCTGGTTAGCTGCCATGGTTCCGCTCGCTGGGGGGGGAAGTCGTGGATTCTTGTTCCTACTTGAGCAGCTGGACGTCGTCTAAGTTGGATTCCCAGTGCTTGTCATGAAATCTCCATCGTTAAAAAGCCTCCTTAGTACTTCAAGTTACCATTTACTTACGAGAATTTCTTTTGAGCATATCGATTTTCGGTGTGAGTACAATGTGAGCCAGGGTGTCTCGCTTACACCCTGGTGTACAAGTCTGCGATGAGACTCAGACGGAGAAGCTGTTCATGCAAATTCGATATCATTTACGTTCCTTCAGTCACAAATCACACATTAGGCAAATGAGGAAAGTTTCAGTGCTCACAAGAGGTGTTTCAGATACTTGTAGTTCTCAAATAGATGATTTACTACGAGCTCCATTGAATGTGCAATGGTTCGTACAGGATATACCAGGCACTTAACTCATACAGATCTGTAGCTGAAGATGATTACCGCTAGTCACTTTCCTGTGATGCGAAACACCCATGAAGGCCCTGATCACAGCAGCAGTGGCATGATTTTGACCAGCAGGCTCGTCGTTTCTCCAATCACTTCACTCCAATGAAGCCCACGCCGCTCCTTGCAACTTTGAAGGCTCGCTTCAAAGCCTGCTCCTCTGTATCGGTCCACTTGACAGAAAGCTCGTCCCACTTCTTGAACTTGTACTCCTTTTTAAACTGAGTTTGCATGGCCTGTAGTCTGCTCATTTCTCGCGGGTCTCCCGAGCCGCTGTAGATGACGAAAGCCGTACAGGGTGGGAGTGCCTCGTAGATCTTTGCGATTCGGCGTGTGAGGTCTGCTGTAGCAGCATCGAGGGATTTCGGAGCTTCTGAAACGATTGGAGGCAGCAGAGCAGGAGTTCGAGGGGCAGCTGCTGGGACCGCCTCGACACTGATACCCTCACCTACCTTGGAAGTGAAGTTGAGGCCTGAATCTGGTTCCGTGGTCTTTCTCTTGGCCGCAGCAGCTTCCGCGTCAATCGCTGCAGCAGCCTCTGCGTTCAGGGTTTTATTATTGTTCCACCAGCCTTTAAGAGCTTCAAGTTCTCTGAACCTAGCCCAGACAAAGTCAACCCCGCCACCTAGAATCTCTTTGCCATCGTGATCACCTTTAACAGCACGAATAACACCATCCATGACTTCTTCGTCGCTCTTACATCCTATCGGGAAATTTGAGGCAGCTCCAGGTCCCTTTCTTGGCTCGCCCCAGTCGATAGCTGCACTAGTCTTTCCATTCAGAGGACTCGGAATCGCTGAGCCGCCCTGGTTCTTGTATTTGACGCCAGTCCTAGCTACTCGTTTGAAAATGTTCTCTCCTTGCGCATCACTTGTGCCCCATTCCTTTCCTTTCTCGCATTTTTGCTTGAGTAGATCGAGACAGGTTCTTGCATCTTCAATGGAATTGTGGCCAGCAGCTGGGCCGGTGGTCCCGTGACCTTTCTGAATTTCTCGGCTTAGATACTTTTGTGCCAACCACTTGAGAGAAGATTTGAGAGGCGGACCTCTTGGATGGGGGTATATGATTGCGGTATCGATGATGAAGGGGTGTGTGAGTTGGAGAGCGTTCAGATCGGAGTTGAGAGAGTGTCCAACGAGAATTGTTCGGGGGTGCAGAATCTCGACAAGCTTTTTTTGAATGTCGGCCAATGTTGTAGTGACTGGAGCAATCATTTTTTCTGTGATACCGGAGAACCTGAGATTTGTTAGAGGGCTCAAGGGGAAGAAAAAGGGAAGACTTACTGAGTAACGTAGTCAATGATAGGTTTTCCTGGCTTGACAAGTTCGTCAAGAACTATTGAGCCGTCCCAACCCACAATACTAATCCGTGTGAGGGATAGCTCGTCTCGTGCTCCTTCTTTCCTACCAGTCACACACATTTCGCAGTCCATTGCGAGAATCTCGCGGCCAGCTGTGATAGCGCCAGATTCAATCTCATGCTCGGGAAGAGTTCCATCCTCGGAGTTTGCAACCAGCGTATCAACCCATCCATCATCTGTCGAAGTCCCGTTGGTCTGTCGGTACTTCGCGAGATTGACTTTTTCTATTTCCTCTTTGTACGATGCTGGGTGGAGAGGGTATTCGTTTTCGAGCAGTTCTTCTGCAGAGTGTATGAATGTTGTCACTGGGACGCGAGTGTTCTTCCATCCGGGGGGTTCTTGGGCTGGAGTGGCACCCTTACTCCTATGTTTTGAATGTTTCTTCTCTTCATTGCTTTTTGCCATAGGGGCTGTGAGCATGGCATGAAATGGGGAATGCATCTTGCCGAACTTGTCGTCACCTGGTGTCCTAACTGGCCAGATGTGCTCGAACATCTCCGCAAAAGCTTGCAGCGACTCAGGAAGCTTCTCAGCCTTCAGTCGATTGGGATAATAGTCATCCGGGCCTCTGTAATTTCTGTCCTGGTACCGATCTCTCGAATCCTGCTTTTTTTGACCTCGTTCACTGATGCCCCCATTGGATTCCTCGCTCTTCGAGTCGGTCTTGTCAGCCCCCGCACGGAACATGGACATCTCAAGACCTGGAACCATGAGCACCACAACCTTCCGAATCTCTGGTCGATGGCGCACTGCTACGAATTGGGGGGAAGTGCCATCTGCCAAAATATATAGGACTAATTGCTGGAGGTCGCTAATCTTGATCTGTGTTTGCAATCGGCATTCGCTGGAGAATTCAATGGAGGGGTAGTTTCTAGAATCGTGCTTCGGGATCTTCTTTTTCTTGCGTGGGCGGCTCTCTACCATCTGCCAGCCATCGGAGCCAGTGCGCTCATCTACCGAGCCGCCGTTCTTGGGCATTCCCAAATCTTGACTGGATCGTCTTGTCAGATTGAACTCTGGTAATTCGGGCTGGCGAGGCAGCGCTGGCTTTTGGTCCATACCGCTTTGACTGGAGATATCATCGTCTTCGTGTTTGCGCTTTTTGCTGAGATCGCGATTCGGCGAGGACGGGGCCTGCATGGCGTCTTCGGTGTTGTTGACCATCTTGCTCAAAAAGTGGTGGTTGAAAGAGGAGGCTGGAATTGAGAACGCAAAAGTCGGACGAATTTTGAACCCTTGTCACACAAGGCTAAGCCGGCGCTAAAGCTAGTGCAAGGCTGAGACTCGACGATTTCTCGATAGGCAATCAAGATTTATGTACCTACTTTATATGACCATTTACTTTCAACGTCTTAATCGATCAATTTCTCATGGCTGTACTCAGTGGATAGCTAGTATATTTGAAAACAGCCACCAGTAGAAGCATTGAAGCCCGTGGACACGAGAAGTCGCGTCGGTCGCGTCGGTCGCGTCGAATTACAAGCTCGGCCGACAAAGTTACTTGACACGGAAGAGAATCAACACTCATTTGGGTGTCCATTTTGATAGTCGAACGCTTGTAATCTACTCTTTTAAAGATCACAATGCACCTCTGACTCGGACGTAGGATAAGCCAATCTACCTCGTCATGGATACCGTTCTGATCCTTTGCACCAAGTGCAATTCGGAGCTGGCCCGCTTCAGGAACTCCTGGAATGGGATTGGCAACACCTATCACAGTCCTGTTTACCCACCGGTCTCTATCAGTGGGCTCGAAACGACCGGGGATGTGTATAATGGTGCACCCAATTCCGCCATCGAGCATAGGTAAGATCAGTACAGATCAAAATTCTTGCTTTATCTAATGTGTCCAGTCTTCTCCAGGATATTGCTTGCGAAACATGTCACACTGTCGTTGGGCTGCGATGTGATAGCGCACCGAAAGGGCATTTGCTGAAGGAGTATGTTTTTCATGATGCCCCGGAAGGCTCAATCATCTTACTAAAAAAATCCACTGTAACAGAAACCAGCTCATTCTCAGGCTTACAGACATGGCTGTAATCGCAGAGGAAACTGGCCAAAGAGCGAAGATCTCCATTTTAAAGACGTTTCCTCTGACGACCACCTCCAAAAAGAGGTTTCCGGGGGGCCAAAGAGCATCAACCGCTCAGCCATATACTCGAAGACATCAATCAATGCTCGGAGTAGCTTTATCGAATGAGCAAACCATGGTGGCTAGAAGACCAACACCCAGCGATCGAGCGGCCCCTCTTAGTGTTTCAGTGGCTGAAATAGTGAAGTTCAAGAACTGGGCTGAAGATGCCATCCTTACCCAGCAAAAGGATATTGAGAGAATTACAGGAACTGTCAATCGTATCGATCAAGATATGCAATCTTTGAAGGCTTTCATGCTCGAAGTTCGCAGCGAGCTTTCCTCAAACCGACAACTACCTGCCACATCAGCCGAAGATGACGTTCAGGCTCTACGTGAGGATCTTGAAAATCTGCGCCAGCAAATTGTCCGTAATGGGAAGACCATCTCCCTGAGCGCTCTTGAAGTGGTCTCGCAAGAAGTTGAAGAGATCAGCCAGAAATTTGATGGAGTTGACACTTTGAGGTCCGAGCTGCAGAAAATGACGGCTAGAGTCAAGCACTTGGAGGAATCTAGGCATCCATGTTTGTATCGTAGGGCGCCATCAAGCAAGCTAGAGTCTCCAAAGGAGCCGGTGTCCGGTCCATCGAAACGTAAACACAGCCAGCTTGAAGTATCTCGGAACCTCTCAGAGGAGGAGCCTCCACTCGATCCTTCGCCGAAGAGGGCAAGGCTTGCTCTTAGCTCACTAAATGAAGATGATCAAGAAGTTGTTAGGGACTCCGAAGAGTCTCCTGGCCGTCAACCACCCCAAGACCGCGAGATCATCGAGATTCTTTCATCAGACGCCGATCACTCATCCCCTGTCCGTGGCCAGGAAGAGAATAGTGTAGATCCCAATCCATCGGATGGCCCTGCAGATTACAATGCTCCGGTAGCAAACCAATTTGTATCTTCTCCTGCCCACGCATTTGGAAGTGGCAATACACGAGCATCGACTACAAAGCAAAAGAACGTGTCTGCGACGGCAACACGACCGGTCGCTGCTTCTCGTATCGAGATCAGGATACCGTACTCTCCTGATCTAGCTCTGCTGCAGCAGCGAAAGCGAGGGCGACGTTAGCAAGAATTAAGTAGGACAGACGACCTTCCCGGCGGAGCGGTACAGTGAACAAGGTGACTATCGCGCTTACTGAGGCTGCGCCAGACCACGGCAACCAAGCTTTGCTTTTTGGCGATTTCAGCGACCCTGAAATCGACCAGAACTACGCATCAACTCAGCTCTTGCGCTCAGTCTGGGACCTTTTACCACCCCCGTCACCAGTCTTCCGGGGTGCAAGTTCAACTCTTCCAACACGCAGAGTCCCGAAGGTAGATGAACCCTATTTACACTCTCCGTTCGATAAGAACTGACTTCTGGCATCAACAGTATTCAAAGTGCAGCTCGAAGCAGGCTCCACTACTTTCGGAGAAGAACCCAGTGATATGCTCCCAATGTGGCAAACATTGGACGAGCTCTGTCTCATTCATTTGTGTGAATCTTTCCCTCCAAATCGACTGTGCTTGGCCAACCACTCCTGCAGCATAAATTTCTGTTTGGCCCATCAGGGAAAGCAGGGGGTGAGGGAGAACTAGATAGATGAGAGAAGAGCTTAGCTGGCCGTGAGAAGCTGGACAGAGCACTCGGGCGTGAACCCAATTGTGCAATATATGGATGAATGATTTACAAAAGCATCATCATATTCTACACGGCGCAGGGGTTGTTGACTTCCTTCTCAAGCCTACCCGGCAACCATCGGCCTCGCTTCCGCCCTCGAGCCGCCAATTACCGATTGGACTACAAATGCTAACACCCCCACACACAAGCTCGATATTCATTCCCGCACTCAAAATCAAAGCCGCAGCAAAAAGATGTGTTCATTAACCAAGGTGTTCCTTGATTCGCAGTAGTGTGCGGCTTCTGTGGATCGAACACAGTGCCTCCAGATATCAATCGGTAATGATGGAATGAAGTGGACTTCAGTCTGGCGCTCTCCCAAGTGAGCTAAAGCCGCTCTTGTGGGATGTTTATGAAAACGCGCACATTTTTAGATTATATCATTGAAGAGCAAAAATTTGAACGGGAATACGTCGGACGGCGAGGGTTGCGGGGCTAACTAAATGATAGCGAGGGGAACTCGGGAAGGAAGGATATGGCCGCGTTGCTGCTGCATAGGCTGTCTACGGACTCTGCACACTGTCAGGCATGGGCTTTGCTCTATCGACTGCTTAATCAACCCTTCAAAATGAGGAATGTCTTATGACGTTCTAATTTCACAATTGAACGAGTGAATAATGTTTTCTTGAATGGATTTCCACACTAATGTGGGCGGGTATCATTTGCTTTGAATTATTCTTATTAATAAGCGCTAAATCAAGCTTTTAGTATTTCTCGATAGCCCAAGCTCAAATGGATGCACCAAATCAACGTAGCGGCCGTAGGTCAGGTACCTTAAAGGCAGGTAGGGGGTCATTTGAGCGGTCCTCTGACCTTCTTTTATAAAAGACGATTATTGGACCGTTTAAAATCAGTACTAGTTACAAATCAAGAATAGTTCACCTTTTTGATCGTCCCCGAGCTTGGGACCGTCCTACGGCCGTCTTATAGCCGTCCCCGTCTATATTTTTAAAATAGGCTTATTAATAAGCTCGTTTTAAAAAATTGAAATAGTTCGATAACTGTTTCAAATAAGATATAATTGTAAATAAAAACTATTTCTTAAATAGAATCGTTTTAGTAATGATTTAAAAAATTCGATGCCAAGATATTTCTCGGTATCGCTGCTACGGCTTATATATCAACGCTTTAAATTTTTAATAATCGGAATCGATCGATTCAGTAAAAGTTCATCCGCGTAGACGCGCCTTCAGAGCATTTGAGGGGGAGGGGGGGGGTGATAAAGGGGTGGTATACCTAGCAAAGGGTAGACTGTTAAGTAATTGAAAAAAAAAAAAAATTATTTGCTTATTAATCAACGTTTTCCGGGACGGTTTCAAGTTCGGGGACGGCCTTGGGACGGCCTTAGGACGGCCACAAGACGGTCTTAAAACGGTCTTTTTATAAAAAGACCGACTTTTATAAACGATTATTTAATCGATTAAAACCGTTTTATTTTAGTAATAATCTTTTCACGAAAAGACGAGCTCTTATAAAAAACGATTCAATCGATTGAAATAGTTTTATTTTAGCTACGATTTAAATAATTTAAATCGTTTGTTTTCAGATTCTACTCAATTTTAAATATCGGCTTAGGGTGATCCACTAACTATGCCAACCTCTTGGAATCGTCTCTTAAAGAGACTGTCATCGGATTGTCAGCTGACGGTTTAAATGACCCCCTACCTGCCTTTAAGGTAACTACTCCGTAAACGATTGACTAATAAACGCGCTCACAAAATCGGCTAAGTCGCTAAACTCCGATACTATAAAAATTCGAGTTCGAATCGAATTTAAAGCTTCGCTCGTGATTGATTTGATTCGAATATAACGTGCGAGGCTCGTTAAGCGGCCGCTAGCTTCGCCTTTATTCTTTTAACCAAGGCGTATAGTAACAAAAAAAAAGCTAAAAGCGGAAGTTTAAAGAGCTTTACGTGCACGCTCGAATCAACACGTGACGTAATAATAAATGTAAAGCTTTTTTAATATAAGTAGTGGTTTATTGCGAACTGAATACACGTTATCGATAAAAGGCTGAAATAGCTAATAATTAGCTAAAAAAAAAAAAAAAAAAAAAAAAAGGTAAACGTAAAAGAAGTCGAGCGCACGTGCTTGGTATTATAGAAAAGCTAAAAATAGTTTTTATTTCGTTGAATTTGCTTTAAATCAAACGGCGAAAGAAGTAGCGGGAAAAGTGGCGAGAGAGGTGGCGGAAAAGGTGGCGGGAGAAGTAGCGAAGGAGGCTGTGTTATGCATGTATGCTTGTTTCTGCCTTATGGCCTCATGACGCTTCAATCGATCCCGTTTTCCCTACCCTCGAGGGGTAATACTTACGCCTGCGACGTAGTAGTTGGCCATTGTCTAAGGGTGCTCTAAAAGCTTCACTCCGCCCAGAACGGGCGACTGGTCGTGCCTGAAAGGGTCCGATCCTAGCGGCTTGGAGATATCAGCAATCGCTCGCTACCCGTCTACGGATCTTACATCTTCCCAGACCCAATGCCTCTTTTCTCACCCGAGTTGTCGACGGAAGGCCGATGCATTTTAGCACATCGGCGCCGCTGATAAGTCGGCATGCGCAGTTTCGATGCTGAACTCCAGAGACCCATAACGACATGCCCCGATACAGGGACAAGGATATGCTCGGCGCCTCCCGATCGCAATTCCGGCGCATCCAGCTCATCACCGCGACACCGACCTTCAAGCTCGTCGTGATCGTGTTGTTCGTGTTCGTGGGAATCAGATGGGTGGTCGAGCACAACCACGACTCGGATGACTGGCCGGCTGGCGGGGCACAGCCTGGCAGAAGTGTCGAGAGTTTCTGGAATAACTGGGACAATAAACAGTACATACAAGTCGTGGCCGACGAGGAGAAACTGTGTAGTGCTGTGTTAGTGTGGCATGATATGGAGGATATTGGCAGCAGGGCATCGAGGTAAGGCTCTACAAAAATCTACGCAGAGAGATGCTAATGCGGCCACCAAAAGGACGTTGCTTTACCCCTCCAGCTGGTCGCCCGACGAAATCGATAGCGATCCCGCGCTCAACGACTCTTTGATCTTGACGCGGAAAGCGCATCTCCTGCGAGAAGCGCGAGACAAATATTACGTGCGCCTTCTTCCCATGGACGAACTTCACGAGAACGAAACATCTCAGGGGATCTGGACAGATGCTTACATCAAGCTCCTTGCGTTCAAACTCACGGAATACAAACGCGTACTGGTACTTGATGGGGCCTCCCAGCCAAGAGGGAATCTCGACACCGTATTCCTGCTCCCGAAAGCTCCATTGGCAATGCCGTGGGTCTTTTGGGGGGATTCTGTCGGTTGGGCATTCTCCAACCAGATGATGCTCATCACACCCTCCCTCAAAGGATTCGCGAAGGTAGAAGCAGAGATCAAGAACGCGGATCCTGACGATTACGACTTGACGATAGTGGAGAAGTTGTACAAAGGCAAAATATTGAAGATTCCACAGAAGCCCTTCCACCTGATGACCGGCGAGCTTCGCCGATTGGATCACTCCCAATACTTAGGATCTCCGAGCAAGAAATGGGATCCGGAAGAGGCGCTGCAGAAAGCCAAAATGCTGCATTTCTCAGATTGGCCCGTTCCTAGGCCATGGACCAGCGCGTCCCAGGCGACGCTGAATAAGTACATGCCGAAATGTTTGAAAAGAGAGTGGTTCGGTGCTACGGACTGTAAGAACCGCATGATTTGGATGCAGCTGTATAGAGATTATGCTGCGAAGAGGGGGGGGTTCTGCGGGAGTCACTTTGAAGCAAAGGTAGGGGAGCAGGAAGCGGATGCCATGGTAAGACATGGGAGGTTCTATCACGGGTACGAGGATTCCTAGTTTGTGCTCTTATGAGGTGTTGGATCTTTTGATTTTTGATGCGTGCGAGATACCCACCCACCTGGCCTTGCCGAACGAGATTTTTGGTTTGATTATGTCTATGCGGTGTGGAACGAGAGTATCATCAGCCGAGTAAAGATGTTCTGAAAGATAAGGAATACAGACGACCTCTCGATGAGAGAAAGATAAACCTCCCATAAAGGGTTTTGCTGGAAACCCACCCGTCCGTCCCTCTACCCTACAAACTCACAACACATCCTCGCTTCCGAAACCAAAGCAACGCAAAATCTGCTTCCTCCCTCACTCCTACCCATCTACATACGGCCCATAGCATACCCAGCCAACGCCCAAGCTCGCAAAAATACCCCAGCAATCGTCCTACATGGTTATTTATAGAGTGAGATTGGAATTGAAAGCGTGAGGTCTGGAGAGAGAGGAGACGAGAGTAGAGAGACGTACGCAAAGCTTCGGCACGGATAGTGAGATTCCGACTGGGACAGACATGATGGCATGTATGGATTCAATTGCATTTGCTTGGAAATTGTGCAGAGTAGATTTTGATTCAGTAAAGCTATTCAGAAGGATACTCTGAGGCAGAGCAGAACAACCCTTATGATCAACAGCAGAGACCCACCTCCCCGTTCTGCAGAGGTCAGGATCGCAACTTCTTGAGCAACAGTACACTGTCGTCGATGATAACGAAGCTTTGATATTTCTCCCAAGACGTAGCCGAGACTGACGCAAGAACGGTGCCAGTGACAGCACTAGCTGCGATTGACAAGGGATTCGGGTGGTGATCGCCGTGGCAAGCAAAACAGCTCTAGCTCCAGCCAAAACTTCTGGGCTGAGAGCCATGATCGTACGAGAAGCAGAACAGAATCTTAAAGAGCAGTTTCCCAAGAGGAAGTGACCCCACCCCAGTACCTCTCGGAGTCCTGTAGCAGATGTCCACAATGCGCGCTGCCAATGAATCTGTCTCCTTGCACGGCGTACCCTAAACTCTTAGCTTCTGCAATGTGCTCCTCCACAAACCTCCAATCAACCATAAGGTCTGTATCACTGTAGACATACAGCCGCGAGGAATCGACGTCAAATAAGTCTTTGTTATTCAGATCTTCCCTAAGCTCCGCAATGAAATCCGTCTTTCCACTCAGCCAGGCCGCAATTCTCAAAACGCCATACCCGATCCTGAGAAGAACAGCGGCGAGGGTATTCAAGATGATGTTCTTCGGCAGCGAGACGGAAAACGCGCGTATCGTAGTCTCGTATCTTTCTCGGCCGGGCGTGCTGTCCAGGACCATGGCTGTGACAGGCAACGACCTTCCCATCTTCTCCCGGTATGCTTTTGCGATCGTGCATGTCCTCCATGCGCCCCCGTTCGAGAAGCAGTGGACGAGAAGTTTGGCCTCGGGAGGGAGGGAGAGGAGAGTGTCTATGGCTGGCTCGATCCGCGCGACGTTGGAGGACTGGGACTGGAATACGGCGTCGCAGGCGGTCGTGGTGATGGCTAAGATGCGCGCAGAGGGGTATAGTTTCTCGTAGCCAGCGGTGTATTTCGAAAGGAGTCTGGGCGAGGCGCCCATCCAACCTGCGAGGAGGATGAGGTCTGGGGCGCTTGAAGGCGAGGGATAGGTCGAGGTCGGGGTCGAGGTAGGTTTGTTTATCCACATGGACTCATTGACACGCGTGAAGTGCTCCAGGCCACTAGAGGTTCTGGCCGAAGTAGCCATTGTGTTGCTATTTCCAGGAACGGCTTTGTAAATAGTAAGTGGGAGAGAGTGCCTGTGTCCAGCTGTTAGCGGAAGACGCGATGTGTACGTTGACTAACATATTCATTCCTAATGGAAACGTTGGGCCCTCGTGGCCAGCTTGATCGTCAAAGTGTATTTCTTGGCTTTAATTAAGCGCGCCTGGCGCCCCATCCTAGCGACATGAGATCATTCAAAGGAGGCTGACTCCCAGCCCTAGATCTCTTCAAGCAACCTTTTCTTCCACACATTTTCTGCTCAGTCAGCATTGTTCAGAATTGGACAATGAATAACCGTCTTTACCCCAATTTACGAATCTCATGAGACTCAGCGATTGAACCTAATCACCTAACGGAAGCGGTGACGAGCCTTGCGCCCGGCGATATGTCTCTTCAGCCTGAAGATGCCGTATCTTCTCGGGATTGTATTGGCACTCGCCAAAATGGACAGCTTGAGCCTGAACATGAAGACTTGATCAAGCACCAGCTTTCTGGGTTACCATACTTTAACATTCGCGATCTCCCCACCGAAAGTGAGTATAGATCAGTTTTCTTGATCTACTCCACTGACCGTATTGTAGTCCGCGTTCAGGTCTTCGAGATGTATTTCGTGGACATCTACTTGGCATGTTATGAAAGGCATATGCTCGGTGATTGGTGGGCCACCAAAACCCCATCTCTCGTCCAGGCCCTACGTGGAGAGCCCAAACTCTACTTTGAGGCATTGGAGGCATACTACTCCAACTTGCCGGCAACCGTGTCACCCGACAATGCAGAGGCCGTGGCGAGAATGCCAAAATCTGTTGTGCGACGGGCTCGGGATCTCAGGATATATTACGGGTAGGTCTCTGACTTTCGAACCAAGACTTGTGGGACGCGAGCTAACAGATTCAAGCCACATGCTCGTAAGCGGAGAATGGAAATGGAGTGTCAAAAGCTCTCTCCCTGACCTTTCAATCCTCACAAATTCCAATATTCGGTCTCTGCATCTTTCTACAGATGAGAATTTGTGGAGATTTGAAGGCAGACCCAGGATCTCGGATTTGCGTCTGGTCGAAAATATAGTCCGCGAATTTGTCCTGACACTTCCGCGCTTGTCTCTTCTCCGTCTCGAGATACCTGCGGAGGCAGCTTTTCCAGTTGTCTTCAGAGGCGAGAAGTTTGAGTGCCTTGAAGCCCCTCTGCTCAATATCAACAAAGCTCTAGATGTCTCTCACGAGTGGGTTAGATCCAGCCGTAAGACTAAAGGGCCACGCCCACTAGAGGTGGCCTGGCACGCTGGCAACAGACCGTTCAGATGGACCGACAAAGATAACATACAAAGCGTTCCACGAGCCCATCGGGGAACATTCCTGAGGGTCGTCTTACACTCTCATACTATGTCCTGGAGAATCTCGAGGTGCACCACGTTCATGGGTCTCAACCCCAAGCCTCATATCCGCTACTGTGTAAACCAGACATGTGTCTGCTCGGACATGGTTGCTTCTGCGTCTAGGGTTCCAGACCACGCTGAGGCTCAGTCACTCTCATCTGATTGGCTGCAGTTGACACCCTGGAAGACGCCAGTGGGTTTATCACTGGAGCAGAAAGCGGCGCTATTCAAGACGTTATGCGTGCCACCAGACATCATCGCTGCTCTATATTAGGCCTGACGGTATTGAGAAGATGTTTTCGTGATACTGTCCCGGTGGAATTCTAATGCCAAAGGTGGATTTTAGTTAAAGGGTTGATGGCTAAGTCATAAAATCAAGACAAGCCTCCTTCGGATCACATCAGCTCAGCCTTACAACCACGATCGATGCTCTGTAATATAATGTGTACCAATATGCCCGGAAAATCTACACACAATTTCACAATCCGCCTCGTTTTAATTTTAGATCGAAAGAATAACCATTAACCGTCCGCTTCTGTATTCCAAATGTGTATCTCGCATTTGTGGAACAGCGAACCCAACCCAACCCAGCTCCACAAGCCTCATGACTTTGCCTTCGCTAACGTCAAAGCTCAAGGCTCGCTTGCGCACATAGCAAGAAGCGAACCCCAAAGTAAACAAGCCAAGCCAGCCGATGACCGATTGCCTGCCCGCCTGCTTCTCCTCCCTCACTCCCTCTTACCTCGAGCGGATCTGATCTGGCCGGCTCACAAGTGATTAGTCGTCGAACAGAGGACTGACTGAGTCACCTCAGATACAAAAACAGCAACACCAACAATACCCCATGGATGGATGATTCATTCATAGCCGGATGGATGATTCATTCATAGCCCGCTCGTTGGGTCCCATGCGGAGTGAGTGAGTGATTATTTCCTCTTCACAAGTAAGAGCCTCTCTCTCTCCCTCCCTCTCTCTCCCTCTCTCTCTCTCCTCTGCTACTCTCATCAGAAATCCATCCCCATTTCTACTCTCTCCCGCGATCTCCAGGAAACAATATTTCCATAACGTACATAGCGTACCACCAAACATCCATCTTCAGATCATCAATAGACTCCCTGTGGAGTGGGATGCTAATACCAAACACCACTTGAAACTAAGCACGAAAAAAAAAAAAAAGAAGGAAAATAAATAAATAGTTAAATAAATAGCTATCCATCCTCATCCTCATCCACACACACACACACACATACACCCTCCCCCCCCCTCCCTCCCTTAAAAAAAAGGGTCAAATGTCTAGCTCAACCACCCCCAAAAACTGCCACTACACAATCCAAGCCCACCCCTGCACCCACAAATCCTTCCTCGAGAGCCCGCGCATCACGCACCGCGCCCCATGCCTGCTCGCGCAGAACCCCGTCCACAACGCCCAGAGTCGAACTCGGTGCTCGCACATCGGGGCCCCCGTCGAGGTTGCCGTCGCGGAGGCGTGCGGGCGCTGTGCGCCGAAGGGGGTGGTGGTGGGCCGCGGCAGGAGGGTGGGTATGGCAAGAGCGGGCAGGAGCAAGAGAAAGTGGATGGAGAAGGGGAGGAGGGCGGTAAAAGAGGAGGAGGAGGAGTTGGAGTTGGAGAGGGGGATGCGGGGGTTGAGTCTAGGGGGTGAGATGGACGCTGGAGCTCCTCCTCCTCCTCCACCTCCTTCTGCTTCTTCTTTTTCTTCGCCTGTCGTTTCACATCTCGTCCTACCGGGCAAGGTGATGGTGGCTGATGCCGCCGCCGCCGCCGCAGCAGCAGCAGCATCCCTTGATCCTGAGGCGAGGTTGGAAATCAAAACCGTGCAGGGGGTGGGAATGGAAATGGGAGTGGGAACGCAAAAAGAAATGGTAATGGAAATGGAAATGGAAATGGAAATGGAAATGGAAAATAACGGAACCGAAAACGGAAAAAACGCCCAAGAAGCAGAAGCAGAAGCAGAAGCAGAAGCAGGTACAGACGACCCACCCGCGAAACACAGGAGGAGGTGGATCCACGACAAGGCGCGGGAGCTCCCCCGGGCTGAGAACAACAGGGCGGCTCAGCCTGCGTCGCTGTTGAGACGCGTGTTTGGCGGGTTGCTGCTTCCCGGTGCTGACTCTCCTCCCTCTCCCTCTGCTTTGGCGGCTGCAAGTCAGGAGGGGACGGGAAAGGAGGAGAGGGCGGAGGCGGAGATTGGGAAGGGCTGGCTTGAGGTTGAGGAGGATTCGGATTGGGAGATTGTGGGGGAGGACAGGGAACAGGAGAGGAGGGAGAGGGTACAGAAGGTGTTGTTGGATGGGGGGGAGTGAGACACGGTCGCTGAGTTTAGGGGTGAGAGGTGTGTGGGAAGATCACAGGTAAGTGTAGATGTCGGACGGCGATTGGCAGGGTGGTGATGTATTTATTGTTGTTGTTTGGGAGGTGAGTGAGGTACATAGCCTCATAGGAGAAATAGCGGGATAGTTCCGGTGTATTCAAATCAGATGCATCCACCTCTATGTGTTGTGAAATGGCTGCGAACAAATAAAATACCAGAGCAGACTTTCGACTCGAGTTCAATCTCGTAGTTATTTACAGCTCTTTGACAAAACGCTGTTGGTCCTGCTAGGAGCGGAAACATACTTACTCTTCACTTCCTCGCTATTACTCTCATTCATCCCGCCCCTCCCCTTCTCCCCTTCTCACCACCAGTTTTGAAGGCCCCCCTAGCGGGTCTCTGTCTTTCCATTCATTCCATGTTTTTATCGGTTAGATTTGGAATTGAGGATCCCAAGGCCAGAAGGGAAGGGAAAGAAAATGGGAGGGGAAGGGAGAAGAGAGGAGAGACGGCACTGACCGGGTGGAGAGCTGGCACCCATCCATCCTACATGTCACACCCAAGCCCACTTACACACACGTCTGGCGCTAGCTAGGTACCGTCTTGTAGCCAGGAAGCTTATATCATTGCTGATCGATCACCGTCTATAGTAGCTAGGTAGGTAGATATACAAACCTCTCCCCATCTCTTCCCCATCTCTCCCACTACTCTTGCCCACTCAGCTGTTCACCTACACCTCCCGGGTTCTCAAACCGGCGCTATCCCTCACCGGCCTCTCAACATCAATAGCCCGCTCCACCATCTCGATACCGGCCAGGCTCGGAAACCTCTTGCTGAAATCACCCACGACGTCATCCTTCTCCGAGAGACCTAGATCCGGCCGAGCTTGCACGGGCCTCGGCGGCATCTTCGGCGGTGAGTTGGACATGCTGTTCCCGGTGGAGACGTTGTTCAGATGCATCGGCTTAGGAGGAGCGTTTGGGCGTGGAACGGTTCTGGAGATCGTGGCGGGCGAGCTGATAGGTTGAGGTTGTGACTGAGTGTGAGAAGGGACTCCGGAGCGTGTCTTCGCGTAGTTAAGACCTGAGTCTTGTTGTGTAATAGGGACTGTACGAGGATGGATAGCACTAGGTGCTAATGGCTTCCTAGAGCCCGAAGAAAGAGCTTTGCTGTAGGGGTTGGATGGTTGTTCGAAGTGGCTTGCCTGCGAAGCAGACCCGCTGTCAGTGAAGCGTCCATAGCCTTCAGCAGTCTTCTTGATGAGAGATGTAGGGGCTTGGTTCTCGTCAAGGAGGCTCTGTACTTTGTGCTGTATACTGGCCGCGCGGGAGATGCCACCGATGCTCTTCGGTGCCGTAGGACCACGTTCCGCGAGTCGCTTGCGGTATTCGGCGGCGGCGTCGGTAACACGTCTTTCTTCCATGGAGAGCCGACGGCGCTCAATCTCGCGCCGTTGCTCGGGCGCCATGTTGTCCATATCCTCGAGGATGTTGCCGTCGTCGCTGCGGCCATCGGTGGCTTCGGAGCCGGCGATGGGGGTGAGTTCTCGACGTTCCATATCATGGAGAGGGCTTGGGGTGCGCGGGCCGGGGGGGTTCGTGTTGTGCTCGAATCGCTTGAAAGCATCGCCGAATTTGCCAGCCAGCAGATTCTTAGTGCCGGATAGAGACATGGACGAAAGGCTCGAGCGCTTGGACCTGTCTTTACCTCCGCTACTCCGTCTCCGGTCCTTCTTCGAACTCTTCGATGCCTCTTGATCTTCCATAGTGCGAAGGAACTCTACGTTCGATTCGATATTTGTTTCTTCATCGGTATCCATTATAGCGGACTCAAGAGCCCTGTGTGATGGCCTCCTGTCAGACAGAGATTGCCTCCCGCTAGACTCTTTCTCTTTTTCTCGCAGGAAGTCCATGTTTGACTCCAAGTACGTACTTGAGGGACGAGCTCTCGAATTGCTGGACTTCGTTCTTGGCACCGGGTCCAGCACATCAATGCTGGGCCGGCCAGCCTCCAGTGACGGACGAGATGAAGATGGATGTTGAACATTAACAGGTCTTGTAAATGAAGGATTTCGGGGGATCGAGGAGGGACGTAGAACTTGACCCTCCTCTTGTCTTGGCAATTGGGCCCTTTGGGTTGTTGCCTCTTGATTTCTGGGTAGACTCGATGACCGGTGGTGGTCAGAAGTATGGGGAAATCGTTGTGAGGGTGGCGGCGCATACCTTGGAGGAAATTGGCTAACAGGCGGAGGAGGCGGGGTAGTCATCGTTCCCTGAGATACGTATGAACTCGTCGGCGGCGGGGTAGGTGTCGGCTGGTAGACATTAGTGGGAGAAGAAGCAACTGCTTGCAATTCCGGATTACTAGCAATGATTGCTTGAGCTCGTGAGACCGCATTATTTGACGGTTTTGTAGTCGCTGTGGCTACTTGGTGTTGCAAAGGCGTGGCAAATGCATCATCAGCCAGCTTTTCAGTTACTCTTTGTCCAAGGTCACGAGATTGTGCTGGTTTTATTGGAGAGCTTGTGTCAAAGTCAAATTTCCCTCCATCGTGAAGAAGGGAAAATTGATCCAAGCTCGGAAATCGGGCGGCAACTTCGTCTATTGCTGGGGTAGACGATGCCGGGTCCAATGCTGCCCATGGATCATTGACAGCAGCTCGCATAGGCGATGGGCTGGGTTTTGGCGCCGAGTTTGCTTGTGAGCTTACTACGGGCCTTCCTCTCCTCATAGGTACAACATCAGGAATGACCTGCTGGACCGGTGGGGGCGGGGAATAAACTGCACCAACGGCAGGAGATGATTTCACAGCCTCTGTCGATGGTAACTCTTGCTTTCTTCTTGATTCGGATTGGGTCCGGCCAGTATAAATCTATGTCTATGAGCACTCCATTTGTTTAACCTGGGCATGACCTACATCTTTGATAGGAACTTCAATCCCTTGCATCAAACATGCTTCCCGAAGCACTTGATAGACACTCGGGCGTGATTGAGGCTTCTCTTTCAACATTGAAGCTTTGAAGCTTAGCATTGAGCTTGCGCAGAAATACAAGTGACGTACCTATGAGCTTCTTCAGGTTATCCGAAAATGGCGGATAACTTGGGAACTTGAAGCTCGCGTTTAAAATTGCCAGTTGCCCCTGCGCTTCGAAGGGTGTAGTGTAGTAGCACAGCTTGTACAGGAGTACACCCAGAGCCCATATATCCGACTTTTCGTCAATCGCCTGTTTCCTGTACACGTCTATCATCTCCGGACTCCTGTATTGTAACGTGGTATGTTTCTGGATATCTTCCTCAATCAGTCTGCACTCTGCAGCCGTAGTTGCCGCAGGTCGGGGTGGAGCGGTCGATCCAAAATCGCAAAGTTTGAATCTCTTGGAGCCTCCCGTCGACGTTATCAGAACATTTTCGACTTTCAAATCTCGGTGGAGTAGAGGGGGCTTCAGGTAGTGCATACAGGCCACCCCCTCGGTCACATCTGAGAATATCTTGAGGATCTCGGGCTCCGTCAAGCGGTTCTGCAGCCGCGTATTCATAAAATCTATCAGCCCGCCACCGTTACAGAATTCCATGAGGAGGAAGACCTCGTATCCCCCGCCCTTTAATTGTGAGGCGTGCGAGTCGTAGTATGTGACGATCGGTCGGTGCCCCTTCAGCTTCTTCATCGTCTCGACCTCCGTCTTCATGTTCGCCAGATGTTCCTTGTCTGGCACCGCAACTCGTTTCAGCACGGCGATATCAGTCCCATCAATGGGCTTGGGCATCTTGACCAGGTAGACATGGGCGAAGCCTCCTTCGGAAAAGTACTTCTGTATGACAACCTTCTGCTGGCCCACCTGTATCTTCGTGCCCGGCGCAAAGGTGCCCGCGGGGGCGGTAGGGTCGGCCATGGGGACAGGGATTCCAAAGACAGTCCGGGAAAAGGGCGCAGAGGTCGAAGGGTTGTAAGACGGCAGATACCAAGGCGACGGCGAGCGAGGAGAGGCTTGAGAGCTGGTGGTACCTGGCCTGGTCACCGCATTGGAGAGCGCTGCAAATGGAAGCAGACGGGGCAGGAGGAAAGTCTGGCTATGGTAAGGGGATCTGGAAGGGCGAATAGATTGGAGGTGAAGTGGGGTGGAGTGAAGTGGAGTGAAGCAGCGTCTAGAGCATAAATTCGGGGACGATGTAGTTTGGGTTGCCTCCAGTTTGAGCTATGAGGCATTGGGCATGGTTGGATGTGCTAGGCCAGGTTAGGCATGGGGGGGGGCCAAGGTGTCGAAGTGTGTTCGGGATTGACGCCACTAAGGAGCGTTTGGATGTGCAACTGTGTGTGAGAATATCTCCGTAAACATAAATTGTGTATCATATTTCTATGTTTATAACATGTATATTAGCATACTATCGATATTCCAGTGCTTGCTGAGCATCCCTAGATATTCGCACATGTACCACATCTACGGAGTATGCATCTGGTGATCTCTCCCAAGTAGCATCTTCGCGTTAGTCCGACTTGACTGTGTTTTAGTCACGTGACATCGTAAACAATCCCATCTATCTGCCTATCGGACTCGAGTCATTTGACTTTCACGCCGTATAGGTCCATATCAGGAACATACTGTCAGATCTGATCTCCCATGACATGGAGTTTTGCCATGACCCTCCTACCTAAGCATCCAAGCTTGTACATGTCCTTCAGGAGAAAATGTTCGAGTTCTTTGGCATCCATTCATTTAGGTGGCCCGGCTGTGCTGGACTGAGCTGGGCTCTTTGATCAGGGGGAGTGTTTGTTTGCTGCTGCTGCTCGTAACATATGGGGAAGAGGGAGGAGAAGGAGAAGGAGCATGTCCGACAATGTACCTGAGTCGAGATATCCGGAAGAGCTGGAAGGGGATTGATCGGCCGCCGTTCGTTCCTCCTTGTACTTCTTGCTCACGTTGTTTCCCACCGCACATGGGAAAATGCAATCCCAGTATAGCCAGGTTCCTCAACCTGATAGAGCAGTTTGAGCAGCAATAATGGTCTGGTTCCGGACTATGTATAGTGCTGTTGGAATAGAGTCCTGATACAAGGTCGGGAGCGCCTGGCCTAGTTAGAAAGCACCGAGTCCTAAGAATCATACATTACTTCCCTTCCGCTGCTTGACGCGCACCTTCTGGCTCCACGGCCACTCCTTGTCCCCCCAAAGCCTCCATTCCATGTTTCCGTAAGATAAAAGTTTTGAGAAGGTTAGCGCTTTCCTCTTAATGTAAATAAGTGCCCCAAAGAATCCTGAATGACGAACCTGATGTTGACGCGTTCATTATTCCCCGAGTCCCAGGTAAGGGTGGACGTAGTGGTACCGGTACTGGATGGTCTCGTTCTTGTGACATTAGTGACAGCGACGACGTGATGACACGTCGACAAGTTAACGTAATATCCTTACATCCTTACCCTTACTCCAGTCTACTCCGGTACAGTACAGATACGCTGGATGCCTGAGGCGTGCCGCAGTGCCGAAACGGGGAAGGTCAGGCGGCCGCATTTTAGTGGTTCACCACGGTTAGAGAAGGTTATAATAAAAGCTAAGGACCCCCTGATTTTGACGGAATCTCGAGCAGCACAAATCTCGGCACTCCAAAATCCACTATCCGGGACCCCGTGACCTGATCTGGCCATAACAAAAAAAAGATCTCATCGCCCGTCGCCGTTTCCATTACCGTTACCGTCAACGTCAACGTCGCCCGCCTTACCGTCACTTTTTGTCGCAAAACAAAACACATTTGTGAATTTTCTACTACTTCTAGGTGCTGCAGCCAGTCGCCAGCATCAACCAATCAAAAGCGGGTAGACAACTCGACAAATTCCCCCACGCCTCGACTGACAACCGGTACCTCGCCTTGCGCCCCAAGGCTGAAGACAAACAAACAGCCCTACCGCACGCATCTCGAACTTCGCTTCCAATCGCAAAATCACCTTCCATCGTAATTAGATCGTTGCGACACGATCTCCTCTTATACATGGCGTGTCCTTAAGAATGGCGTCCAGGTAAGTCAAAAAGACTGACGCGCTCCGCGTCAAAATTGAAACGAATGAATCTGCGCTAAGAAAAAATCCCTGAATAGACTTGATCGCCTCGTCACGTGAGTCTCCCTTTTCCATCTTCAGTCTTTCGAACAAAGATTACAAGATTACCTATTACCTTCACCAAGTCCAGACTTGCTGATAATTCTTAGTTTACTCGAGACCGGGAGCACGCAACTGATCCGAAACACCGCTGCCCAGCAATTAGCCGACGTTCAGAAAGCCCATCCCGAAGAACTCTTCAACCTCCTTACCCGCGTCGTCCCGTATCTCCGGCACAAGATATGGGATACCCGGATCGCAGCTGCCAAGGCCCTAGGAGGCATCGTTGACAATTCAGAACGTTATGATCCGAATGCCGACGATGGCTTCTCCAAGTCAGATGTCAAGAAGGAGAAGGACATCATCAAGAAGGAAGAGCTTGTTGATGAGGTCCCGCTTGCAGATGGCCAACTGAGCCTAGACACTCTTGATATCGTCTCTATTCTCAAATGGGGAAAAGAATTGCTCCGAGGAAGTGCCAAGGATATCGACTACACCCTAGCAACACTAGATCCCGCACAACGATTGGAGCACCAGAAGAAGACCCTGGCCGGCCGGCTAGGCTTACTGGGAGAATATATCGAGGAGGATATGGACATTGACTACCCCATTCTCCAAAAGACCGGCGGCTCTACTCCTTCTCTCGCCAGCACGAATGGCCACAGCAATAGCATTGGGGGTCAGGTGCCCACCACTCCCGTCGGAGAGGCAGGCTTGAGCGCCCGCCAGCTCAACCAACTAAAGCGAAAGAGGAAGCGAGAGGCCCAGAATGCGGGAAACAAGAACAGACTGGTGGACCTGTCGATTCGACGTTCCAGCACTATGGGGACCGTAGATCTCGGAGCGGATTCCACCATGTCGGATATCATCGATGACGCCAATGGAAACGGTGTCTCTGACTACTTCAGTTTGGAGAGAACCTCTGAAGTCGATGAGGACAGTAAGGTGGTTTCCGAGTTCAAGGGCCCAGTCCTTCCCATCAAGTCGGAACTGCAAACCGAGGAAGAAGTAGACGGTGGCGAGTGGCCATTTGAGCGACTTTGCGAGTTCCTCATGGTCGACCTCTTCGATCCTCATTGGGAGACAAGACACGGCGCTGCCATGGGTCTGCGAGAGATCATTCGGGCTCATGGTGGCGGGGCAGGTCGAATGAGAGAAAAGTCACGTGCAGAGAACGACGAACTCAATCGGCGATGGCTTGATGACCTTGCTTGCCGTTTGTGCTGCGTTTTCATGCTCGATCGTTTTGGCGATTACGTTTCCGATACTGTCGTTGCACCTATTCGCGAGACCGTTGGCCAAACACTTGGTGCGCTTCTCATTCACCTCCCAGCCACTACCGTCTACGCCGCCCATCGAATTTTACTCCGAATGGTGATACAGGAAGATCTCAATCTTACACACAAGGGATGGGCTGTCTGTCATGGTGGTATGATTGGCCTCCGATATCTGGTTGCCGTTCGCAATGATCTGCTCCTCAAGGACAGTGATCTGATCGATGGCGTTATAAAAGCCGTCATGAAGGGCCTGGGAGACTTGGACGACGATGTTCGTTCAGTCAGTGCCGCAACACTCATCCCAATTGCCAAGGAGTTTGTGAACTTGCGCCCAGAGGCTCTAGATGGTCTCATCAACATTGTCTGGGAGTGTTTGTCCAATCTAGGCGATGATCTCAGTGCTAGTACCGGCCAGATCATGGATCTTCTTGCCAAACTTTGTAGTTTCCCCGAAGTGCTCGAGGCGATGAAACAGAACGCGGCAAGAGATCCCGAGAAGTCGTTTGCTCTTCTGGTACCGCGACTATACCCTTTCCTAAGACATACCATCACATCAGTCCGGACAGCTGTGCTGAGAGCTCTCACAACGTTCGTCAGTATCGAAGGCGATGGCACTCGAGACTGGCTGAATGGAAAAATTCTCCGACTCATCTACCAAAACATACTCGTCGAACGTAATCAAGACACCCTCAATCTCTCCATACAAGTTTGGACAGCCCTGGTCCACTACCTTGCCAAAGATCCAGCAGATCTTGCAGAGCAGTTCTCAGCCCATGTTGATCCTCTCATGCAACTGACACTGCACCCTATTGGTGTCTCTCGACATCCACTACCCATGAATGCCACCCTCTTCCAGAAACCCTCGGGAAGCACGTACACTATGCCTGCCGGCTTTGTGCCGACGCCGACAGCCCGAGGCTCGTCTCCTGCAGCCCCAGAGCCCCCGGCGAAGAAACAAAGACGCAAGACAACGAAGAACGCCGAGCTAGCTCCGACAAGCTCCCCGCATGATGTGGACGGCCACATGATGCAAGGCGATGTAGACTTGGTGGGCATGGATATTCTAATCAGATCCCGAGTCTCAGCTGCCCGCGCAATGGGCATGATCATGTCACTCGTTCCAAGTGGCAGTCTTGAAGGCTACGATGCGAACATCATCCCCGGTCTGTCGTCTGCATTTTCCTCGACGCAGCTCACAGCTGCTTTGATTATTGATGAATACGCGAAAAACTGTACCTCAAAAGAGCAGCCAAGAAGATACGTCAACTCACTGAACAAGATTGTCGAAGATGAGCGACCTTGGCATTACAGAGATCTGGTCAGCTACATCCAGCTCGTCCGTGCTCAATGTTCTCAGTTGCTTAACACCTTCCGAGATACTGGTAAGGTCTCACAAAGCCGCTTACCAGTCCTTGCGGTTGTGGTCCAGGGAGAGGCGGAAGCTGGACCAGACGCATTCTCTATCCAAACAGCTGACAAGGTTATCAATGAGGATTTCGAGCGACTGAAGAAATCTATGGGTGCTGGCCAGCGGATGATCGCGACACCAGCTTTGACCGAAGCGCGCGACAACGTTGTCGAAGTCATCAATATAGCCAAGAGCATCAAAGAGCAGCGAGACACCCGGATCAAGGCCGCTGCTGCAAGCGCTTTGGTCTCGATAAAATTCTCGCCCAAGAAGCCCACGCATATCATCAAGGGCATGATGGACAGTGTGAAGAAGGAAGAGAACTCCGAGCTACAGCAACGATCATCAGCCGCTATGGCAAGACTTGTGGAGCTCTTTGCCGAAGGTGGTCGGGCCGGCCCAGCTCAGAAAGTCGTCTCGAATCTGGCCAAGTTCAGTTGTATTGACACTTCTGAGACTCCCGAGTTCACGCCGAATGCCGTCTTTACTAGTGCGATCCTTTCCCTTCGGAAAGAGGAAGACCGCAAAGACCATGCTGACGCTGCGAAGTTTGCATTAGAAGCAAAGAATGCGAAAATTGTCCGGAGGGGTGCAAAGGAGGCACTAGAACAATTATCCAACATCTTTGGCGCCAGCTTGCTCGAGAAAGTGCCCACGCTCAGGGCAATCATGCAAGACGCTTTGCAGCATGCATTTTCTGGGGACCTGCCTGCCGATACCAAGGATCCAGAGCAGGAAACTGGCCAAGCTGCTGTAGATGCCATGTCAGTTCTCCGGGCTATGACACCTACATTGCACAGGGACCTGCATCCTTTCGTTATCGGTCTGCTACCCTTAGTCATCAAGGCTCTTCATTCAGAACTGTCAGTTTTCCGCTACATGGCTGCCAAGTGTCTTGCAACAGTATGCAGCGTCATTACCATTGAGGGTATGACTATGCTCGTAGAAAAAGTCTTGCCTTCCATCAGCAACCCTATCGATCTGAACTTCCGGCAAGGTGCCATTGAATCCGTCTACCACCTCATTCATGTCATGGGTGACAACATCTTGCCATATGTCATCTTCCTCATCGTACCCGTGCTTGGTCGGATGAGTGATTCTGACAACGATGTCCGACTTATTGCTACAACAACTTTTGCTACCTTGGTCAAGCTCGTGCCCCTCGAAGCTGGTATTCCAGATCCTCCAGGACTTTCTCAAGAGCTGCTGAAAGGCCGTGATCGAGAGCGAACTTTTATTGCCCAGCTGTTAGATCCTCACAAAGTTGAATCGTTCAGCATTCCAGTCGCAATCAAGGCAGAGCTGCGCTCATATCAACAAGAAGGTGTCAATTGGCTCAACTTCTTGAACAAATATCATCTCCATGGCATTCTCTGCGATGATATGGGACTTGGAAAGACTCTCCAGACATTGTGTATTGTGGCGAGTGATCACCACAACCGAGCCGAGGAGTACGCCAAAACAAAATCGCCCGATGTCCGGAGACTGCCATCACTCATCGTCTGTCCTCCTACATTATCTGGCCATTGGCAGATGGAGATCAAAACATATGCGCCATTCCTTTCATGCACAGCTTACGTAGGGCCCCCAGCTGATCGAGCCCGACTTCAAGATCAACTCGGCAAGACAGATATTGTTATTACCTCTTACGATATCTGCCGTAACGACGCTGATCTTCTCACCGCCTTGAATTGGAACTACCTCGTTCTGGATGAAGGTCATCTGATCAAGAATCCTCGTGCAAAAGTTACCATGGCAGTAAAGCGCCTCCTCAGCAATCATCGCCTGATTCTGTCGGGCACACCCATCCAGAATAACGTCCTAGAACTCTGGTCTCTCTTTGACTTCCTCATGCCCGGCTTCCTCGGCACTGAAAAAGTCTTTCTCGACCGCTTCGCCAAGCCTATCGCCGCTAGCCGGTATAGCAAATCCTCTTCCAAGGAGCAAGAAGCTGGCGCCCTCGCCATCGAAGCCCTGCACAAGCAGGTGCTCCCCTTCCTCCTGCGTCGCCTTAAGGAGGAAGTCCTCGACGACTTGCCCCCCAAAATCCTACAGAACTACTACTGCGACCTTAGCGACCTCCAAAAGAAGCTCTTTGAAGATTTTACCAAGAAAGAAGGCAAAACGCTCGCGGAGAAGGCGTCCTCCGGCGACAAGGAGGCTAAGCAGCATATTTTCCAAGCCCTGCAGTACATGCGCAAGCTGTGCAACTCGCCCGCGTTAGTAATGAAGGAAGGCCACAAGCAGTACGACGAGACGCAGCGTCTTTTGGCAAAACAAGGCACCAGTCTACGTGATCCAGTCCATGCCCCTAAACTCCTCGCCTTGCGTGACTTGCTTGTTGACTGCGGTATTGGCAACGAGCCCGCAGCCGACGAAGTAACTACCGAAACTTCCTACGTCTCTCCCCACCGGGCGCTCATCTTCTGCCAGATGAAAGAGATGCTCGACATGGTCCAAAACGACGTGCTGCGTAAGATGTTACCCTCTGTCCAATTCCTCCGCATGGACGGCTCTGTCGATGCTTCCAAACGCCAAGACATCGTCAACAAGTTCAACTCCGACCCTTCGTACGATTGTCTGTTGTTAACAACAAGTGTGGGGGGCTTGGGATTGAACTTGACGGGTGCCGATACGGTAATTTTCGTGGAGCATGATTGGAACCCACAGAAGGATTTGCAGGCTATGGATCGCGCCCATCGGATTGGGCAGAAGAAAGTTGTCAATGTGTATCGGCTGATCACGAGGGGGACCTTGGAGGAGAAGATCATGTCGTATGTTCCATCCACCCTTCCCAAAACTCGCCCCATTACTAACCCCGCCCCAGCCTTCAACGCTTCAAAATCGACGTCGCCTCCACAGTCGTCAACCAGCAGAACGCCGGCCTGGGCACCATGGAAACAGACCAGATCCTCGACCTTTTTAATCTCGGCGAGACGGCCGACGGCATCGACAAACCTGCTGCGGGCGGGACGGAAGGCAAAGAAGAGGACATGGTGGATGCGACGGGCGAGGTGCGAGAAAAGGGGAAGAAGGGCTGGTTGGACGACCTGGGGGAGCTGTGGGATGACAAGCAGTATGAAGAAGAGTTTGACCTCGGGACTTTCTTGGGAAAGATGAATGCGTAGGGTTTGCGAGGTTGAGGTCGAGCATGAGAGTAGTACGTGAAGTGTAGGAGGAGAGAGGGGAGGAGAGCAGCGGTATCGCATAGCTTGCATAGGGTGAATTTTTAGGGGATACTGGGAAGGGGGCCGGGGGGGGGATGGCGTTCTGGTGTGTGTGTGTGTGTGTGTGTGTGTGTGTGTGTGTATGTTCTCTGCTGCTGTTGGTCTAACGTATTCTCCTCTTGGTGTTTCTCTGCGCAGCTTAGGTTAGAGGGTCCACGGGCTTCCTCTACTCTGCTCTCGGATGTTTTCCCCCCCCTTCTACGCAATTAGGACGAGAGAAGGGAAGCGGTGGCAGAAATGAGATAATTGATTGTATACCTACTGTATGATACGAGACGAGACGAGACGATAAGCTTAATCAGGTTATGTTTAGGTTAGGTTAGGTTTAGGACGTTGATAGGGATCAACAGGGATCAACAGGATTATAGGTCAGCCAAATGTCGTTTGCTTGCTTGCTTGGGGTTGACTACAGGGTGTGCGGACGGTAGAAGGGGAAATTAATGGTGTTCTATATATATATATGTATACCTGGTAGAACCAAGCAAACAAGTAAAGCAGAGTAAAGCAAAGCGAGAGGCAAAAGCCAAGCATCCTCAACATTCTTCCTTCTCTCCCGGCAGCGGAGAAGAAAGATAATTAAACCAAAACAGAACGAAACGAAACGAAACGAAACAAAATAAGCTTGATATTCTCAATGAGAAATCGAAAATTGAAAACACCAGCAGCAGTTTAGAGATTTACTTAATTATTTACTTGCTTGCTTGCTTGCTTAGAACAACTAACATGTTTCGTAAAGAAACTCCAGTTCTTTCATCTTATCTGATCTGATCTGATCTGATTTTATCTTGCCTGTAAAGAGAATCTAATCCAATCTGCAAAGACGTACAAAGGTCAGAGAGAGAGAGAGAGAGAGAGAGAGATGAGAGGAGAGGAGTTATAAACGGCAATCAATCATTAATCAGCAGGGTACCTATCTATCTTAACGTCTTATAAGTCAGTCTCGCCTTATTTCATTCCGCCTTTCCTCCCTTCCCTTCCCTTCCCTTCCCTTCTCGTAAGTAGATGGATAACCTCTCATCTCAACCCGTCAAGCCCTATCACATTTTCAAAAACTTTCCGAGCTCAATAACACCCTCAACAACGTCCGCGACCCCATTACCCATTACCCATAACCCATAACCAGCATTCGAAAAAGCAGATATCAATCCTACTCACTTTAAATATACATACATATATATACATATATATATTTGCGACGTCAGCCAGGACTGCAGCTACTTCCCATCTCCACTGCTACTACTTCGTATCAAGTATAAGAAACCTTCGCCCCCCTCCTCCTCTTCAACTAGCGCTCAAGATAGCCACAGTCTAGCTTACGATAGCAAGTAAGCCAAGCTCTTCCAGCTCAGTTACGAGCGAGCAACTCACGGATATCAAGTTAAAATCTTAGTATCCCATCCGCTACAAGCGAGCGGCGGAAGATCACGTGGACGCTGCGAGTAATCTAAACTGCAACGCGCAACAAAAACTTCAACGATTTTGCCCCTTCGGACGACCATCTGTTTGATTCAATCTGTGCTTTAAAGGATAGCTAATCTTGGTCGATTCTGCGCAATCAGGCTCAGAAGTCCGGGGTATGGGTATCAATAGCCGTTGCGGCATCCATTCATTCAGTCTGTATGAACATGGTACGCAAAATCGTACCTCAGTCATCATTAGCATTATTGTGTCTCATGCTTCGTATTACCAATTTTAAACAATAAAAGCCTTGCTCCCCTCCACCAGCCCATCCATCAATTTCGTAACAGCCGCCCAAGCAGGCATGAACCTATCACTCGTTAGCACATACCAAACATTCCCAGCAGATGGCAAGAGTATACCTCTGAACCTCGTCCAAGGCTGGGATCGTGCCCAGCTCATTGTGGTCGCTCCAGAAACACACGACTCTTCCACTTCTACCTTCTTCACCCTCTTGCTTGCCTTCGCTGACTGGCCACTCAACATCCACTACCCACTCGCGGTCCCAATCTCTGTGCCAGAGCTTGATCTGGTCGCTCCCACTCTCAGGGACATCATTCCACTTACCATCGCTCTTGGCAGCGCCATGTACTTCGAATGCTGTGAATGGATCATCAAATCGGAGAATACAGGCTTTCGTGTCGATACCAGAGATATGGAAGGTAGCTTTGTTCGAGCCCTTTGCACGAGTGACATTGAAGTTCATCCAATCTTGATAGCCCTTCTCAGGTGGAATGCCATTCTTGACGTTGTCAACTACCTTGGGGGCTATGCCGTGCCACGAGCAGTAGGAGAGACCTTGTCGAATGTTGTCTTTTGATTTGCAAGATATCTCCTGACCTGCGGCCGAGGGGATCTCATCGATCATCAATCGGACGTACTCTTCAATTCCAGCAAGAGTGACTTGGTTGATGCCACTTTCAAGATCAACAGTCTGCTGGAAGTAAGCCTTATAGCGATTATTGGACGAAAACGGGAAGGCCAAAAGGTTGTAGACCAGAGTGCTGATGAAGATCAGGAGGAAGAAAGTCGGGACGTGGGCAGTAATGCGGTGCAGGAAAGGGGTTGTGGGTAGGATGAGAAGTATCGAGAATACTGAGATGAGCAGGTATGGCAGCAATAGAGGGCTTCCATCCGAGCCAGTTTGGGTAAGTGCCGCCACAATGAGCAGCCCGACCTGACCAATGATTATGATTATCGAGGGGCCGAGTAGAAGGAATTGCAGAAGCCAGGTCCATGATGGCATATTGGCAGACCACTTTTGCTCGTCGCCGAAAGCGATAGCTTTGTCGTCAGCAGCATCGGTATCATCGGCACCATCGACACCATCGACCTGTTCAGGAATGATTTGTCGGTAGCCACGAGCAAACGTGGCGCCAATTGTACTTTGATTATCGTTACCTCCCACCAGCGGAGTCGTTTCATTCGGCTCTTCATCAGCATCGGCATCAGCATCGGCATCATTGCTTTCATCTTGTGCATCGCCAGTGACAATGCTACCAGAATGGGGCAAAGCCTCTAGTCCTTCTCTTGTCTCATGTGCGTCACGTACAGCTTCGACCAAAGTGCTCTTCTTAGGGAGAGCAAATAGCTCTAGCAAGCCAATGAGCGTTGCTAATGAGATAGCACCTTGATAAAAGAGGAAGATGTAAGCACTGCTGACCTTGAAACGATCCTCGAAGATCGTAGCACCCAACAGAAGTACCCATCCGATGATAAACATCCAGATGAGTGCGTAGACCCGGTGAAGTGCGGACGGTCGGACGAAATTGCAGCCAGCCATAAGGAACCAGAAGACGCAGAAGAAGAGAGTAAGCGACATCGACCAAACAGCATATGGTGACGAGTACACAATCAGAGGATTGATCTTCTTCAACAGAAAAGCAGCCCCAAGTGTGAGTGCGCCCGAGATGATGAGAACAATTGGGAATCGGAAAGCTCCTCTCCAGCCTTTCAAGGAAACCACCTCGGTTTCGCGGCCTTCAATCTTGACAGCCCCAGAAAAGAGATAGTATTTGTCCTGGCGTATCAAAAGGTAAGAGACAAGCATCAGGATCAGTGGCGAAGCGATGAGGATTGTCAGGGACCAGGCAAATAGTTTTCGCAGTCCGAACACAGCCATGACCATGCCAAACAGGTCGAACCATACGCCGTCGGTACCACGCCCATTCTTGACTTTTCCAGGGAGGTTATCCCGCCTAGGTCCAACGAACTCTTCCGTATGAGAAGTCAGATAGTCCATCGTTGCCACGGATGCAGATAACATATGCCACAATGAGTCTCGGGAAGCATGCTTCGCGTCGTCCTGCTCTGTGTGATACCTAGCTCTGGGTTCCCAGAAAGCGACATCCAGACCACGGTATCCCTCGGCTCGGAAAACCACATAGTCCGTCTCACTCCTGATAAAACCTAGGGCAAAGCCATCTGCACTAACCACTGTTCCAAGGGGATGCTTGGCACTCCCGTAGGCTCGAGTAACTTCAGTATCTGTACTCCGGAAAAGCATTGCTCTGCCTCCGGCTCCGGCCCCTTCGAGGTTCAGGAAGGTATGAACGAAAGTAGCCATAGGGTGGGAGAGGAAAGCTTTGGCGCCATACAGACCATCTTCCTCACCATTGTTCAGCAGAACAATAACCCCCCGCTTTGGAGTATTCCCTTCGGTGGTGTAGTACTTGATGAGTTGCAAAGCCGTGACAACTCCCATACCATCATCGGTAGCTCCGTATCCGGTCGATACACTGTCGAAATGGGCATTGACCATCACTCCTCCCTTGCCGTGAAGTCGATGTGTGTATGGGGGCAGCGGTTTCCACCAGTCTTCCTCCTCATCCTCCGTGCCGCGAATATAGACTATGATGTTGTTCCCCTCGAAGTACGTGCTGATGCCCAATCTTCGCCCAGTTACACCAATGCTCGTAAGGGCACTGGTTGTGTAGTTCGACGCGAGGTCATTGAAGACAACTGCTGCTGGCTTGGTGGAGCGGCTTCGAAGCTCGTCACTGTCTGCAGATTGCGCGCCTAAGCCCAATTCAAATACTGAAGCTTCGTATTCGCTACCATGCAGCTCCTCCTTGGTATGCGATGGCTCTGCTTTTATGCCGCTCTCGTCCGGGCCCGTCTCGTAGTTCACCCCATTACTGTCCAGAATCGCCTCCACCCTCCTTAGTAGCCAATTTCTGACCTCATCATTCCTATGACTGTTGTACGGGTGGTACCCGTTGCTCAGCTCTGCCAGATCCAGCCAGGCTTCGGTAAGATTGAGTCCACGATATATCGTCGGGTTCTCGGGCGCCGAAGGGACGGTTTCGTGGACGATGAGGAGTGGGATAATGATAGCGAGGTAGACCAGGCAAGTAACGAGCGTTACTGCCATGGGAACGAATGCGAATGGATTATACCATGTCATTGTGACGGGGTGGATTGTTCGAGCTGTGAAGCCCGAGTTGAAGCTTGCAGCACTTGAAGTATAGGAGTCGTGGATGGAGTGAAGAGCGAGCCGGCAAAATAATCGAATGCACCTACCTCCGGACCTACCTGCATTGTTCAAGCTTTGGCGGGGTATGAGCTAGCGCACGCGGGCCAGGGGGGCGTTTTGGCGACGACAACGACAACGACAACAACAACGACAACGACAGCGGCAACGATCGATCGATCTTCAACATCAACGCAATAACATATAATCTTATTGCCTCATAAATTATCGTGATGATGTAGTATTCTGCTCTATCTTTAAAGGGGATATGTTCTTTCCCAGAACAAAGGGAGACTGCCATGAGCGGGACTATTAGAGCAAGCATTTTTTTCGTCCTGCTGGATCTTGAACTGGGGCTTGAAGTTTGATCTTAAGATAGGGACTAATGAGTAGAGGAATAGATACCTGATCATTGCTTTGGCAAGCGCAGGCAAGTAGACTGGGTGTCTATCGCTGCTTGTTCATCTTACTCCTTTCAAAAGGCTAGTTTTAGACAAGCCGACAAATGGGATACAGAAGACCACGATTCAAATCCAGAGCAACTCTATTATGATCTCGACGTACCATCAATATGGCTCCTAAAAATGATATCCCGGCCTATGTCCTGGGAGTAGGACTTACCAAATTTATCAAACCTCGTGGCCTGCGCGAGTATCCAGAAATGGGCTACGAAGCAGGCGTCAAAGCAATTCTAGATGCTTAAAACAACTACGACGACGGCGAGACTGGCATTTCATGCTATTCATTGCTACGGAGATATCACATCAGGCTAGCGAATCTTCTATCAATTTGGCATGACTTATATTCCGATTTACAACACTAACAACGCGTGCGCGACTGGCTCGACAGGACTCCGTCTTGGAATGCTCGGCCGTTCAGAATCATATGCAACCGGCTTCATTTTCTTTCAATTTCCTGACCGCAAGAATTTTTCAACTGTTGAAAGCTTGTTTCCCGAATCATTTCCCACTTCAATTTTCTGCTGCCGAACCAGCTCGAAACTTCCCTCGACAATTTTTCCTTTCCAGTAATGACAATTAAATCATATCAAAGAAAAAATCTCTCAGCCACCTCACCACAAAGTATCGGACCCCTCGGATCAGGACGACCACACAGATTTGTCAAGCGAGATCCAGATTGGCAGCAGATTCTTGAGAAAACGAAGGTTATTTTTCGTAAAGAAAGCTCGTTGGGACAGGCAGGGGTTTTCATAGTTTGGTATGTCCTGTAGCCGATGTGGAAAAGGAGAAGCACAGGCATTAACAATAGCACAACCACGACATTTGAACATAACGTGATCAGATTTTCGGTCCATTCTTTCATATAGTATCCGCTGGCATGTGAGCCGTGTTGATGTATGGAATCCCTCTGCAAAGGGGAGGACTTGTTTACTTTGTCTTAGAATAAACTGTGCTCGCTAACGTAAGCGAAGACTGCCCTTATACATGGCGATCTCAGGAGCTTGGCATGGTTGTATCACAGCCCCGGTCTAACAAGATTCAACCCAGTGCATCATAAACCACTGGTGAGATTTCTAATAAAAATTTTTTCCCGAAGAACCAAGATTCAATTCTGGGTGAGTGAAGAAGTCGCTCTGCGGGGGTGGCGGCCCGGACACTTTCTTTTCCTCTCCTTATCAAGACCGCTTCTCTTCCTTAACAGTCCTCGATCTTGGACGAACAGTAGAAAAGCAGGGCGCCAAAAAAAGATTAGGGTTGCCTGTAAGCGACTAATAATATGGCTACAATTGTACCTAGGCTGTCTATCACGCACATCAATCTTTTACCCGGCTCCAGATCCCTAGACGTACATAACGGCGCTCAACCTCAGCTACTGATTCCAAGCCCAATTTGCCGATCAACTGACTGTACTATGGCGAGAAAATAGAAGACGAAGCGATTAGAGGAGACTTACTTCTCACAGAAACATGTTGATGAAGATGATTTGAAGCCGTTCTTACGTGATCAATTTGGAGACGACTTCAGCGTTCGAGTATGTCTTGATCTTGCGAAGGGAATAACCGCTACCAACATTTCCATGAGCTTGCTAGTCAATTCAATTCTTGAACGGGATGGGAAATGTGGTGAGAACTTCAAGCTCTGGGGCTATTCACCTGTTTGACGGGTTGGTTGATGGCGCCTTCTGAGACCGTTCCGGATCTTCCTGGTAGTGGCTTGGGGCCGAAAATTCAAAAACAAATCATGATCGCCAGCTTACAATACGTCTGAGTCACCTTCCAACATTAAGACGTTGGTGAAAAGATTAAAATCAGTGGGGTTGTTCGTCAAGTCTGTCGATGGTCAAGAGCGATCCAATTGTTTCCGGAGGGAAAAGGGGATTCTGATCGCTTCTGTTGTATTTGCTTCCATTTTTCAATACAGCTGCATCCTGTAGCTTGCTTTGAAGGGCTAATGAGGCGCAAGTCGGATCAATGGAATTGATGAAATACTCGTCGATTCCGGGCAATGGTGGCATTGTCGTAATCGTCGTCGTTCGTCGTCACACATGATTTTTCGGCATATTAGTTTGCTTTTCTGTATCTTAAAGTCGTGCTTGCTAGTGTGCCTGCGTGCTTTCTTAAAAATAATTCCAGTCGACCGATACATTTGAGATCGTATCGTATTGCGTTTCTGCCTGTTCGCGTTATTGACCTTTTCTCGAGTGAAGTGGCAAGTTCAGGCTAGCTCTGGGACCTGGAGCGACTTATATGGGTTCCTGCCCATTCTCTCTTTTATCCACTGATTATGGTGGTCTTATATATGCAGCAGCAAATCAATTACTATGCCATTATGCACTCTTCACCTCTATGCGCACTGTCACCGTGCTACGCGAGATATTTCTTTGCAGTCAACCTTATGTAAGCTTTTAAAATACCTCAACTACCATTTACGCGGCTAATGTCTTCTACCTTGCGTAGGTCGGCGGTGAGATTACAGACCACGAGATCCTCAAATGGAGATTCACATAGGCGATGTACATTGTTAGTGTATTGTATCTTCTGATAAATCTTATCTTTGTGCGTTTACGCTCTTGATCTGCACTTCTTACACCAGAGTAATTGGGTCCAATTCTAACTCGTCAATCCGAGCAAGCGTCATGCAGTTCCTGCGTAGTTCCAGACGACCCAGATAGCTCCATTGGTATGAAAGCCTGTCGACTGTTGATGTCACATCCACTGACCAACCTATCATCAGTTTTTGGGGCTGGATACCATTCCAGTATTACCTGGGCTATACTGATCGCGGTTTCAGCTAGTGGAAATTTGCTTTTTTATGTCATACACCAGTGCTAGAAGTATCATTCGAAGTCATCCACTACCAACACCGCTAAGGTCGTGTTAGTCAAGCAAGTCATCAGAAAATTAATTTTATTTTATCCCTCGGTCCCAATTCTGGAGGTGAAATTCTCTAGTAAGAATGAATGGATCACGGTAGGAACTTGGTTGACTCGCCTACGCCTCAAGGCGGTTTGGTGCTTCATTGGGTATTTTCAGTCATTGATATTGATATCATCGGCCTTCTCTAATATTAATGAAGCCACCAGTAACTTTATTGTGCGCCGTGATTTTCTCTGGATCCTGGAAGAGTCAGTAGCAGGTCAGAACAACTCAACCCCAACGCTGATGCTATAGCGGATCAAGTCTGACCCGGAGGAGGCAAAAAGGATTTGAATTCGTTGCAGCTTCAGCTCTCAACTCCATGTTTTTTTCTTGGTTCTAATTTATATCAGGACAATCTCATTCATCCACAAACAGAAACATCACATACCAATAATGATTGAAAACCCATACATTAAACAAAGGGGAAAAAAAACTCTACATATCTTTCATTATCAGTAATCTACCAGCTCCACTTCCCTACTAAGGTCTGGCTCCTCGCCATCATCTCTTCATGTAGATTCTATACAATTTTCGTCAGCGCTGAGATGAGTCCACCAAGGTGAAGCCTGCAGACGAAGCAGTTGCAGCTGCACTCCTTCTTCCCCTTACACTCATGCTTCTCCTCGTCACACTTGGGGCACAGACCAGAGATTTTGATGTCTCGGTCGATGACTTTGGTGCAGGCTAGGTCAGACTCGCAGGACATAGAGTGGATGGTGGTGTGGGTGCAACCTGCAAAGATGAATTTTTGTTGACACATAATGATGATGGTCTGTCTGTATTTTCTTTCTGGGAGACAAGCAAGTGGATGTTGTTGTCGTGTATGTTTTTGTATGCAGGTGTGTAGATAGGTTGGTAGGTAGGTAGTATTTTGCTTCAAGAAATTTGATTTGATTTGATATGCTGATGGGTGAAATCGAGATGGAGAAGGTACTGTAGGGATAAATATAGCAAGATCCACAATGCTGTTTCTTCTGCACAATCAGAAAAAATCTTTCCTTGTTACTCGGAGCTGCAACAATCAGACCGTGTTTTCTTGTGATTGAAAAGGCCTTTGACGCTGAATGAATAAATGAATGGGGCTTTGTTTTATCATACCAGGACGATCAAAGCACGGATTCGAAACAATTGGGCTTGCGGTATAGGTACAAAGGAACATCGCTTATCTGAAGTGGTACCTTGTGCTGTCCAAGTTTTTGTTCTATCAATTTTATTCAGGAGCGGGATTTGGCTGCTACTGTAGTCTGGGCTTGCGAAACAGAATAGAGAGAGTGTGGGTACTGTTTGCCGGATGAGTAGTATGTATTCGGAAGCCGACGTGTCAGAAAGATCTGGACTCTATAGATCTTAAAGATAGGACGTGGTAGAAACTTGTAAGAGAGCAGGCTATAGGCCATACATAAGAGACAGAGAAATTAGGCAAGGAGAGAACTAACTAATTTCTGTTGGGACAGGGAATAGGACTGGTGTTTAGATACGCCGGACTAGCGATTTGTCAGCCAATTGCTACTTACACCAAAGATTCCACTACACTACAATTATCGTCGTCGGCGCTGTATTCGTGAAAATTGAGCTATTCGTGACTATCTTCTGGAAGCGAAGCTAGCCATTACACGCTGGCAATGCTATAGCTAGACGGCCGGTCGCCTGAGGCGATTTATACTGAATTCGGCTATCATAACTGAGCTAGTGATTTGGATTCCAAACCCATTTTTCAACACAATTGATTAGTTGGAGGGTCAACTTGGTAGTTACGCAGGTTTAGTTGAGTAACTCTGCTCCGAAACTTATTACTCGAAGATCCCGTAGATAATTTGCCGTACAAAGGATGGAGCTCCGCGAATTCAACAGGTACTTGGACCATATGATTCTTTTCGAAGAAGTCTACATGTCATGCATCCTGTACCTAAAGAATACAAGCCTCCTCTAGTTTTCTTTAGTATAGTTCAGGAGATTAGCCTAGCTGAATATTATTAGCAATGAGAAACTGTTAGAAGCTCAGTAGCGCGGCGCCGACCAATTCCCACTACCTCAATCGCACATAAGATTCCCACCCCCTACTCCACAACGAAGCAAATTCTTCCTTTCCAAACATCTTATCGCCCAAGGCTACCTACCTCAGAACAATCACTATTTCAACTCGAGAAGAGCAACCACATTCACGATAATACAGCGACAAAAAGAAGTCGCCGCCGCTCAACCTTACGACCAACAGCACCCGACTCGAGACAAGCACCATGCTTTCCGACCAAGCCCTGGCCATCCTTGTAATATTGTCGCTTTTTTTATCCTCATTTGCGGTCTGCCTAATTGTGCCGCACCCACGAGGGGGATCGGAGACCACGATTCTGCCGGTGGTTGATCCTCGAGTCGAACGTGAACGTGGAGCTGCTCGAGATGCCAGCGCTGCGTCAGCCTACGTCGCTGAGCAGATCGAACATCTCGATATTGCCCGTGTATAAGGAATACGGGAGTCCCGAGTCCATTCAGGTGGCTGTGGATATGAAGAAGGCGGGTTGCGGGAACCGAGGAGCCACCAGCATACGAGGCCGACGCTGGAGATGTTGGTTTGGCTGCGCGTCGGGGCAGAGAGAGAGCGCAGGGCTGAGAATTGTTGTTGGTGGCTTGGGTGGGCGTTATTACATTGAGGAGCACCTTGAGATCTCCTTACCACGTCTCTGGAGTTGGATATATAGATGCCTATCCCTTCTATTCCTTGGATCCGAGATCGTATGTCGGTCCTTTCTCTCTCAACACTTCATCACTGCTTAACTAATAACATTAGAATCCGTCTCCATTCAGGTAGAAAGCGAATTTAACATCGAAATAATCAGCAAATATTTCCGAAAAAGAATCTTTTTTTTTTGTACGATATGTGAATAGAAGTGATGAAAAGTCTTTTAGCCGAATATTAGTAGTAGACCCTGATCCGGCTCCTCGCTTAAATACGAGCCCGCCCCTATTTCAATGTCAGCAGACGACAATCAGTTTGCTTATCTGGGTCTGCAAAATGGAAATGAGCTAGCTAAGGGTGAGAAAGACTGATAAGAATCGTATATGACGTATAGGATACACACCACGATGAAATGGAGAGAAGGGCGGTGTCCATTAAGGTCGGTTCTAAACCTCGGAGCATGCATCTATCTCACTCAGAACCCCTCAGGATCACATCTGAGATAACATCTCGGTGTCCGACACTGGAAAAGGACTCCAAGCCTCGACAACTGGATGAGCCCATCTCATCTACAAACAACCCATCGTCCCCAAAAGCTCAATGGTCGCGAGCTCATAAGCCCGCCCAGTCCAATTCCTAATGTATGGGCGTCGCAGCACCACACCACACCTCACACATCATCTATCTGCCTATCAAACCCCTCTCTTCGAATCACTCCCACCCGCCCCATCAATTCAATCTCCATCACACCCCCGAGAAATAAATCCAGCATCCAGCATCAAGCCTCATACCCCTCGACATATCTTGCAAACAATTCCCCAAGAAAGTAACTCAGCCATGTCCATGTCGTCGTCGTCGTCCAACACCCGCTACGGACCCGTCACCTCGGGTCTCATGACGGGCGGGACGGTGCTCACGCTCTACCTCCTCATCTATCTATCCTTCAAGCTGCGGACCAATCGAGCGGTACGGGGGAAGAGGGTGAAGCAGAGAGTGAGCACTCTGCGCGCCATCACTAGGGCCCAGGCGAGAGCTTAGGTGCTGCTCCAGGAAGAGGAAGGTCGACGTGTCAGTTTTGCCATTGTAGGAAGAATCTGGTGTGGTTGGTGCTCAGTAGGGAAAAACCGTGATATGGCCATCGTTTAGAGAAGGTGGCGGAGGAGGGAGGGGAAGTAATTGGCCACTGATTACCGAATGAACGAGTCTCTTGTCTTCAAGGATCGCAGAATAGGTGGATTCAGAGGGAATAGAAGCGACTCGTGTTCACGGCGGTGATGACCACGTTTGATAAAAATGAAAACAAAACTTATATTACTCCGGTCGTGACACAGAATCGCTGCTTACCAGGCGTGAGACAATCCGTTAATCACAATCCGCAGCAATTCGTTATACAAACTAACCCCCTCGGAGTCAACGAAGAAAGTGAGAATGATCCAACAAGTCACAGACAATCCCCTCACTCTCGCCCCCCTAACTCGTCCTCTATCTATGGTTCATGTGCTCACCACCTACAACACCCTCTCCACATCGATCGATCCCAGACCAACAACAACCAAACCCACACTCACCCACTCACTCTCAGTCCCAACCTCCCAATTCCGCAGAAAAGAGCCCTTTGAAGAACCCCCCTCTCTCAAGCAGCACCAACAAAACACACAAAGACCCCCTCTACCCTTAGCACCAGCAGCTTCCTCCTCCCAATCATCCTCATCATCGCCATCAGCGTCCTCTGCTTCTCCCCCCTCTCCTTCTCGGCTCTGCTCACCTACCAGCACGTACAGCGGCGTGTCCACCACAAGCCCACATGCCGGCGCCAGACGTCGATGTGATAGTCATGTCCAGTAGTAGAAGAAGAACTGCGTGAACGGTGGACACTCCTGACTCGGCCCCAGCTGCTGCTCCTGCAGACTGTGGTGCGCGCTCAAACGTCTCGGTGTTGCCGCTGCACAGGGAGAATGAGGAGGCCGAGCCGCCGATACACGAGGGAGCCTTTTCTCTTAAACGAGGAGGTGGAGCTTGGCTCTTAGTATCCGCGACGGGAGCTGGGCTGGGCTGGAGGGAGGTGATGGTCATGTTGTTGTCTAGGGAAGAAGCGTAAGTGACGAATGGATATCAGCTTTAACAGAAAAGGGGAGTGAGAAAGCAGGTACCTACACTACAGCCACCCATCCACGATCGAAGATTTGACCATGCGTAATCGTCGGCTCGCTTAGGTGGGCCTCCTTACATCCTTTCTGTCTTCGTCGGCGTGGGCGATTGCGGATCGGAAGCGAATGCGGTTTTTTCTACCCTACCACCAATTTTTATTCACAAAATACAATTCTCAGCATCACCTTTTGATCTATAACCGCGTAATTGCATTTTATAATTGATCATGGGCCGAAAACGCATTTATCCGAAAGAGCCTTTAAGGATTTTTCAATACAAATGCTACGCTCGACCAAGTAGTTCTAACGCATTTAAAGATCTTGCGACGCGTTTCTAACGCGCTACAATATTCTTGACCGAATACCCTCAAGAGACTTCAAAAACTGCCGCGCGTATATACGACCTTAGTAAGCTCACGCAAAAGCTAAGCGCGAGCGTAAAAGGATAATACGAGAGCGCCTTGCTGCAAGCTTGATTATTAAAGATGACGATTCAATACTCATTTTAATTCTCGATTCGAAAGTGATTTAATAGCTGCAACAACCTCTCAAGCGTCAAGTTTTGCGGCCTCGTAAAAAAGGGTATTCCTCGACCAACTCTCTCTTAACTTAAACCTTCTTTCGGTAGCGATGATTTAATAATTACAACCGATATTATCAAAAGACTTTTCTTCATAGCAAGACCTTTTTTTCCTTTTCTCAGTATTAATATCGACAGCGATAGCTTCAATTCTAATAGTAATAATAATAAGTGAACGATTTATTGCGTAGAGTAAAAGACGAATCAGATTCCAATAAAAGTAGTAATCGATGGTTAGATATTTCATCGGATCATACGAGTCTAAGATTTTCGAAAAGAAAATATACTCGTAGATTGACTATTTATACACATATTTAATGATTGTAATAGTAATTACTATGGTATAAATTTTTTTTCCAACATGCACGAGAAATCCGCATTCGCTTCCGATCCGCAATCGCTCACGCCGACGAAGACTTGAAAGGATGTGAGGAGGCCCGCCTAAGCGAGCCGACGATTACTCGTCAGAAGAAGAGAAGAGAAGAAAAGATGAACCGTGAAAAACCCAAACATCTATTGATTCGATCTCCTAATCAAGCTACGAAGTTCTTCTTTCTCTCTTCCCAAACCGCCTCTCCCCACGCAACAAGAAGCCACTTTGAAGAAAACATAAATTAGACAATAACACGATAGTAGAAAATAACAGGATGCTTGTCCACGAGTCTGTATCACTCCCCTCTGTCCCTGCCCTGAAGCCCAAAAAATCAAATCTGAAACGAACAGCACGGGAGTCATGAACAATGGTCAACAAACCATGCAAGAGACGAACGAACACAGTGCTCATTTCGATGGATAGTACCACTCATTGCAGGGTCAGCCGGAGCAGTCATCAATCAATTACCATTAACGCCAATACGCCACGCCACGCCAGCCCTTCAATACCATCCCCTCTCAGCATCATAGCAAAGAAGGATGTTGTGTTTTGCGGCACTGAGCCAAATATCGAGAGAAGCCAAACGAGGTGTCTATGCTTTTCGTGGGCAGGCAGGCAATGCTATGTCTTGTGATATCAATGACATGCCCGCTTTACTTGCGTTAATTATAACCGCTGTACGCTGTTGATGCCTTCCTTAATCCGTATGCGCTCTAACACGTTGAGTTTCATATCTATTGTGGATGACGTGTTCCATGGCGACCCCTTCATCATGAGCCGTTGCTAAAGAATATGGGTTCCGCCAACATCCTCTATCTCCTCAAACCCATCGCCATCGGCATCCTCGTCGTCGGCGTTCAGAACAGCTGCTCCCATCATCGCAGTCGCTCCTCCCATACCCGTCATTGTGCGGTCGTCGTCAACATTACCAAAACCGCCGTCGACAGATGGGTCAAAGCCGCCTTGCGATGTCGTGAGGCTGTTCAGATGAGATCGGAGGCCAAAGACGCCCATCCCGGAGAATACGCAAAACACATTTCTTTGGTGCTCTGTGAATTCTATGGCCGATTTGTCAGCACGTTACTTACTATCTGGAAGCCCTAGGCAACATACCTGCAGGTGCCTCCCGGCAGAACTGTTCCAAGTCTGCCCGTAGGAAAGCTTGAACGCCGGTCAGACTCAGATGGGTCAGCTTTGGACAGCTATTGAGAAGCTTAATGATGCTCTAATTATCGTGTCAGCTAGACTAAAATATGATTGAGGGGAGAACGCACATTGAGAGTCAGATTTATACAATAGCTGAGATGGACTCTCTCGAGGCTACTTGTCTGGTTATGTTCACAGAGCACGCCGGCCGCATTTCTATAGTGGCGAGGAGCGTGGCTGCTACTCTGTGCCAGAGCATCGACACTAGCATTGGTAATGTTCGAGCACTTCACCAGGCCTATTCTTCTCAATTTTGGAAGAGTAGCTAACTTCGTGACCGAGTCGTCCGTCAAGTGAGTACAGCATCCGAGGTCTATGTAACGAATTCTATTACACGATTGCACTAGCTTCTTGACGGCAAAATCGGTTATCTGATTGCAGTGTCCGAGATGGAGGTAATGGAGATTCTTCCCGAGCTTGCTGATGGCAATTACAGCGTTATCCGTAAGATTTCTGCATTTGGCGAAGACCAAGTTCCTCAATCGAGGGGCGACTTCGATAATCTTCTCAACGGCTCGATCTGTCAGGCGTACACAGCTCGTAAGATCCAGAATCCGCAAGTGCTCGAAGGTCTTGTTTGTAGACAGGGGCAAGAAAGCTTCGTCGGATATAAGTTCGCAATTTGCGAGTCGAAGTTCGCGGAGGGTCTGGCCATGCTCGATGAGAGCGGTCACCGGGGCGTTACCAATGGACTTGCATTGGTGTAGATCGATTTCGAGGATGTTGGGGCAGTTCTCAGCAAAGGCCGTAATAGCGGAATCTTCCAGTTGCTCGCATTCGTTGAGTTTGAGCTAGACGTGATTAGCAGAGAAATGGGTAGACTAGGTTCCGAACATACTCTCTTGATGTATTTACACTGCTGGGCGACAGCAATCATAGATGCATTGGAGATTTTGGTGCACCCCGAAATGTTGAGACCTTGCAGCTTGTGGCAGTTGGCGGCAAGGCTGTACATGGAAGTCTCCGTGACTTCGAAGACCCCAGATATATCCAGGGCCAACAGGTGGGAGCTGCCATTGAGAAGCCCAACGATGCCCGAATCCGTGAGACCACCGCAGTTGGTCAAAGTCAGCCGCTCGATCCTGTTGCACGATTGTAGCGCGAGAACGCTACCATCGCTACAGGTATCTGCAAGCTGGGCCATGTTCAGCCGCTTGATGAAATCCCGATATGCGAAGTAAGGGGCTTCCTTGACGAGAGCAGCGCAGATAGAGCTATGCCGAAACCAACTCGTGCATGACGGCCGATGCCAGAGAAGGTCGACGGCATTCCGCGCCCACCTCTTCGATACAAGCATACAGCTAAGCAGATCGTTTGAGTTACTGAGCTTCGAGAACATAGCAATGAGCACCTCTGCTGGGAGGCGATTCGAGGCGCCCACGCACTCTTCCGTCACTGCCATATCCTGGAATGTGGGGACCCCAATAGATGACTGGGAGTCATTGTTGCCAGTGTAGAAGTCCGACTCTTCGTAGTCTGCGCGGGCTGGCGAGTTGCTAGAGGACGATTGCGAGTCGCCATCGCCTTCGCCTTCACCTTCGCCGGTAACTCGATAAGAGTCTTTGGTATCGAAAGGCGTTGTGGGCTGGGTGGGAGAACTCATGTTTGTCGGTGGTGTAGGATCGTGCAAGAGAGGAAAAGATGGCGAAGGAGGTGGGGGGGGGGGGGGGGGGGACAATTTGGATCGACAGCGGACTGCGTGGCTTGGGAGCTAATTAGTCAGAGTTGCGACCGTGATGCGTTCGAGAGATGGGTGCAGGTATACCGTAGACTCGTGGAAATGGATGCCCGGAGGCCGGAGGGACGCTTTGTCGGATTTTATATGCTACAGAGGCAAAATTCGATGTTCGGAGAAGTTGGGCTGGGCGGGCTGGGTCTGATGTTGTGGATGCCAACAGGGATTTGAATTGGTGATTGTGTGAAGTGGAGTTGGTCCTGGTGATTAGTCATACACATACGCATTGTCCTTATTATCGTCTTCTCGACTGAACAAGCAGATTTGCATGTATAAATAGATATGCAATTTCTAAATTTCTAACTCAGATCCTCTTCCCCAGTAACATACTAAATAAGTGTCATAAAAATGAGACGACGCAGTGTATTAGTCAATTTGCAAACATCATTGCTAAAGGCCTCTTGATGCTCACTAACGACCGGATTAGCAGCACTTCTAGAAAAGAGCCATATACCGGTAGCTGGGTTGTCCTCCAGCAGCTTGAACGAGTACCTTAAACATCTGTCAAAAGGGTATCCATACCGCGTGGCTATTACTCAGCATTTATGATTCGCATGAATTACACAACAAACTACTACATTTCGACATTTTATGCATTCAATTCGAACCCTTACTTCTCTTCCCGATGCTCACATTTCAACGCTCAGTTTCTTTGTGCTCTATCTTGTTTAGTCATGTCATTTTTGATACGGTTCAATTAAATTAGTATTATTTATTTAGGGTACTGAGCAATCAGGACTGGGAAAAACAGGAAGAACATAATCTATCGTACAGCAGACAGCAGATTATATTTTACCACTAAGGCTTCTGGGTTAATATTCATGCAGCCCAGAATCGTGTGGATGTGAGGATGCAGCGAGCCCATGTAGGGCGTATTTCTGCAGCCACGAGAAACAATAGAAGCAACAGAGAAGTCAATACATATATCTTAACAGCATGGATCCCATTCTCTACAAAGGACTGACCTCCTCATCATCACAAAGTCCTGTATTGAACCGAAAATGCACCAGAGATGATGGATCTCTATATGCAGGTCGAAGCTCCTGGCTGGTATTGACGTCGTTAGTGCAGAAGCGAAAATCCGGGGAAAGCTGCTGTAAGGCTTGCCACCATCATTCACCACATCGCATGTCACAACCTTCAACTCCCTCTCAACTCCGACCTCCTCACCAAACCTCACAATGTCCCTCCACAAATCCACCCTCCGATTCCTCCGCCCTGAGCTCACCCTCCACACAAAATGCTTCCTGCGCCCTTCGCCTCGATCTAGCCCCCTCCTCACCCGCACCCCCACCCGCACTCAAACCATCTCGTCGAAAGCCCAGCCCCAAAAGCGCGCCCCCGTCGACCCTATAACCCTCCACCGCCTCGAAGCCGAACGCCGTGCCTACTACAAGCGACGATCCTACTACGCCGGCGCGGGCGTCGTCATCGGCATGATCGCCATCTACGTAACCGCGATACAGGTCCCCCTTACCCACAACCTCGACTCTTTTCCGGGCCGCGCTTCTGACCCCCTCGTGGCATTAGGCCGCGAGCGGAAGATCGTCGTGCAGAAGCTCGGCGAGGAGCCCGAGGAGGTCCCCGATGTGGTGAAGACGGGTACGAGCACCATCCCGACGTTCCCGCGCGTACTGGAGTTCGTGGATGATGAGAGGGTGGACCTTCCGGAAGGAGGGGCCGAGGTTCGAGAGTTGATGGATGAGTACCAGTTACTGGGGCTGGGGGTGCGGACTGTGACGTTCTTGGGCGTGGAAGTATACGTGGTGGGGATCTACGTCGCGACGGATGATATTGCAGCCTTACAGCGAGCTTTCATTGCGCAGATTGCTAAAGGCGCAAGTAGTCTTGTGAAGGGGGAGAAAGAGGAGTTGAAGAGGAAGTTGTTTGATAAGGAGGAGGGGGTGAGGATCTGGAGTGAGGTTTTGGAACAGGCCGGCGTGAGGACGCTGGTGAGGATCGTGCCGTGCAAGAATACAGATTTTAAGCACCTAAGGGATGCCTGGGTGAGGAGTCTCACCAACAAGGCGAATTCAGATGGGGAAAGGTATGGGGACGAGGCATTTGGTGAAGGGGTGGCGGAGTTGAAGAAGCTGTTAAACCGAGGTAGCATGCCGAAGGGGAAAGAGCTGCTGCTTTCGAGGGATGGGAAGGGCAGGATGGCCGGGTGGTATGATGATGGGAAGACGGGAGCTGTGAGGTTGGGGAGTGTAGCTGATGAGAGGATATCGAGGGTGGTCTGGCTGAATTACCTGGCTGGGCAGTACCCTGCGAGCGAGCCGGCGCGGAAGAGCATTGTGGATGGTGTGATGGAGTTTGTGGAGAGGCCTGTAGGGACGGTGGCAACGCAAGTGCAAGTCCAGACTCACGTATAAAACCACATGTATATCACAACAGCGTAACATAACTGAAGTACCATTGAAGTCGTGTTCGGCTCTGAATTCTCCAGGTATCACCCCCAGTCAAAAAACTCAAAGCTATCCTTTTATTCCACTTCACAGCCTAGCTTTCCCCTTCTCAGCTAGTCACATAGCCGAAGCCTCCTTCAGCAAGCTAGGGAGGGTGCTCTTCATAGCCTGCAAGTCCGAGTTGCCGCCAATGTGCTTCTGCTTGATGTAGATGTTAGGGACGGAGGTCTGGCCGTTGATTTCCTTCAGGGCGGCTTGGATAGCAGATCCATCATCTACATTCATATCCCTATCAGCATTTGCGTCTCCCAACAGTTCATTATTCACTGCTAACAAACGCTTAGGGGTGCATACCGACTTGGTCAAGCTCAATGGTATAGTACTTGGCGCCCATCTCGGTCAGGAGGGCCTTGGTGGCTTTGCAGTACGGGCAGTAGGACTTGCTGAACACGGCTGAGGGAAGGAGAAGATCCTCGTTAGCGAGCTACTTCTTCTTTCCTGCAATGACCGACTGCCAGGGAATAAAGCAGATAACCTACCGACGGCATTCTCGTCGATGATCTGCTGAGCCTTGGTCTTTGCGGCGGACATAGTGGCGGGATTGACAGCGGATGTCTGGAAGAAGCGGCGTAGGAACGAAATGGTAGGCAACGGGTGATACGGACGAGTGGGGGAAGATAGCGTTATTGTTGCTTTGTTGCTTTGAGGGTATGCGAGGAGGGGCAGGATGGCAGCGGTACTTAAAATGCGGATTATCGATTATGATCCTGGTGTTGTTGGTTATTGATTATTGATCATGGTTGGTCGAGGCCATGACGTAAGGCTGACAGAGCAAAGAGGGCTGTTTAGATGAGAGCGATTGGTTAAAAGTTGGTTCTCTCTAACCTCCCTCAGGACATCATTATCCCTCTCTACTTCAGTTATATCAGGTGATAATGCTTTGATACACAGAGTGAATGGGACCACATCTACCGGTGTGTAATAAACATCCCTCTATGAGTAAATACTTCACGTTGGGTTGCAAAGCTCCTTTGACCAGTTTGCATTACAGTACTCATGACCTACCGGTACCTAATCACACCGCCTTTGTCCTATAGCGTGGGCCCTTCCAAAAAACCAAAATCCACCTCCAGCTTCAATACCCGCCTGGAATCCCCCGGTAATAGATTGCTTCATCCCCCCCGTCTTCCCCGTCACTTCAAGTCAAGTCAAGTCCTTCCAGTAAGGCACGGAGTATAAAGGTGGCTACCCACGAAGTAGTGGCATCTGGTGCTCTGTCATCACTGATCCACCAACTTCCGGACTCTCTGCAAAGCTATCTCTCAACTTCCATCTCGCATCTTCAAACCGTCTACGAATCCCTCCCCCCCAGCACCCAAACCGCCATCGCCACCGCAGCCAGGTACACTCACCTTGACAGCGTCTCGCCGCCCGCCCAGCTCATTCTTCTCCTAACTACCTCCACCCTCTTCGCCGTCTCAATGAGTAGTTGGGGCCGCTCCTTGTTCGGCGGCTCGAATGCGCGCTTTTCACCCTTTGGAAGCAGAGCATACCCGCCCAACGTCACCGAAGATGACTTCTCTTACATTACCTCTGAGGACCTTGCCCAGCCAGGCCGAACATACGACCCCCACGCCCGCCCTCCGCCTTCTATGGCAGCCGAAGACGACGTCCTGCTGATCAAGAACAAAGGCGTGACATACCCCGTCAAGTTCCCCGCCTACAGCATTGGAGATGGCAAGCTACAAGTGCGTGACGTGAAGGATCGGGCGGCGGCAGTCATGGACCTGCCGAGCAGCCAGGGGATCAAGCTTCTATACAAGGGGCAGCAGCTGAAGGACGACTACAAGCCTTGTAGAGACTACAGTCTGAAAAATAATAGCGAGGTCCTGTGCGTAGTCGGCGAAGCACTAGCACGCAGCGACGACTCTGGCGACGACGCCTCCAGTGCGCAGGAAGGCGGCTTCTTCAGGAAGAAGCGCAGCCGCAAGTCTAAGAAGAAATCCAGTAGCAAGAAAAAGAGCGACGCCAACCTATCCCCGGATTCTGGCGCAGCCTCCCGCACCGCCTCGCCTGCGATCCCAAAGACAGCCATCGAGAAGCTGGAGACGATCTCGAGCCATTTCCACACGAAGATCCTACCGTTGTGTGTCCAGTTCACGATGAACCCACCCGAAGATCCGAAGAAAAAGGATTTTGAACATAAGAGGCTGAGTGAGACGATTATGAACGAGGTGTTGCTTAAGCTGGACGCGGTGGAGACGGACGGAAATGAGGAGGCGAGGGACAAGAGGCGGGCGCTGGTCAGGGAGACGCAGGAGGTGCTGAGCGGGCTGGACGCTAAGATGGGGGAGTCATAGGATTCCCAGTGTATGGGCTCTGGGGAAAGGCTGAAGAAGGCTCTGATGATGAGAGCCAGGGCTGGAGAATAGACGGCTAGGTAGTAGCTACCTGATGCATAATCATACATATATTTGGATGAATCTTTGCTTGTACCTGTATATCCCATTTGGGGGCGTTTGATTAGAGGTTTTGGCGATCTGAACGAGTGCATGCATCTGGTTTCTGGGCTATAAGCGAACTCGAAATTACTTTGTACCTAAAATGCCAATTGTATTTCGATCAACCACCCTCTTCCTAGCTTTATCTCTTCGTCTTCTTGGCGTACATTTTGTCTTTCTTTGCCTTCTGTTGAATGAATGATAAGTTTGGTTCAGTCCTGCTCTGCTCTGCTTTGTACAAACTAAGCTACTATCAAGTACAATCAATAGTAGGCCCAGAAGAGCATGTATGTCTGTCGGGCTATCCATCTGTTCAAGGTAGGTAAGTAGGTGGATACTGCTGATGATTGGCTGGCTGGCTTGGATTCGATGGGTAGGTAGGTTGGTGGGCAGGTAAGGACCCAAGGTCGGTGGATTTGGTGGTTTAGAAGTTGGTAGATGTCCCGCCAAAGTATTCTGCCCTGGCAGCGTGTAGGAGTGCTGCGGCTTATCCTTCCGATGGCTTCTCTTTTCTGTTATACCTTCTTTTCCCTACCCACTCTCTCTTTGCATCTACTCTTTTTTCGATTTGAGGGGCAGGTCGTGTGAAAAACGTTGAATGCAGTAATAATTGACGCTTCTGATTTGGGAGCTAGGACGGTAATGTCAGGAAACTTTGGAGACCTCAGCAACCAGCCCAAGGTGACTTCGCACAAGTCAAGGAATAGGAAACCATTTCCATGAAATCATTTGTTTGACCTGCCACTGCAATCCAATATTAATGATCGTTCTCTTCGTTGCACAGAGCCTCCTCAACATCTATGATTAGGGCTGTGAAAACTGTGCGCCCTACCCTGGCCGGTAAATATCACGTGCTCGCTTAAGACTAGCGCCAAATTCGCAGCGCACCTCGCGGAAATCCGTGCTAGGAGTGGAATTCCACGAACGACCTCCCAACGCCAAAACCGACAACTCCTCCACCATCACGACGGTAGAGGACACGACAATCCGCTTCGACATCTGTCTTCTCATTTCCGGAAGTAAGGCAAAAAGATGTCGACCTTTGAGAACGTCGTGAGTCCTCTCCTGCACCCGCACCCGCAGCAAAGTCGCGACATCAACATCGGGGAGAAGCTCTTCCCACTGGAGGGGGACAAGGTCGCAGACAGAGAATTGGATGCGAATCGGGGCTAATCGCGGATTTTACAGATCACTATTGATGGCAAGGGCCACCTCCTTGGTCGTCTGGCCAGCACCGTGGCTAAGCAGCTGCTCAACGGCCAGAAGATCGTGGTTGTGCGTTGCGAGGCCTTGAACATCTCCGGAGAATTCTTCCGTGCAAAGCGTACGTTCTCTGACTGTCCTGCCTTACCCTGGCGCATATGTGACTTGGAGAAGAAAAGTGGAAATCGGGAGCATCTGCGCATGGTGGAAGAACTTGGAACTGATTCGACTTTCCCTGCAGTAAAGTACCACGCCTACCTGAGAAAGATGACCCGATACAACCCAACCCGAGGAGGTACGTTACAGCCCCGCATTCTCGAATTGTCTGCAGTCCACGAAATTGGCAGACTCTAACTCATACCAGGTCCTTTCCATTTCCGTGCTCCCTCCCGAATCTTCTACAAGACCGTCCGTGGCATGATTCCCCACAAGTCCGCCCGTGGTGCCGCTGCTATGGAGAGACTCAAGGTGTTTGAGGGTGTCCCACCACCGTACGACAAAGTCAAGCGCGTCGTGGTTCCTCAAGCCCTGAGAGTGTTGAGACTGAAGCCCGGTCGCAAGTACTGCACCGTCGGCAGATTGAGCCACGAGGTCGGCTGGAAGTACCAGGATGTTGTCGCAAGGTCAGTAGTATACGTGGGATACAGGGGTGGAGGACTTGATACTGACAGGACCACAGACTCGAGGAGAGAAGAAAGGTCAAGGGAGCTGCATACTACCAACGCAAGAAGGCCGCGCGCAGACAACTTTCGGATGCCCAGAAGAGTGCCAACGTAGACGAAAAGACCAAGACGCAGTTGGCTGAGTACGGCTACTAGACACCCACCACCCGGAATCACTTTATTTCAATGTGGCGTGCGTCTGGATGGGACGGGTACAGTCGATTTGCCTTGTTTTTTCCTCCCCCTGCTTTTCGCGCAACCTAAAATCACACAAACTTTCAATGCCTTGTTCGACCCTGAATTCTTCTCTGGGGAAAGATCCCAGGGCTGGTATTTCCCACACACACCCCTAACGGATTGGGACGGTTGCTTGTGGGGTGGTGGAATGGATGTGATTGGGGCTTCCTGACGTGTATAAGCTTCAGCATTGCATGCCACCCGTCTTGGGGAAATGAAACCAAACAATAAGAATACCGCTGTGAGAGTTGGACGATTTTATATTGACATGATCAAGTTCCGCTTTTCAGAATTCGCCAAACGAAAGGCGCTAGGCGGTCACTCTCAATCGATAGTTCGATTCTTCAACTTCTGGAGTATGCTTAAGGTTGGAGCGGTTCCAGTCTCGTGGAATTACTCCGATCATGTTCCCGGTTGAAAATGGGCCCAGCAGAAGAGCACTACGAATCTGAATCCACTCAATGGCTATCATGGGGATCCCACGCAAGGAAACTCAGCATTCAGATTTAACCAGGTGTAGAGACTCTTCGTCGCTTCTTCAAGTTCCGATTCGAAATCGGTAGCAAGTCGCTGCTGATATCCATTCAGTGGCTTCGGCGATTCTTCCGTCTCCCCAGACATGCCAGACTGGCCATTTTTTTTAAAGTGTCCAGATAAGTTTTGGTATCTGTAGATCGAATATGGATATTCACTTTCATTAACATGTACCCTCAATACATACACATACCTGGATAGGTTGCTCGTCCAAGCACGCCGCAGGACCGCACTCCAGTCATCTATCACCTGACTCTGTGTAATATTGCTGGGACTAAGCAAGTCAAGCCCAAATGTAAGCTGCAAATGGAATAACCTCATCTGGTTTCTTATTACCCATTTATCCCTTTCTATCCCCTCCCTTTTCCGGAGCTCCTCGGTTATGAATATAAATTCAAAGCGCGGTCTTTCCCCAAACCCCCACTAGCGGACCAGTTCCGTGCCCCCACACCGAGATCGCCGTAGAGCTGAACGACATCCCACCTCAAAGCTCTGTTAAAGACTGTCGTGAATCCTGAGGGCTGATCCAACGGCTTCATTAAAAACAACATCTTGGTAAACTTCTCTGTCTCGGCCCCTCGCCTTTATCTATACTTGTTGTTGTTGTAGTTGTTGTTGTTGATGGATTACATTGAATCCCCGGCCGGCGAAAAGGATCCAAGATTAGGAAGAGGAAGACTGAGTAAACATCGACATTAAGAAGGGCTATACGAAATTGATCGGCCAGTTGATGCTAGTATCTATCTCCCTTCGTTAGATTCAAAATACACATCGCCCAACGCGCCAGCTCTCTTCTCCCCTCCTCACAGCCAGACAATGTCTTCCCCCAAATCCCGGCTCCAATCCCTCGCCTCCCACTTCCTACCCTCCTCTACTTCACCACCACCATTACCACCACACATTCATACTCTCTCTCCAACGTCGTTCCTCCCGCGCGCAGCAGCCATCGAGCCCGACGCCGAGGCCATCTTCCACGTTACAGCAAATGGCGAGACTCTCAGGAGGAGTTATGCGGAGTTTGCGGACCGCGCGAGGGGGCTGGCGTATTTCCTGAAGAAGCATGGTTTCCAGCGCGTAGGGATCCTGGCGCCGAATACGCCGGCGTTCTTGGAGGCTATCTTTGGGATTGCGGCTGCTGGTGGTGAGTCTCTTCTCCCTATTATCCTTCTGTCTCTATAGTTGTGGGGCTCGGGAGACTTTTAAGAATGGGATTACGAGGGAGTGGGGGAAGTTTAAGGGTCAAGTGAGAATGCTCTTGATGGGCATGAGACTGATGATATTTAGGCGTCAACGTAGCAGTCAACTACCGCCTCAAGACGGAGGATATCTCATATATCTTCATGTTTGCAAAAGTGGATAGTATAATAGTCGACGCTGAATACGTGTCACTGCTTTCCGACTTCCGCGCTCAGAATCCGCATGTACCTTTCATCATTGATACTGATACCGATTCGACTGAAGGCCAACTCTCGGGTCCTTTCGATGATGCTGTGCTCGAAGGACTTCAGTACGATACCGAGCAAGGTAGTCACGGATGGTCTGACTTGAAAGCGCAGGCTGATGATGAGAACGGGACGATTGCATTGCCTTTCACGAGCGGCACGACAGCAAAGCCCAAAGGAGTTGTCTACACGCATCGAGGCGCGTATCTAGCGGCAATGGGAAACGTTATCGAAAGCGGACTCAACTACCACGAAGGCCGTTGCGGCTATCTCTGGACCCTACCCATGTTCCACGCCATGGGCTGGACATTCCCCTGGTCAGTAACCGCCGTCCGAGGCACACACTACTGTCTACGGAAGATCAACTACCCTCTCATTTGGCACCTCCTCAAAACAGAAAATATCACGCACTTCAACGCCGCGCCCACCGTCAACACGCTCCTCTGCGCCTCAAAAGACGCCGAGAAACTGCCCAAACCAGTCCGCGTCACCGTCGCTGCGTCACCACCAACGGCCCATCTCTTTGAGCAGATGTCGAGTTTGAATTTACAGCCTGTCCACGTGTACGGGCTGACGGAAACCTACGGCCCCATCACCAAAGGTTATCATATGCCCCTCTGGGAGACGCTACCACCGAAAGAGAAGTACGCACGTATGGCACGGCAGGGCCACGGATTTATTACGGGCCTCCCTATTCGCATCATCAAGACCGAGCAGCCGGAAGGCGTCCTCATCGACGTCGCGAAAGACGGGAAGGAGATAGGCGAGATTGTGTTTTTCGGGAATATCTGCGCCAAGGGGTATCTGGATGATTCAGAGGCGACGCGGAAGCTGTTCGCGGGCGGGGCATTGCATTCCGGGGACCTGGCCGTTTGGCACGAGGATGGAAGTGCACAGATTTTGGACCGGGCGAAGGATATTATAATTTCTGGTAATTAATTACCTACTCCTTGGCCCCCTCCCTGACTCCATTCCCTTCTTCCCCCGTATACTTAGATGCTCTGCTAATGGTGTGGTTCAGGCGGCGAGAACATCTCCTCCGTTGCCCTCGAGTCCATGCTCGTGCAGCACCCAGATGTCCTCGAAGCGGGCGTCGTCTCGGTCGCCGACTCGCACTGGGGCGAGCGGCCCAAGGCCTTCATCACGGTGCAGGAGGGCAGGACGCTCCGTGGAGAGGATCTGATCGAGTGGTCGAAGCACGAGAGCGCTATCAGCAAGTTCATGGTGCCGAGGGAGGTGGAGGTCGTGAATGAGCTGCCGAAGACGAGTACGGGGAAGATAAAGAAGAATGTGCTCAGGGCGTGGGCGAAGGGGGATTATAGCGACAAGTGAGGTTATGGGCTGTGTGATTGACCCTGCATCAGGGGGCCTTTTTTGCGGCTTGAGTGCGCTTGCGGTACTAGCGGAGGAGGATTATGAAAGCAGTGATGGTTGTGAATGTTTGATAAGTCAACTGGATGAGACTTTTGGAGCGTTGGCAAGGCTTCTGTTTCTTATTGTAAGCTATCCGGGATTGAAAACTCTCGCTTAGCTCGAGAGTCGATGTGCCCAGATTACTTTCGAGATTTGAAGTCGAATTCAGCTGAAGGCCTCAATTGCGCTAGGAATATAGGGTAGATGTATTTAGTTCTTTTATCAATCTTCAATTGAGATATCGCTACTGTAAGGTGGTTCAGGTGATGACTGTGCGAGCATGGCACGTTTTTCCCCACTTCTCGCTTAGGACTCCCCTCCAGCTACTCGTACCTATGTAACATTAAAAGTCGATGGTTATGAGTGAAATTTAGAGTCACTTGGGTACCTCTGTAGAATATCTAAAGTAACCATAAGTTATATTCCACTCAGAGTCAATAGTATCTCATCACCCCGGGCACCAATTTATAGGGACCCGATTCCGACCCAGCAAATCACATGACATGGAACCAGAGGCAAACCTAGATAGGAAGCCAAGGTGAAGCAGACGATAGAGAGCCAAGGTCGGAGCAACGAGTAACGGCAAAAAGGAGCTGTAGGTTCTATATTTCTATAGTTCCACCAAGAAATGGACATGTTACTCGAAGACATTGTTATCAGGAGCGGAGGGGCCAGATGGGGTCTGGCATTATCGTACGAAATCTTCGCCCAGGGTATAGATAGATAAACCCAAAAAAAGATTCACGCGATAGATTGGTGACAAAAATATCTAGACAGACACAGACGGATCAGCAGCTGAGATGGGAATCTCAATGAATTATACAGTCTCGGGCTGGCTGTCGACTTCCCCATCATCAATCTTCAATCTTCAATTGACAAGACATCTTCACCATTCGTTACCTTTACCGACACCCTAGTGCGCTACTAGAAAGTTCGCGAGCAAGAGCATAAGTTCACCTCATTTCATCAACCACCACCACCTTCATTCGACTGTAAAGTCATAGGAATACTTCGAAACGATTCGAAAACATGTCCTCCATCTCTCTGAACTCGTTGTCAGGCACGTCGTCAGGTTACTCAACTCCAGCTTCATCCGTCCCTACCAAAAGCACCAGAGCTTCGTCAGTCGCTGACTCCACGATTGCCTTCGTCTTCGACATTGACGGTGTTCTCGTCCGATCCAAGGAAGCACTCCCGGGAGCTACTGAGTCCTTGCAGCTGCTCCAACAGCGCAACATCCCCTTTATCTTCCTCACGAATGGAGGGGGCTCGACAGAGAAGGATCACGTCGCCGTGCTCGCCAAGAGGCTCAACATCCCAAGTCTCCATGAGCGTCAATTCGTCCAGTCCCACTCTCCCTTTCACGAACTCGTCCCAGAGCTTACGAACAAGAACATCCTCGTTCTCGGCGGCACGGGAAGCTCGATCCGCGACGTGGCGGCGGCCTACGGGTTCAAGCAAGTGGTGACTTCGGCAGATCTGATCAAGACTTTTGGGGAGCACGTCTACCCTTTCCTCGAGATGGAGAAGGACCACCACGAGGAGCACGGCCGAGAGATCGAAAGCAGATTCCGCATGCCGGATGGAAGAGTTCAGATCTCAGCGATCCTGGTCTGGTCCAGTCCGCGCTCATGGGGTCTTGATTACCAGGTCGTCATGGACCTCCTCCTCAGCGAGAAGGGCATCTTCGGAACCGTGTCGTCCAAGAATGGCGACGCGAGCCTACACAACCGCGGATACCTGCAGGACGGCCAGCCCATGGTGTACTTCTCCAACCCCGATCAGAACTGGGCAACCGCCTACCACCTCCCCCGGGTCGCACAGGGCTCCTGGCGACTTGGCCTCCAGGGTATCTGGGACGCACACACCGGCAACGCAGACATCAGCTCAGTCATCCGCTCCTTCGGCAAGCCAAGCAAGGCCACCTACATCTACGGCGAGCAAGTCCTGCAGAAGTGGAACCGGGAGATCAACGGGGAGGACGCGCCCGTCATCAGCACCGTCTATATGGTTGGCGATAATCCAGCCTCTGATATTGCCGGCGCCAACGCGTTCGAGAGCGGCTACGGCAGCGACTGGAAGAGCATCCTGGTAGAGAGCGGAGTGCATGTGGCAGGCACAAAGCCCGCATATCTGCCCGACCACACTGTTGGGACTGTAAAGGAGGCCGTTGATCTGGTACGCAAACCCCGCGCCAGCAGACACGACGACCAGCCAGAGTCGTCGAAAGATCTTGAAAAGCGAATGTCTGCTAACCCCTTGAACCAGGCTCTGTGGGTGGAGTCAAAGAGCTAGAGCTCGGATTGCTTTTCCCTCAAATTTTTCCTTTTCTTACAAAAAGCTGGACGTTTTAGAGACGCATTGGGGCGGGCGCTCACGGTAGATCATCATTCTTGACTTTCTGAGGTTTTCTGGCAGGCGCACAAAAGCAAGCAAGAAAGAAAAAGGTCCTTTTTATTCTCGTCTTTGTGGGCAAGGACCGATCGATATCAAAAACAGCTATAGATAGACAGAGCTTCTTGCTTGAGCAATCATCTTTCTCCCTCTCCCTCTCCCTCTCCCTCTCCCTCTTTCTCTTTCTCTTTCTCCTTCTCTCCCTCCTTCTCCTTCTCTATCGTATCGATCGACACGGGTGAAATAAGTCAGGCGTGACTTACGAACCGACCGAATACATATTACAGAACTACTCCCTTCATGCCTTCCTCTCCTTCACTATTTGAGATGTATGTATGTATGTATGTATGTAAGCTGCTGCTGCTGCTATAGAGAGACACATAAACACAACACGATACAGCCCCTGAGCCAAATCTGTAATCACGGATCCCATGACTTAACGGTCGGCAGGCAGGCCTTGATGCCTCCATCTCCGGCTTTACATCCCATTTTACGAGGGGGTAAGGAAGCAGGCAAGCAAGCAAGTAAGCAAGCAAGTAAGATGTATATATTTATAAATGCTTCATGCTTTATAATATATGCTTTATAATATATGCTTTGTAATATATGCTTTATAATATATGCTTTATAATATATGCTTTATAATATATGCTTTATAATATATGCTTTATAATATATGCTCTATAATATATGCTTTAGAATATATGCTTTATACTACCTAATTTATGCTTTATTATTTATGCTTTATGCTTTACAATTTACAATTCATAATTTATTCTTTATGCTTTATAGTTTATGATTGATGCTTTACGCCTCAACCCTCGAAACCTACCCAAGACCTACCAACCAACCAATCAACCACGTAGTAGACGCCCAGCTCACCCAGCTCCCTCGTTTGCTTGTTCAAACGCCATCCTCTCTGAATTCAAAAGTTCAGAGCTCAAAGGCTCAACGTCGTACTGACATTTGACATGTCTTGTCCTTGCCCTTGTTCTCGCCCTTGCCCCTTGTCCTTGCCCTTGCCCTTGTTCTTGTTCTTGTTCTTGTCCTGGTTTTGCAAAGAAAGAATGGGAAGAGGCGCTTCTTTCTCGTATGCCTTCTTCGATCTTGATCCTGGTCCTGATCCCGATCCCGACCCCGGTTCTATAGATGGGTCTTGCGCGATGATGGGGTGGTGATGGTGAGTATTCCTGTACTAAGGGTGAGAGTAAGGATGAGATTGAGGGCGATACTGAGAGGGAGAGGGAGGGGAAAGGCGGGAAAGGCGGGAAATAGGGGAAAGAAGGAAGGAAGGGTTTGCATGTATGTCTGTCTGTTTGTCTGTCTGTCTGTCTGTCTGAGGAGTAGCTGAACCGAACAGGAGAGATCAATAGCGGAATTCCTGAAGAGCATCATATCGAAGAGCGGCGGAGATAGAGCCGGTCGGAACATGGTTTCCAGACTCGTTCTCGCTAAGTCCTCGATAAGATACATGCATATACAGACGCATTCGGTCTCACAGCCTTGACAGTTGCCGTGTTGACTGCGCTGACGGTTTGAATCTCTCCTCCCTGTGCTTTTCGTCTGCTTCACTCTCTCGACCTCGAAGCTCGGTACGAGAAATGTCGTTGTGGCTGAAATTTCTCACGTGCTCTCGTTCTTCAAGGCCCTGTATAACTATCTCAAAAAATATATATATATATATGTCTTAAAAAAAAAAGGCTTTTCGGGTTCCCAGACTTTCCAACTTGGACTGGCTCACGTTGGCGTAGTATTTGAACGTGTAACCAGGCTTCGTCAGAAAGGCATCCATACCCGCCATCAACAACGAGAGCAGCGGCCAAACGACCTCACCGCTCGACGAACTCTGAGATTGGCAGCGGAGATACAGACTCAAGAAATTTCCAGACCCGTGGCGATGAAGTGATCAATCGAGCATTTCTAGAAAATCGGCTACCGTCTGAGTGTGACGGGCGGGAAGCTGGGGTATCACCCAAGAAGCTGCAAGATCTACCTATCCATCATCAGCATCTGGAATCGATGACTGGGTCTCGGTGCAAATATAACATACCAGAAATCAATAAGGCGATCACGAATAAATAACGTGGCTGGGAGGCACTGTGTCGCCTCTGAGCGCCTGTGAGCTTGAGAGCTGATATCTATCCTCGAGCCCCTGGGCTACTGCATCAAGTCAAGCTGGATACCCTTCTCATCCATATCTGCTTCTTCCCAGATGTATCTGGAGTCTGTCAGGGATGATATATATGCAATCGAGGACTGCAGTGATGATGGCTGGGCGATGGGAGTCATGCGCTAAGCCGACGGGCAACGGACGCTACAAAATTGCCCGCAGGTGAGCGCCATGTACGCCCGAACTTACCTCTAGATCTCCTGCGCCCTATCCGCGGTATCCAAGACCCGCTCTGCACCGTCAAGATTGTTCAGAGAGCACATCATCAAACGGAGAATGTTTTCTGGTCATGACCAGATGCTGCCGGTCACTATCGCTGCAGGCATCTCGGGGAAAAGCCGTTCGTTGCCAGGTGAAGAGCGGGCATGTACATGTACTCAACTTTGTATATATAGACATCTTGCTTTCACCATTTTTCTCTTGAAACGATATTTCTCCATCCGATCCGTTCTCTTTTCTGCTTGCGGTATACGTTGGGCTCAATTGCAGCTACGAATGAAAGTCGGTCGTGTCTCAAGCGACCGACGGCAGAGAGATCTCGTCCTCTGAGAGAGATGGAATCGCAGACTTCGCTTCTTCTCTAAGGGAGAAGGATAATGAGGATGAATTGTCTGGCTAAAGGCATATAGGGTGTACTCGTGGCTCTCTGTTACGTTGGTGGTGGTATTATTGTTTTCGGGGGCCCTTTCAATGCTTCCATCCTCGACCACCTGCGCTTGTTGGTCTTTGGAGTCATATATGTACCCAGACCGTCATGTATGATTCTCGGTTGCCGAACGCCTTTCTCACTGGTATGATTGTTGGCATGCTGGGCTTTGGTTACACCTCTGATCTGATCGCTTAGGATGGAAGAGCGGTGCTGAGTTCGACGACTTTCATTCTCGCAACCGATTCCCATACAATTGGCTTATCTTCAAGACATATTGAAGACCTTTACTTGGTTGCTCCTTGAGTTGGTTTCTATAAGCGCCCATGCAAAACCGACACTTTGATCGCAGGGTACTAACACCAAGTAGGCACTACAATATCTCGTACCTATGCAGGCTGTTCGCCTCTGCGATTCTCGGCTGCCAGCCGCCTTGAAATTGGCTTTTCGCTCACGAGAAGTTTGGGGTGGAGAGTAGGTACTCATATGCTACTTTTATATTCCCGGCGCCTTTCACCGGGGGACTACCTAGGTCTTATAGCCGCCTTCAGGAAAGCAGGAGCTGCGATTGGCACTGTTGTCATGATTGCGCCGATTCTAGCGAGCTATGGAGAGAGAGAGAGAATGTGTGTGTACAGGGGAAATCAAGCTGTGTTCTTGATCGGAAGTGGTAATGCAGCTCTCTCTCTCTCTCTCTATTACGCATGTCGGCCCTGAACGAAATACCGAGCCCCAACTCTCGAACCAAGTGAGCGAGCGGGATCTGTAACGGATAACGGGGCAAAGAAAATGCTCGACGTTCCTCGTCCACTATTGAAGTGTCTTGGTGTATCATACTTTCAAATAAGATTCGCTGCCCTCTACGGAGATACACTTCGTACTTCATACTAAAACCCCAGACTGAAGAGTCTGGCTTGGCACTATTGATAGAAACTCTTGATTCATCGAGCCCGCTATGCAATCTCTTGCTATCAAATTTGAAGAGAAAAAATTGCACGAAGGAGATTTTTTATTGAGTGGAAGGTATCAGATCCATACTACAACCATTATTTTGTCTGAAAAGCATCAGGACTAAAGAAGGACATTTGGCATGGCCCCAGGGTTAACCTTTATTTGTTCATGGATTGATTTGTTGATTTAGGCTTTTGCCGAAGCACGCCAAGTGTTGCATTGTGGATCGTGGAGAAAGGATCGTCCTCGACCTCCTCGTCCCCTGGAACGTCAATTCGGATTGATATTGATAACAACCGGCCCTCGGTAAAAGAACAAAACGGTTCTAATAGGCAACTCACGTCGCTACACAAGCGATCAGAGGGCGCAGACGACCTACTGTATATCTATCATCTCTCGGAATGAATAGCCTTTGTCGTCTCTGGAGCAGCATGTAGTAGTAACGAAGTAAAAGCGCGCGTAAGGAGGTGGTCTGAGGGCCGTCTGTTCCACGAGAAATTCCTAGGGCGGCGCACGGAATTGCGAGTCGTACCTCGCTCGTACCACACGCCATGATTACTCGGCTTCGCCCTGTGCTGGAGATTGCGGAGTACAGGCAATATATATATATATATATCGCAAGGAGCATCCACTCCACTCCTTCTTTCCTGCCTTTGTTTAAACGGACTCGGTGCGCTCTTGCCTTCTCACAGGAATTGCTGCATTCAGATTCTTCGGACCCAGGCCCAATCAGCATTCCTCATCCCCCGGAATATCATAAGTCAACAAATAAGCAACTATAGGCATGAGCTGAGTGAGGACCACGACCGACTCACGTTAGACAGGAAAACAGACTCTACGCAATATGTTTAAAGAGGTGGTTTCGTTGGCGATTATCCTGGGCTTTATCTGGAACATCCTTTACGTCGAGCATCCGGATACGAGATCATACACTATTGCATTTGTAGGCAGCCTGCTTGCGCTCTCGCCGTTCGTGCTGTGTTGGATCTATTGGATGGGCGTGCAAGAAGGGGCTGCGCCCCGGGAGATCTTCAGTCTGCGGTACTGGAGGGATTCGAGGAGACGGGTCCGGGACGGGCCAGGTGATAGCGAAGTTAGTCCTCGTCCTGGACTGGTCGATGGGAGCCGACGCGAGGGTGTGAGTGAAAGGAGCGAAGCCGAGTCGCTAAATAGCGCTGATGTCGAGAAGGGACTCGGGACATCACCGACCAGCACGCATTCCTGAGAGGGCCCTTGGAAGACGAGATGGTATGTGATGGCAATTGCAAATCAAAACAAGCTCATGGTCTGATGGTCAGGTAGGTTGCATCTGCTTTCGGGTTATGGCAGCTGGAGCTGATACACTCGCCAGATCTGAGTCAACGCCGAAGGCAGCCAGCCTGCAGGTCATTACTCTATATATCGCAGCGGTCAGCGAAGACGATTCCTACAAGCATGGGAATGGAGGAAGCGACCATCATGGCGACGAAATGAAGCCCTACCCGATTCTGCTATCGGCTAGATCGGCATGGAATTGGAGCGCTGTGTCGTCTCTCTCGGGGGACTTCCCGAGGTAGAGAAAAATGCTGGATGGCTGCGCTGAGCAAGACTCAAAGAGATAAATTATGGGCTCAGCCCCGATGGATGAAGCTATACTTCCTCCTGATAGCGGCTGAAGAAGATCGTACTCGTCGGTTCCCGGTGAAAGCTTGCCGGAAACGATACGGTCAACGAAATCCTCCGCCGGACAGAGCCCGACCTTTCGGAGTAGCAGTACTTTCGGCCCAAAAGGCTCCAGTATATATAGATAGACAACTATGAGATTTCCTATTTACACTTATCTTTGTTTCTATCAGAAAAAAGGAGATGAAATTCAGGAGACAGGTGAGTCCCGCGTAAACGTCCGTCACTACTTCTAAATCATTAACAGCCACGTCTGCTCTTCTACAACCCGCCCTTCTCCTAAATCATGCTCGATCGGATCAATTCATCACTGAACCAGATCAAATAAGCTTTTTATGTTCTATTCATTCATTCATTGATTGTAAACTTGGCTGCGAGACCTTCATTCACATGGCTCTAGTGACGCGATCCCAAAAGCCTCATAGGCGGCTCACACGAATCAACCAAGCGCCAACTCGAGCTTTAAAGTCGGCTAACCGGCTTGGCCGAGAGTCGGACTTGCATCCCGCCTTCCTTTACTTCTCAACTCGCTTAGCCGGAACAAAGGGGGAAGGAGGGTCGAGAATTAGGCGCGGATCGTGTTCTCCCCGTGGCCTCAGGTACAATCCGGACAGTTGACTAGCTAACCTTGAATGCTATAAGAACATGAATGCAAGAGGATCACGGATTCTGCTAAGGGGGTGAAGTCAGAGTCTGGTATATCATCCGCATCTCTCCATTGTGATTTTCAATCTGGGTTATCTTCTGAAGCGTGCCGCACCACTTTAGAGGAGAGCTAGGGAGCGCGAAGGAGTAAAAAGCATGTGACCCGGCTTAGAGATTGTGAGTCGATGGATGACAAGGCCCATGTACGATGTCCACTCGTTGTATGGATGGAGAGTAAAGTTCTCCAAGTCAAGTTGGATGGGTAGGACTTTAGGCTAGCGTTTTCCGCGCTTGAGCGGCCGAGTCTTGAGAATGGGGAGCGTTGCAGAGCACTACTTTGATACCGGGGGAGAAAGGAAGAGGAGGGAGAGGAGGGAGATGGCGGCGGTGGCGGCTGGGAACAGAGCGTGCCAAGTGCGGGAGAGGATTGTTCGAGTGCACTCATCTCTGGCTGGAAGCCGAAATGGGAAAGGGGGTTTGGAACTTGTTGCTGGGACTATGATAATGACTCGTGTGTGAAGTAGTTATGGAAAAGGATCGGGGGGGAGAATGAGGTATTGTGGTTTGGTTCTGTTTTGTCCGTTATAGGCAAATGCTATGCCAATTTGAAAGATTTGTTAGCGTAGCTAGTAAGTTACTCTGCTGTCTCTCCTCAAGATAAAGTGCGAAAGGAAACGGATGATGAGTGAGGTTCAATGCTTATATTATGGGACAGGTTTGACGTCAAGGGTCCAAGGATACGATAGTAGGATTTCTGTACATTGTATGAGACGCTGAAGGCGCTGGATCTTTGATCGTGTGGGAGTATCACGATCGAAGCAGCTAGTTGAAGCAGACCGCTTGTCAGAGTGGTGACGAGGTGGGTGCAAGCTCTTAAGAAGTCTATTCACAACCTCTTTCTACCCATTCTGTGCAGTGTTTTCCATTTCTCAGGCTATCAAACTCTTGCTATATACGCCCATCCACAAACAATGCTGGGTTCTCAATCCGAGATTCTCCACCGTCGTATGGATATAATTGTCACGCTATGATATTGCGCAATCTACCTCAGCTTCTTCTATGACCACCGCCCGGCAGGTCGCGCACTCTCTTGTTCCCGGTGGCTTCCGCTTAAAGAAAACTAAAACCGGGATGGGGTTTGGTTTGGTGTGGTCAAGACGCCAACTCCAGAGACAATTTTCTGGTCTGACAAATACATTGTTCGTCGTTCATCTTAGTACCTGCCGCTGACCTCAACTAGAATTGTGTGGAAGGAACGAGTCGGGCAGGTACACAACGATGCCTGCCTCCTAGGCTTCACCGTCAACGGGCGGGTAATCTCTATATCAACATCGGCAGCGGCGGCGCCGTAATCGTCAGGTCTTGATCGTGCATCTCGAGCCTTATATTAGCAAGCGTGACGGCGGGATTGCCACTGCTCTTGTTATGTATATACCACGGTACAGGCGTAAGTATTACCCCTCGAGGGTGCCTCAAAAGTCTAGCTTCCACTTTAAAACCCCTGGTTATCCTACCCTCGAGGGGTAATACTTACGCCTGGGACGTAGTAATAGGGTATAGCATCAAGATAAGATGACAAGGATACGAAAAAGTGCTTAGGGACAAAGTTGCGAAGACTATCCGGGTGGGAGCTTAATGAGCAGAGCGAGATTGCTGCACGAGGGTTTCTGCAAGAGAGAGTAAAAACGGGCATCTCGGTGCTAAGAGAGATTGTTGGCACTGCGAATATATGGGTTTGATAATAATATGGGGATGGGAAGGGGGGTGAGGTTTTTTGATATCGGAAGCGAGAAGGAAAGGCCAGGAAGGGAAAGTCGAAGTGAGGAAGCTTTCGAAGTTGGGAGGGAATATCGACCGCGGGCAAACAGACTCGTATTTGGATACCTGCAGTACTAGATCGAGACTTTGCTGTATAAGTGGAGGATTGATATGTGAAGATTATAATGCGTGCATGTATACACCACATTTCGGCGGAACTCGTCGCTCTTCGAAGAGTCTACAAGGATCATTCGAATGTGAAGCACTTAGCATTCGCAAAACCGGTTTTGATAAGGTATTGGATTATAGACTTGGATGATCTGGGACAGAGCGAGGAGGATGTATATAGCTTCGGCGTTTTGATGGGAGATTGATATGTCAAAACCTTGTAGGCGCGAGTAAAGATATGACTGCAAAATACATAACATGAAAGAGATGGCGCATCTTTGTAAGAAACTCACATGTTCACCGTTAATGTAGCTCGTGTAACTCTTAGCGCGTATTGAGCGGAGGTAAATTTTGAATTGTTGAATTGTTATTGGGTTGACAGGGAGGAAGGAGGTTAGACCATCCCATATCGCGAGTGGTGGTCTGCCACAGCTACATCCAATACCAATACAATGTTACTTTGTAACATCTTTATCCGTATAAGTTGGACGCTTTAGGGAATTTAAGTCGGTTTGCATGTTGATGAAGTTGGAAAGTTGAAGTGTTGGGCTGTAGCGCATTATGTCGGGCTGTTGACACTATACGCTACACCCTCGCGCAAGAACAGTGAAGCTCCATGGCCTATATAACGAGACGGGAATATTTTTTGAAGGGAGAAGATATTGCCAAGTATCTCGGAGGCATTGAGGGCAGTAGGAGTAGACCGTAGACGTTCCCTTACACCAAGTTGAGCCAAATGAACATTTCTCAACACTCTTCACAAGTATCTCGACCCCTTTCAGAGGTAGCTTGGTACGGCGAACTTTTAAAAATCATAAACCAGAAGACGGGTAAGCACAGGTAAGCATCTTGAAATAGCGTGGAAACTTCTGGCCATAGTAATTATTATCGCGTAATTCGACATAGTGCATGTTCACAGAAACAAGATGTACATAAATAACGGGATTACTGTTCTCTGAGAGTGCTGAGGTAATGAAAATGGGAAAGCATATAGCCACAAATAAATAGCATGATTATAGATGACAATTCCAGGGAGAAATGCTCTTGGTTGAGGATTCGGTGTTCTCAGGTCTCGCCATGTCATCAGCCAGACCTATAGAGCTACACACAGCTCGAGACTCGTTCCCTGAGATGGTGCCCAGAATATTTACAGTGTCTCCATAAGCGAATATTCAAGACTTGCTGAAATCTCAATGCTCCGCCTATGCTTCTCCAGTCACATGACCTATACGGCTCCTTTCAACTCGTGATTTTCATGCATGATGCTAAGATCGACCAGAGGGTCCCATAACAGGGCCCCCAGATCGAAACGAACCAACCGTGACGCGGATGAATATCTAATCAGTCCAGCGAGTCCTTTGCACGCGATATTAGTGAGTTGTACAGAACAAATTTAATGCCAATGCGCTTGAGCAGCAAGCGCCTTTCCAGCATTTGCTTCGCCTATCAATCCCAAGCTGTTTGCTTCTGACGGAACGCGATCCGAGAAGAGTATCTATCCTCTTACCTATCTTCGCAACATCTTCCCTTCGTGGTAAAGGATTGCTCAGTAACAACAACCCTCAGACTTTTTCTTTTTCTGACTCACCCAAGCCATTTCTGTCATTTCTGACGATGACTTTAGCAGTGTAAATCAATTGAACCTGTACAGTTAAATACCTATCCATCATCCGGGAGAGCCACACTCCCGCCTGAACTAAAGCGGAAAATCTTGCGAAGAAGCTATGATGGTGAAAGGATGGTGGCGTCGCCAAACCCGGTGCAACTCGAGCAAGTCGATACGAAGAGGATATGTAGGAGCGGTGTCACTAATGAAAACGCTGAGAACGTGTTGTAACTGCCAGACGGATTCCACGAGCCGTGAGCCAGTAACCGTCCAACGCTCGCCGCGAGGCCTGGTTGTAGATCATCATCGTCTAGGTCCTACAAAGTGGCAGTCTTCGACCCCCACGATTCTGTGCCTACCATGCACGGCGGTTGTAGCGTTACAGTCATGCAGTGTACACTAGAATACGTACATTGTGCTACTTTTGCCATATTGTTCCCCGACTTCCCCGTACTTGTGACAGTAATCCATGATGACACCATCGTACTCGCCTCTCGAGAATAGGCCTTGTGGCAGGACCGACTTGCGCTGGCCTCAATGACACCTTGATCAGTCTTCTCCCTCGTTACCAACCAGGGAGGTAGCCCTGGCAATGGGATGCTCAGGTAAACAATCCGAGCCCCTGAGCATCATCAGATTCATCGCTCACAGTTCGGGAGCGCCGAAAGTTGAGTAGTTGACAACCCCCCATCGGGTGCAGTTGCATCAGATCGAGTC